CATTGTCAGTCACCATGCTGTCTATTCAGTACTTTAATTAGAAGAATTAAATATCATAAAACCTACAATATTCCACAAAATAACCACTTATTCCTCAATAATCGTTTAATATAGTTCATTATACAGACCCCCTTTTATGGAATTATTAACATCCGGCTGAAACGTCGTAAATAATTTCGTCTCATTGTAATCTACAACAATTTTTTTTACGAAAACTCTTGGAATTGGGGTGGTTAATTGGTAGATAATTTGATCACATAATCGAGAAAAAAGGTGGCTGTCAATAATATTGAACCGTTTGGCGCGACCTACACCTCAAAATTTTCAAAATAACGAGGTTATATAGGACAATCGGCCCAATATTTTTGTAAGTCACCTTTTTTATCTATTTTGTGATAAAATTATCTTACGGTCCAAGTAGAAAGTAAATGTGTATTTATGAGTTTTTATACTTAATTAAATAGACAATGTTTGCCTCCCTCCAGATCGAAAACGCTCCAATTCCAAGAGTTTTCATAAATAAAATAGTAGTAAGTTACGATGAGATGAAACTATTTATGAAGTTTCAGGCGGATGTTAATAATTCGATGAAAAGAGGTCTGTACCACGAACTAATACCAAATGATTGTGTAATTACTGTAAATTTTAACCAATGAATTTTTAAATTTTCTATTTTTGAAATAACTTGCCTACATGATTGCCTTATTTTTAAGTTTATTAAGTTAATTGTCGTTTTGATTATTTTTTGCGAGCCTATAACATAAATAGAAATTCATAACAAATGTTACCTTCTTTCTTACGCAGATACATTCGAGCTAGTAGTATTCCATAAAGTTACAACTAAATAAAAACAATTTTGCTAACTCTTAGTGCTATTAACAGTGTCACGAACTATCATACAAATTATTAAATATATGCAGCTAAAAAAATTTGTTTTTGCCGACCTAGAATGTCAAACCATCCCACCTACTGGTTTCGTACAATGGTGTGAATAGAAGAATTGAGTCGAACTGAAACAAACATTTTTTCAAAAGATAAACAAAATAGTAGTAAGACATCAAAGGAATATTCTATTTTTTTTTTTTATTCATTAACAATGGATTATTAGGCGGGGACTTGACTTTTTTTTTTTTTATTGAACTTTTGTTCCTAATTCAGTCTATTTTACGACCACAGCATAAAACATCAGAAATTGAGAAAATATATATATTTTTTTTTCAGGAGGCCTAGGTTACCTGCTGTGGGGCGAGAGGCATTTTCCGGTCATGGCTAGGTTGAGGTGAAAACGGAAAACTTGAGGAAGAGTTTGATTGTGAACTGAATCATTGGCCAAGCTGATTCGACCACGGTCTACTGCTACCTGTATTCGACCACTTCTTCCGTTGTTAGAACTAAATTAACAATTCCTCTTCCAAACTTAAGATAATTTAAAATGTTTAAGAAAAATCACCATTGTATGATTTTGCCGATTTCTTAGTATATTTTATTATAGTAATGAGAAGAAAAATCTGGTGCGCGCAACACACAACTTTCACTTATCGCTCTACTTTGTATAGAAATTATTTTTTGGCAATGTTGGGCTATTATAAAATTTTTGCATTTTTAACGGGTAAGCAGCTTAAAGCTTATCTAACAAATCATTAACTATAACAAAAACCCTATTAATTGTATCAACGGCAGGCAATAAAAACCTGGGTACTCTATCTGTTTTTGCAAACCACATAAATCCAGTCTTTAAGTTATATATATACGCCTAGAGAGATTTGAAAGTATATCTGTATATTCAACCTATAAATGATTATGGATTGTAAGCGTACTTTCCATTGTAAAGCTTACCAAAATAGAATGAAGAGATTTCATTGCCCGCCATAGATAGGTCCAAATTTGTCACACTAATTGTAAGTGGATAATGTTGGGATTTCACAAAGGTAAAATTCGTCTAATTTAATTTTCAAAAGGTTACATGACGGTTTTTCGGAATAAACGGACATTGATACCTAATTACTTAAATATAATATCAGATCTAGAATTATTAAACTACAGCAAATGTAATTAAAGTTATAAACATATGCTTATATATCCATGAAAAACTTTTATATTCCACTTCTTCTTTCACACAAGTACAGTGAAATAATTTTTTTAACAATGTCATTGCCTTGATTATGTAGGTTTTAAATGCTTTTTTCAAACTTAAAAATTTGTTTAAAAGTTTACATTTAGTTAGTATATTTCATATAATTTTCGTGAAAACAAGTGATTTCCGTTAAACAATATTATTTTTCACAAATTATTCGTAATTTTTCTTCACTCTCCATTACCTTCTACGACTTTTTGTATTAGATATTGTTTTTTCTAAAATTCTTCGCTTTCCTTTGATTATTGGGTATTTAAGTCCTCTTAAGTGACTTCAATGGCAATAAGACCTAAATGATATTAAATATTATTTAAGCTTATATTGATACACAGAGTTTAATCAAAATCGTTTCAAGAAAATCGTAAAAATGAGTTCCATCGATAATATAAAATGCCACTTCCGCTTAGCCGATTCCGACAAAAAAGTTTCCTTAACATCTCAGGTATATAAAAATCTTAAATATGCAAATTCAGTTTCGTATGACTTTTAGTTCTTGAGCTAGACTGATTACATACAAACAGGCACACAGACCATTTTGCGGGACTTGGTTATTTGGACTCAGGGTACCACAAAACGTATATTTCCGTTGAAACTTAAATTCGAAAATTTTCACGATCGCAATACTTTCCCTTACTATATATTACATATATAGGTAAGTGAAAGTAAAAATTAACATACAAAATCTTAATTATTATTACATGAATTGTGACATGACTAGAACATCTTTTGAATCGCACCTGCCAACTTCACCTCTTCTGTAATCATCGGTACGATCCTCTCAATAACACAGACAGTTATTATGCTGTAAACAATCTGGTTAACAAGTGACTCTTTCACTATCTCTTGTACAACTCTGGGATCTTACCATACTGAGCAATGGTTTCAATCATGCTTTCCGCTCGGTTGCTAATATGAGCTTGAATATAAAAGATAGACCACTATTGGGACGTGAATACGATATAATTAATATATTTAAATACATATTATTGAATTTAAAAATGTAGTTAAAATATAGTCGACCATAAATTTACTATTTTATTTTCTTCAAAGTACCTCAGGTATTCGAATGCTTTTACAAATTCCACCACGTCTTCATCGGTTGCTTTATTATTGAAAACATTATCTAAACCCATGAAATCTATAAATGAATGATAATTTTGATGATGATGACAGCATTACTTCTCAGTCTTTCATGACTTCTTCCCCAATTTTCTTAATGAACAGTGGCAATGAATTTTAATCAAATTCTATCTGCAGTTTTTTAAAAAAATCAGGTTTAATTTTTTATACCAGATTAATAAAAAAAGTGTATTTGAATTTAAAAAAAAAAAACCGATTACAGAAATTGAGAAATTCTATCCACCCTTAGAGAATGGACTTTCATATCTACTTAAACAAACCCCTTGGTAGAACGATGGAAATATTGACATCTACGAATATTTAAACCTGGCATAATAGTCGGGTGCCTATCACTACACATTACCACTCCAGAGAAATTGATTTTGTCCCATGTATCGGTGCATGTCAACATCCTAAAGTCTTGAGTTTCGTTCAGGTATGGATGGCATCAGGTATGGATGGCAGGTACCAGACTAATACAAGTTTAAATACTCGCAGATGTCAATTTCCCAATCAGTTTGCCTATGTCAGGTAACATTAGGGATTGATCCCAATATTAAAAAAATAAAAGAAATTGCCAGAAATTGTTCATTACCCTAACCATCATAAATAGTAAAAAGTCCCTAAGTTTTGATAGGGGGAGAAATAGAAGAGCAGCAAATTGACATATTTTTAGTTTTATGAGAATATCTCAAAAACCATGAGTTATTTTTCAAAAAAAATTTAAGTAGGATATTAAAGTACTATAGAATCTCTATAAAAATGATACTATACTTAATTTTATCAAATCTATGGTTACGGAGATATTTATGAGATTATATTTCCATTTTAAGCAAAAAATACTGCAAACCATGAAATTGACATTTTTCATAGTAGATGATACCATTTTGATGTTTAAGTCATTTTTTTTTTATAGGTTTTGATCGTTTAAATTAAAATTTTGTTTGTATTGATGATTCTAAAAAGTCATTGAAAAAATAATTGTATTGGATACCAATGGATGTGAAATTTCCTGGTATTGAAATAAGGGTTAGATTGACATTGATTTCATATAATTGATATTGTGATAGCAAACCTTAAAACCTACAAAATAGTTACATAAACCGTGGTCTTACCTTTGCAGTTTAACTTTTCTTTTCCCTCTTTACCTCTTAACTGTTCATTTCTGGCACACAGCAGGGTTGTTCCAGAGGTACAACCAAACTTATTCTAACCAGAGTGGGAAGTGGACCATTCAACTCGGGAATGATAAAAGTGGGCAATACATAAGCACATGGATCTACCACAGCCTCCATCTTGCAGTTAATCTTTTTTTTTTTTCATTTACTCCCTCATCTATTTCATTTACTCATCACGATTTCTAACACACGGAGGGAGGAGGCAGGGGGACTTGTTCTATAATTACTACCAAATCTATTATAACCAAAGTGGGAAGGTCTAGATTCCATTGATTCACCCTTAAGTGAATTTCAAATCTTTTGGACTTGAAAATGTTAAAGCAGACAATTTAACATCAATGCATTAACATGGCCTCTCTTGCAGTTTATCGGTTCCTCTTCAATTTCTAGATCCAATTCACAAAGTTTTCCTTTTTTATCATTTATATCCATTCTCTGGCTTTTAACCTGAGCCTTCCACTCCACAACTATTTGTTGTAATACTTGTGCTGAGTTTGGAATTAGGATAATCTCATCATGGGCAGATTAAATGGTAAGGAACCACCTAGGACTCCCGATTTTTTAAAACATATTAAGGATTTCAAAAATGGGCACAATGGTAAATAGAAATAGAGATAGAAAAATAAATTTACTCTGGGACAAAGCTAATTAAATAACAAAATTAAAAGATTACCTCTGGCCTAAATAAAAATAGTAGAAAACATGTAAAGAAAATATAAGGTAGACATGCTTTAAACAAAACAAATAAAACTAGATACAAAACACTTAAAACTATGACAAGACACTTAAATCTATTTGCAGTGATAAACAGTATGAATGTACATTTTTAAGAAAGCAAGAAAGAAAAAATAGAAATATATCAAATTCGTCCTTAAAATAAGCTTTGTGTTTCTGTTGAAAAAAGAGAAAGCTGAACCTGACAATATGAAGTACCTCAGTAATATATAAATACATTATCATTTAAATGTTGAATAATATATAACTACATGATCATCATTTCTTAACTTAACGATAGGCAAGAATTTAATGGTGTATAGAAGGTAAGAATTATAAACAAACAATAGATGTGTTCAGTGACATAAAGAGTAGGAAAATCTTAACCCTAGAGAAAAATTACTATCCCTAACAATGAACAGCATTAATATTTGATAATGTATGGCATGTCATAAATGTATATTGTCGAATGGTTAGCAACTATCAGACTGTTTTGGGGATAGGAATTGGAATAGGAAGGTTTTGAATGTGGGTATGGAGGAGGAAATGGTGAATTTTGATAGGGAGGGAATTCCAGAAATTGACAGAGCGAGCAATAAACGAGTTTTGGAATGAGGCAGATCTGTGAGAAGGCAAGTAAAGGTTAGAAGATTGAGACAATATGGAAAAGGAATGGACTGAGGATTTGAATTGAAGAAGGTAGTAGGCATAAGAAGGACGATGATTATTGATGATTTGATAGAGGAACACACCTAGGAAATATTGTCTTTGGGAGGGAAAAGGAGTATCTTGGTGCCCAATTACAAATATTACTCAGCTGTTCATTAATCTTGTGGTACAAAAAAATTTAAAGAAAATTATTGAATAACTCTAAAAAGAAATGGTTCTGTAGTAGATTTTGGCCAAATTCTTGATAAAAAACGAAAACAAAAGTACAAATCTTGAAACATTGTGGAAATTATCGGCAAGAATAGGAGCTGTTTGAGTACATTGACATCTAAAATACATATTCATTTTGGTAGCTGAATTGAATTAATATTTAACACTTTGAATTTTAAATATTTCTACACTTTTTTTATATATAAGTTGTGTGAATGAGTTCAAATTTAGTTTTATTTGTTTTAATTCTTCTTTTCGCACAAATTAGATTTTTCTATTGGGCTACTTGTTTTAACCACAATTAAAGTAGTTTTTGTTTTTCTTGTTCAATTAATAAAAATAATAATAAATGATACAAGAATACTATAATGATTTTCTTGTCAGATTTTTTACTTTATTTCACTTCATCTTGTTGATCAGTAAGATCAAACTTTTCATAAACATGAGAAGTAATTTATAGAAAAATACAAACTTAAATGTATTATATATTTTAATGCAAAAAAAACAAAATATTGTAATGCTTTATTCAATTTCACTGAAACTTAAATATATATAAAAATAACATATTCATTTTAACAACTTACAAAAAGAAAAGATTTACACATCATTGAGACTGATATAAAACAAAAATATACATATATATATTTGTAATAATTATTATAATATAAATGTAAGATAAATAATAAATATAAACTTAAATCTATTAGTAATATAATACGCACACAAATTTAGACACATTTTTTGTAAGGAGTTATTTAATTGTTGATCTTTCTTCATTCATGATGTTGTGTTACCTACAAAACAAAATAACAAATATAATGACCAATAGATTTTCAATGCAAATTATTAAAAAATGTTTAGATAATATTATATTTGATAGAAATTATTATTATTTTTTTAACAATAATGTAACCAAACAAAACGAATTATTTAATTTTTTTCTAATCAAATCTGAAGATTTCCAGGAATGTGTGAGAAAATGAGTTTTAATTCAGTGAGGAATATAAAAAAAAATCTAAGTTCATAGAGTACATAAGTAATAATAATTATAATATTATCCTAATGATCAGCTAGACTTATAAAATCATCAAATAAAAATATTTAAAAGAATATTAATTCAATAATTATTAATATTAAAAGAACATAAATTCAATAATATCATGAGTTTATTGCAAAAAGTCACGAAGTGTATTTTCAAATATGTTTTTGTGAATTTCAACCTTATTTATCTATACAAAAACACTGTAAGTGCGTAGAAATGGTACAAACCTCTTTATTTATTTTATATAGTTACACTAAATGCACAATTTTCTGATTCCACAAAAGAAAAATTCATTTAAGCCCTTAACCCTTAATTACTTGAGATTATGAAGAAACCTAATGACTTTTTGCAATAAACCAACGATATTATAACACAAAAACATTCGTTCAGAGCCCCTAAACCAAGAAAACCTTGAATCCATCCAGTACTCTACTTTTTTAATGATAAAACTTCTCTCCATCATGCTTAACAAAAAATATTTTTTTCTTTTTCAATTAATTATGTGGATGATGTGATGTGATCTGCAGGGAAAAAAATAAATTAAGGCAGCTCAATTCAACAAAATTGTGGTCAATTTAATTTTTTTTTTCAAATTCATTTTTTGAAGTAGCTCCTTTTTAGTTTTTAACATTTAAAAAACACATAAGGTTATCAGGAACCTTCTCTCCTTTCCTCTGAGCGGAGGGAAAAGCTTAGAAAATTGTCATTAATGGTCTCATACCTGCATCATTAATGTAATATTATAACTAAATTTAAATACCTTCCACAGCAACTACCACATGCTGGAGGAGGATCAGGTGGAGTTGACCCCAATCCATGAATATTGCTGCCAGGACGAGGAGGACCACCGGGAGGTCTGGAACAAATAATATAAAGAATATGAAAACTCATTTTCTTTAGCAACACAGGATAATTTTCCAATAAGCAAAACAAAATAAATTATTTATTTATTGATCAAACAAGAAACAGAAGTAATTTATAAGTCCTCCATTCAGTATGATATCTCCCACTCTGAGGAATCCTAGCCTACCAGTTCTCAAAATAAATATAATAATGCACTTTATCTTGATTACGAAATAGTGTTAATTGTATGCTCCATTTGTCTGCTAAAGTAACATGCAGATGGAAAAATCATCATTATATGAAGATCGTGGGTGTCTTTCACTGCAACTATGAGAATTAATAAATACATTTTTATTAAAGATAACTTTTTTTGTAAAAATGAACAAAAACATTATGCTATATAAATAAAAAATAAATAACATTTACAACTTCACTGACCTCTAAAAAAAAAAATAGCTTATTATTCTTGGTTCTAATTTTTCTTTATTGGCAGCTTTATTTTAGTTTTGTCAGAAGTAGATCCCTCATTACAAATATTTAAGAATATGCTGATATTAAATTTATGGTTATTCTAATGAAAATTAAAGACTTTCTAATGGTACATTTTTTACGACTATGTACCAATGGTTTACTATTCATTTATAATAGTGTTCAGAAAGCACATTCATACTCTATTTACCATAAATAAAATTAAATTTAACATAAAAATAATAATACTAAAAGTAAATGTATATACACAAAAAGAAGTAAACTAATCAAAATAACAACTTAAACACAAGCATACTTTCATACAATATTTACAGAATTCTTTCACTCAGAAGAACTTTGAGCTAAGCCTTTCCAATCACTCGTGGAAGGAAAGGCAAGACTCAATTCACTGTCATACGTAACTATGGGTCTCAGTATGGTTTCATAAATCATGAATATTGCTTTTACAGAAAGAGCTTTAAACTTTAATATTCGTTGTATGGCATAAAGGCACTTGCATTACCTGCAACCAGCCTGGTATTAACTTCATATATGACAATATATACTAAGTATGCCTTCTGACTATTGTTTCCAAAGATTTGTTTTTGACCTAAAGAAACATTTTTCCATTTTTCTCCTTCATTCAATTATCAAATTCTTTCAAAGGTTATATTTAGCTTTTTTTCATAACTCCTAGCAATGAGAGATAGATATTTATTTAAAATAGACCAAATTAAAGGTAATTTAGAGGAAGAAATTTTAAATATTGGGCATTTAAGCCCTGTAAAGCGAAATCAGTGAGGATAAGGTATAAATTATATTGAAGATCATATAACTATACATTGATATAACAAGTTTAATCAAAATCATAAGAGCCATTTTGGAGAGAATTGTAAAATGTGTAATATCGATAATATAAAGTGGCACTTCCAGTCAGTCGATTTTGACAAAAAAGTTGCTGTGACATCCTAGGCATAAACAAATCTTAAATAAACAATTACAGCTTTTTGTTATTGAGCTAGACTGATCACATACATATAGACACACACACCATTTTGCAAGACTGGTTATTTGGACTCAGAGGACCTCAAAATGTGAATTTCCATTAAAAATTTGGATTCATGATAGATTCATAAAAATCTACATCTAAAAAAAAATCTAATCGGATTCATAAAAATTTACATGACCGTAATTGTTTCCTTTACTATATATTTCATACATAGTTAAGTGAAAGTAAAAATTGCAACTTTGGGGTAATAAATTTACCGATCTTATGAGCCTTGAAATTATAATTACATATATGTGAAAAAAAAGGAGAAATAACGTTGTCTGCCTTTTAGCCTATCTACTGGCAGACTCTAATTCAGAAATTGCAATTTTAGGCATCAAAATTTCCCAAGTTTAGAGAGCTTAAATTTTACTTCCTGAAAATACTCGGTTAAAGAAAGAAAATAACGTTGTCTGCCTATGTTAGACCGCGGAACTGGTAAACTTAAAATAAAACAATTCCAATTACCGGTTCTCAAAATTACTATTTTCAAGAGGCTTGAAATTTTAAAATAAAAAAGTATTTAGTTTATAATGAAGAAATAATGTTGTTTTCCAATGTTAGAATGCGGACATCCACAGGCAGATTCAAATTTAAAAATTGCAATTTTAGGAGTAAAAATTCAATAATTTCAGGTGCCTTGAAATTTCGCTATATGATACTTCTATTTTTCGTATTTATTATAAATGCAGTTTGCCATTGATATGTCATTGCTTTATACTGACAGACTGAGATTGCAACTGCGATGAATGTGGCGATGCAGTATCCTGGTTGCACAACAGTCTGGTCAAAATCCAAAATGGTGGACTACCTAACAGTCACTAAAAACACTAATAATATAATATATTATTTGAAGATGTTCATAAAGTTTCTTATAGTAAACTTTTATAAACTAGTTAAAATGTTATACACTTTCATAATTTATACTCAAACCTTCACCTGCGATGAAGTTTTTAACATTTAATTTTTAAGATATATTTATATATAACATTAAAAGGAAAAAAGTATATAATAATATTACACATAAACTTATAAATACAAACCTGGGATACCACCCTCCTCCTCCTCCTCCTCCTCCACCACCACCACCACCACGGCGCCCAGAACTGCCTCTGAAGTTATTTGTTGTGCTTGAATTGTCAATAGGCAACATCGTCTGAAAACTACAAAGCAATTTTCTAGATAATTTAAAGCTACATTTCCCGAACAGTATTATCTATTTTGTCAATTAATTCAGAATTATTTTAATTAAAAAATTCAAACTGAAATTACATAGTCAGGACATGATGACCAAGCACGTTGGGGCATGAATCTCACATCACCCTGTTCAAAGCATTGCAGGTTTGATTCTCTGGGTCAGTTAATACTTATTAGTCAGTGGCCCCATGAAATAATTTTTAGCACTCCCATTCTGGTAAATACATGGCAGAAACTTCAAGCTAGCTGTCAGGGATTGATAAAGCGGACAATGCCCACTAATTAAAATAATTTTAAAAGAGCTTTTCTATTTCAATTGTAAATAAAAACAAAATCGAATTCTAGTATATGTCACTCATTTTTTATTAATACTTTCTTGAAACTTGTACCACTATAACTCATGAAGGGTCTTGAGTTCAGTACTATGTAAGGAAGTATTGTATCTTAGTCAATGGTAATGAAAGATGATTTGACTTGAGATCACGTTCAACCACCAGGTTTTTTTCCTTAATTAATTATTTAAGAGTATCCACTTTATAAATACTGGGTGTGCGCCAGGAGAATTTCCAGAGTCGAATCCAGGACTTTGCTCTTAAGAAATCAGTGCTTATCCACTGAGCTAACCCGCTCCCTGTCAAATTTGTCATTACTATAGAATGTCAAGTAAATTAACATGTAACTAAAAATTTGTTTTTAGCCTGCTAAATATTTCTCCCATTTTCTCCTTTAATTAATTATCAAATCTTACACACAGACACACATCTTTTTGGGAGACTTATTGGAATATGTATTTCCGTTCAAAACAAAGATTCAAAATTACCCACTATCTCAATACTTTTCCTTATACTTATTTAATATATGGGTTACAGAAAGTAAAAATAGTATCATCTATCTTCTATATCAGTAAAATTTTCATTTTTAAGTTACAATGAAAAAATTTGATACTTACAAGGCTAATACCATATTTATTATGCCAGAAAATATTCCCAGAATTTTATCCATACCCCAAGGTTGTTCTTGATGAACTGTGCCATCTGTGAACATTAAGAAGTATAATATAATTCAATTTTATTAACGATTGAATCTAATGAACATACAGAGTACAGGTAAGGAAAATAAATGAAAAAGTAGAATACAAAATGAAGAATTCTATTAAATAACAGAGACAAGTTCAACCATATGAGAAAACATAATAATAATTTCAATATAGATAAATAGTTAACAAATTTCTACAGCTAGGAAATGCATATTCAGAGATTACAAAATACTTTATAATCAACCAGAACCTATTTTATGTTCTCTGATACCAATGAAATTCAAATATTGTCCTGTTGGATAGAACAAAATCAGCTAAAGTTCTTGCTTTAATACAATACAAGCTAATTCTCGAAATAATATAATAACCAGACAAATCAAAATAATCAGTGGCTACGGCAGCTGAGTGGACTACTGGAAACTGTTGGTGCATCAGTTAAAGCACTGTCAAAAATATCAAGACCATGGATGAATGAAAATAATTTTATTATTCTGGGATTAGTGTACCTTTAGAACAATTTACAAATACAGAAAGTATATTAATATTCTGGTGTGTCCATAAAATACAATTTAATATTTACAGGATGCCTAAGAATACAATAAAATTATAGATAATAAAAATACATAAAAACGTGTATAAATATAAAATAAACAGAGAAAGTAAATTAAGTAAACAAAATATGGTGGGCGGGGTGGCCGAATGGGCTAACGTGTGTGCACAATGGATATATGAGACAATGGATTTTAAAATAGTCACGATGGGACGGGATTGGAAGGAGCGTTTGAATTGTAGAATCTGTAGAAGGTAGGTGAGTCGCGTAATCTAATGGCCTGGTATAGGAAGGTAGCAAGGAAATATTGACAGCGGTAGGACAGATAAAGCCACTTCAACTCGATGTAAAACTGGGTAATATGTGTATCTCTTTAGATCCCGAAGATAAAGTAGATTGAGCAATTCATTAGACAAAAGGATGTGTAATTGCTCCTCGAAGGAATCAACCATCTAATATACAAGACCAGTCTACTAATGGAAAAGGCACTCTATCAGGTTTTAATTCATAATAACCTTGTATGCTACCTGCTTATGAGCGTGTATTTGAAAAAAAATGAATGTTTGAGATTTTGTAATGACAACTCCAAAACTAATTTACTACAGTTACAAACCCGGCAATGGATCAGTTTCAACAACTATTAGAAATTATCCTATCCAATTGGGCACAGAATAATGCATTTTACAGGTACAGTAGATCCATAGAACTCATGCCTGGAAGAAATGGAAACCAATATCCATAGAAATATGAGACTGGGAACAGGTTTACTACACCATAAATATATAAACATATATCATTAGATTTCCAATATACTTACTTCTAACAGATAAATATATTCAATCAAACTAAAAGGAAACATTTAAATATAATTGCTCAATATCATTAGATATAACTTTAAGGAAAACAGATTATATTGCTTCCACAATAGGTTATTTATTATATACTTATTCAGTGATGTTTTTTAGGTACCACACTAAAAAAATTATATTTTTTCTTGGCAAAGAACTACTAGCACAGCTACAAATGTAATACTACGATTTCTGGTAACAAGAAAAAGAAAGTTCTGAGGTGACATTTAATTTCATTCTTTCTGCATTGTAAATGTATAACGATTTTATTTTAAAATATTAATTTCAATAATTACCTCTACCAACGTAAACCATATTATAATATCTTGTCTGTTAATTGAGAAGTATGAAATGACTCTAGCGTTAAATTTTTAAAACGATTTATCAAAGAAAAGTTAGACTACTTTGAAATGAAAATGACGGAAGGTTACTACCCACAATCAAATTTTATCAGATAACCTTTGCAACAGTTGTGTTGGGGTGACACAGATATTTCGTCACTGCTCCGACAGTGACAGTCCGAAAAATCACTGTGACAAATCACAGTGATTTGTCGCTGTTTACTTATTTAAACTTATATTAAAATAAATAAAAATCAGGTACGCCGTCATATTCTTATCATCTAGTAAATAAGTTGAGTGCTAGAGAGGAGTATTTCCAAGCCGTTGAACAAAAGAAAGCTGATAGGCATGTAATGTTACAAAGGGGCACAAGAGGGAATAGGGAAAAGTTACAGTACTAGCAGAAAGAGAGCCACAAATTTGTGTAGAAAAGAGAGCTTGGTATAGAAGGAAGATAGAGTTTTTGGAAGGACTAAACGAGAGAAATGAAAGCAGATTTTATCACTCCGTCAAGAAGCTGAGAACTGGATTCTAACCTAAAGTAATCAACTGTCGCAGTAAGAAAGGACTTCTTCTTGGAGAAGAGAATCAGATCTTGGATTGATGGGTGGAACATTTTGAGGATGTACTCGGAACTAGCCATAACGTCGCTGAGACGGTAGTCAGTACCACAGGCAGATCTACGGGGAGCGGGCTTTCGGGATGAAGCTCCGTCTCTTCCCAATGGTAAAATATAACCATGCAGAACCACCTTCATACGAAGATTTTATGGATGCCGTGAACCATTTAAAGTCTAACAGGGCACTTGGAAAGGACAATTTTCCAGCGAAGCTAATTAAATATGGAGCCGAATACCTATGTCAAAGAATTTACAATCTTATAATTGAAATATGGAATGATGAATCTATGCCTGAGGAATGGTGTTGGGGATTGATTCTGCCACTATTCAAGAAAGGAGACAAGACAATATGACAAAACTATAGAGGCATAACCATGCTAAGTCTTATTTACAAAATCCTAGCTCATACTTTAACTACAAGACTAATCATTTATTCAGATCAGATTCTCACGGATTATCAGTGCGGTTTCAGGCCTAACAGGAGTACTACTGATAAAATCTTTCTGTTGTGAAAAATGCTATGAGCTTATTTCGGATGTCCACATGTTATTTATTGATTTTAATCGTAGGGATAGAGTTCACATGTTAAATGCCCTATAAGAATTTAAAGTTCCGTTTAAATTAATCAATTTAATAAAAATGACAATGTCCCAGACACAGGCTAATGTAATAATTGGCAACAGAGTTAGCAGTGAAATACATTTTGCCTCTGGTGTAAGGCTGGGAGATTCCCTATCTGCTGTTTTGTTTAATCTTGTGCTACATAAAGAACTACAAAATATTGTGTCTGTTCGTTGTCTATCATCTCGCTTATGTCAAATACTTGGGGGAAATTGTGGTTCTGGCAAGAAGTGAGAACGCATTGAAGGAAATATAGGCAAAGATTGTGGAAGAAAGTAAAATCTTGGGTCTTGAAATAAACCAATCTCAAACCAAATATATGGTAGCACCAAACTCTGAGGCAAGAAGAAGAAAGATTTAGGTATGATGGCTATACATTCGTTCTTATCTTAGTTTTCTCCTTTTTTTCCTCCTTCCCGTCACTCTATTTTCCATATCTCCATCTTTATTTTGTATATATTGATACATTTGCTCATTTATGTTTTTTAAATTATTTTAACTTTTTATTCTCTTATATGTAGTCAGTATATTTTGATAGATTTTCAATATCTCAATTTTCTATTTATATCTATTATTTCTTTATACAACTACATATTCCTTTTCTCTATTTTACACTATATTCTAAGATTACCATTTTTACTTTCACTTACCTATATATGAAATATATAGTAAGGGTAAGTATTGCGATCGTGAAAATTTTCAAATCTAAGTTTTCAACGGAAATACATGTTTTGAGATTTCTTGAGTCCAAATAACGAAAAATGGTCAGTGCGTGTGTATGTATATGAACAGTCTAGCTCAAAAACGAAAATTCGTACGAAACTGATATTATGCATTTAAGATAGGCATATACCTTACATGTTACAGCAACTTTTTCCTTAAAATCGGCCAAGTTCACTTTATATCAAAGGTGATAAACATTTTTACAATTTTCTCAAAAACAGCTCAAACGATTTTGATTAAACTGGGTGTATCATTGTATAATTAAATGGTCTTTAATATCATATAGGTCTTATATCAACGGAGGTTGATGTCACTTTACATGGCTTAAATGGCCTATGATCATAGCCTTTCGGGCTGAAGTCCCCCCCCCCCTCCCTCCCCCCGAAATGGTAAAATATAACCATGTTTTATCGAAAACAATATTAAAAAAGTATCTCTTAAAGTATTATTGTTCGTGTAATTACATTTAAAAGGGCTATAGGAATCACTTAAACACCATTTCATATAGGTAGTTAGTTTCTTCCTTTTTTTCCAAAGTAATTATCGTTATTTTTATGAAAATAACAATTTTCGGGCTGAAGCCCACCCCCCCAAAAAATAAATCCTGGATCCGCTAGTGGTCTTCCTCTAAAGTACCTTAATATGCTTTATTTTTAAAAAATAACTCATTTTTATTGACAGTAACTATAAAAAATGGCTAAATATAAACTTTGAAAGAATATGATAATTGGAAACTGGGGAAAAAAGAAAAATGCCTATCCAGGTTGAAAACGAATCTGCGGAAATAACAGTCAGAAGGTATACGTATACCTTAGATATATAGTTTGAAAGCGGAGAATTTTAGAATAAAATAATACCAAACAAATAAAGTTGTATAAGGTAACTGAGAGTGACGAAACAATATAAATAATAATTTCAGAAAACTAATATTATTGGACGTAAATCATATGTTTCTAAGGAAATTAAATGAAATTGTCTTACTAAACACTCTTAAATATCTTTCCAAGTTTGAAAAAAAGTATTTAAAATCCACCGAATCAGCCAATGCCATTGTTTAAAATACTATTTCATTGTACTTGTGTGGAAGGAGATGTGAAATATAAAAGTATTTCATGGATATGTTTATAACTTCAAACACATATACTGTAGTTTAATAAATCTAGATATTATATTTCTATCGGCCGTTTATTCCAAAAAATCATCAAGTAACCTTTTAGAAAATTAAATTAGTGAATAATTTGATGTTTTTCTCTTTGTTAAATCCCAACATTATCCACTTACAATTAGTTAGACAACTTTTGACCTATCCGTGGCAGGCAATGAAAATCTCTTAATTTCGTTTTAGTTAACTTTACAATAGAAAATGACAGTTTAATAACTAGTAGTCCTACAATCTATAATCATTTATAGGTTAAATATTCAAATATATTTTCAAACCTCTCTAGGCATATATGAGCATTTAGGTTGACGGAATGACTAACCCCAATTTCACCATTCTTTATTATCAATTTTAGTGATGTTTCTAATGGCAAAATTTATACCTTTATTCACAATTCTGTATTCAGCACTGCAATCAACTACTCTGGAATCAACTTAATCACTGTCTGTATAGATATGACTTTTTCAACTAGAAATATCACTCAAATGATATTACTCAAAAATGTTGAAATTGGAGTTAGTCATTCTGTCAACTGAAAGACTCAAAGACTAAAGTTGTGTGGTTTATAAAATTAACTAGATTTTTATTGCCTAATGTCGATATAATAAATAGACTTTTTGTAATTTTAATGGTCTTAATGATTTGTTATCTGTAAGCTTTATTAAGCTTTAAGCTTTAGCTCCGTTTAAAATGAACTTCAAACATTTTATAGAACACAACATTGCCAGAAAATAATTTCTATTCAAAGTGGAGCAATAAGTGAAAGTTGTGTGTTGCGCGCACCAGATTTTTGTTTCTTATGTCACCTTATTTTGACTATGTTTATTTCATTGGTTCGTACTTTGTTTCCGTTATTATTATTTATTTCTTATTGCTCTGTTATTTTTATTATTCTACCTACTTTATTTTACTTTAATGTTCACTGTATCTACTTCATTTTACTTTTTAGATAGAACGCATAGTTTCACTGATATAAGCGAAAAACCGAAAAAAAGTAAACTTTTTGAATCGTAAATTCAATTTTTCGACTTGTAATCCACGGGTATGGGGTAACTGACTATTATTTCATGTCTTAAGACTGTAAAACTATAAATTGAAAGGATTAGTAGCTTTATATATATATATATATATATATATATATATATATATATATATATATAAGCCCTCTCTATATATATATGTAATAGAGAGGGCTTACAATCTATGTATGTGTCTATCTTCACATGGCCGCCATTTTGTATTCCAGCGGCTGTATGCTGGCAGATGTGCATTTTTCTACTCAAGCCTTTGGATATGGTCAATTTATAAGGACAAACCTTAGTAGGAAACATAACACCTTTTTTGCCACGGACTCCAGGATTTTAAGGTTTTTAGAATATAATAGAATAGAAAATTATTTTATTCTGGGACAAAATCCCTTTAGAATAGCAGTAAAGGAGTTTTGGAATGAGGCAGATCTATGAGAAGCAATATAAAGGTCGGAAGGTATATCTTGTGGAAAGGGAATGGACTGAGGACTTGAATTGTAGAAGGTTGTAGATGTAAGAAGGACGATGATTGTTGATGATTTGATAGAGGAACGTACCTAGAAAATATTGTCTTCGAATGGAGGGGAAGAGCCACTCTCTTAACTCAGTGTAGTGGTGAGAGACATGGGAGTATCTCGTGGCACCAATTACAAATCTTACGCAGCTGTTCATTAGTCTTTTCAGTCTGTCACGGAGCTCCACCGAGAGTCCATCATACACCACACAGCTGTAGTCAAAATGGGGGAAGATGAGAGAGGAAACCAGGAGCCAACGCGTATATTGAGGTAGAAGATGGCGGAAGCGATGGAATAGTTTGAGGGCAGAAATCGTCCGTCGGCAGATGTGAGACATATGGTAATTCCAGGGTAGGGTTTGATCAATGAAAAATCCTAAATTTTTGACAGAGGAGTAGAAGAAGATTGGCTGGTCATTGAAGTTAGTATGGGAAAACCGGTATAGGATCTGAGAAGGGGCTTGGTACCAATTACAATGGCCTGAGTTTTGGCAGCATTTAACCTTAATCCGTTTACATTTGCCCAGGTACTGATTCGATCTAGGTTTTCTTGAATCTTGGCAAATGCTACCAACAACTCAGAGAGAGAAAAGGAAAGGTAGATTTGAGAATTGTCTGCATAAAGGTGATTTGAACAATGGAGAATTGAATCATGTAGGTCGTTAATGTAGGAACTGAAAAAGAGAGTAGATATGCTTAATCCCTGGGCAACTCCGGAGCATAAGGAAAGGTAGGCAAATAGCGGTTGATTGGGAATGGATACTGCTTGGGTACGTTGTGGGAGGAAAGATTGGAACCAAGAGATGGAACTATTGGAGAAGGATTGTGATTTTAGTTTGTTGAAAAGGGTGGGATGGTTAATGGAATCGAATGCTTTGGAGACATCAAGAAGTATAAGGATAGTTAATTTTTTATCATCTATACATCTATCATCCATTTCTATCTATAATAATGTAATCCGTCCGGGTAATTCACTAATTTCGAAAAAAAAAAAAATTTAATCGCATTTTAATTATTAATTGGGAAAAGTAAGTTGTTTTTTTTAGATTTTTATAGGCTATAATCGGTATTATAAATAGGGTTTATGTTATTGTGACGGTCATAATGAGTTTTCGTATCGATTAATATGACCTAAATTCAAAAATACGTTGTTTAAACTTTAGCTGAATTAAAAATGCGCTTCAAAAACTTCTTGTGAAAGCCCAATTTTACCAGACAAGAATTGCTTTTCGAAGTAGAGCGGTAAGTGAAAGTTGTGTGATGCGCGCACCAGAGTGTTTAAATTATAATGCATGTACTTCAGCAACTAAAAAAAGCACCTGTCAAGAAAAAATGTAAAAATTCTACCCCTACGAGCACGATTTTCGTATAATTACCGTCATATACGTAAAAAAAATTAGTCTCCTGAAATTAAATCCTGAATCCACATCAGGCGGTAGGAACCCTTCTTTTACTGATTATAACTAAAGATTAATTAATGTTTACACTAAGATAATAACAGAAAGATTTATCCATGTCATATTAGATGCTTAATTATATAATTAAAACAGTAAAGATTGTTTATTAAAAAAAAAAAATTCATTCATAGGAAGTTATTACAGCACTAGCGCCATCTAATATTTGAATCTGAAAATTATGAAGTTTTCTTAACCTGGAGCAACCACTAATCAGTTGTTAAGCCAAGTCCGGTTGTTTTGTATTAGTAGTTAGCTGTTCTGCTAAAACGACATAAAAAATGTATTATTTGCCATAAAATGATAACTTCATATTTAACTAATAGACCGAAATGACCAGCAATGTTTTTTAGTGTCTTATTTATTTGAAATGTTCACATTATGTTTGAACAACATAGATCAAGTATTAATGTTTTTGATAGTGTCAATATTTTAAAAACATTAATTGACCTCTGTATATAAATGACATTCTATGTTCATTATGTGAACTTATCAAAACTTGTCTGAAGTTTTATTCAATTTTATGAGAAATGGCACATAGTAGTAGTACAACTTCAAGAAGACAAGATGGTTCTATTCCCTCTCGGGGTTATGTGGAATCAGACTGGGAGGCCAAAGAAGCCCTTCGGCAAAGAGAGCTGGAAGAAGCACGGGCTCGGGCTGCTCAAATGGAGAAAACTATGAGATGGTGGTCTGATTGTACAGCTAATTGGAGAGAGAAGTGGAGCAAAGTTTGTTTATTTTTACTTTTGGATATATGGTTTACCATTGCTTTAATAAATCTTTTACTATTGTACAGCTTTTATCTTTTATTAACAGCCAAGTCTATCAATATCGCATACTTAGTTTTCAAACGAATTTCATTTCTTTAATTATTATTTGGTTGTTTGATGAATCATTGAATAAAAACATGAAAGAAGACATTTTCAACCTGTTAAGTTTGTTTTATTATTATTTTAATGTTCAATGCACAACAGATTTCCTATTACTTTTTGTGATATTTCATGTCTTTTCACATCATTATAAACCTGAACCATATTTTAAAATATTGTTATTAATTTAAAAAAAATAAATAAACATTCATCAAAGTTAATAAACAAGCTCTCAATCCATTAAGAATTTTTTCCATGTGTAATATTTTATCTCAAAGTTTAACATATCTTGAATTTCAAAGTGTTGAATTTGAGCTAATTTAACCAACATTGAGAAAAATGTTGAAGTACTACATAACTTTAGCTTTATTAGGCATGGTGTTTATTAAAAAGCTTTTAAAGTCCTCTGTAATTTGAAAATTTGTATTTTACAATTACTTCTATTGCTGTAAACATATTTCTCTTTTAATAGGTTAGAAATGAAAGAAACAAAGCTCGAGATGAGGCTAAACTTTTAAGATCGAAACTTGATTCTGCTTTAAAAGATGCAGCAACTTATAAACGCGAAAAGCAAGAACTAGAATCCCATAATGAACAAATGCGAAAAGAGCTGGAGAGGATTCATTTATTGCTTTTAAAACATGCTGGCCAATGGGATAATCAGCTTTTGGAAGCTCTTGACACTACAGAATCTGATACACCCAGAGAAAGTAACATCTTTGTTTATTTGATTAAATTTGAAACTTTAAACTGATAGTACTAAAAAAATTATCATTTTATTAGCTGAAACAGATGATAGAGAAGCAGAAAAAGATTCTGCTGTTGAAACAGGCAGTGGTGAAGATGTGAGATTAGAAATTAGTAGTTCTGAAACTAGCTGTCAAGATACAGAAACATTATATCAAAAACTTTCCATGCTTCAACTGAGGTTAGATGAAGCCACCAAAACACTGCAAGCTGAAAGAGAGTAAGAGGATATCTTTTTTGTTTTAAATATTATTTAGTTTGTATATTAAGCGATATATTATGTTAAAAGGGAAAAAAGTCAATTAGATAGAAGGGCTGAAAAGGCAGAAGCAGAAGTAGTCGAATGGCGAGAGCGATGTGAAGAACTTCGAGCCTCAAGGCAAGATGCAGTCCGAGAATTACTTGACATGCAGGATCAATACAAAGATGCAGTGGCTTTAATACAAGCTGATCTTCTTGATGAAGCTACTTCCAGAGAAGGAATGGATCGTAGACTTGCAGAACTGCGAGCCCAGGTAAATGATTTTAAATAAAAATTAGTATGATATACAGTGGTAATCGTAACAATTGGATTTAATATTTTACTAATCTCAATAATATTTTATATTTATAAAATACATTTTTATTTAGCCTTGCAGAATATGCAACTTAACTGTGAGAATTATCTTAGTATTATTTCGATCTTAATAGATTTTAGGTCGGAATTGGAGTAATTTTGATTTGGCCTGCAACATTTTTTTAAATTTTAAACCCTAAAAATTCATTAACAAGAGCAATTGAAATTATAATTTCTAAGAACAAAGAGAAGTTCTTATTATAAACTTTGCTCTAGTTGTAAAGCTGCTGCAGTTTATCAACAGTGAAATGTTTGTATTTAGCAAGTGGATGGACTAGTAATAACAACAAAACTGTTGGCTTAAAAGTGGAATGTATAATGGAAAAAAGATGTGATTTGAATTGAGAGAGGGAAATGCAGATTAAAATTTGAATTTTAAATTTTTTATGGAGAACCATTGATGATTATTATATTTGTCAGGTCACAGTGGCTTTGTATATTGATTAAATGGAGGCTGCCTTGATTAAAGTGCCCACCAGCAAGCTTAATACATCAGATACCTAATATTGTCGGGCATACAGGCTGCTATGTTTTTTCACTAGTATATTCTAGTGAGAACTCTCTCATTAGAGAGTTATATTTTCTCCTAATGTGTTCTGCATATAGGAAGCGATATAAATAAAAAATGTACAATGTAATAGATACTAAGATAGTCTATTCAGCACACACTATTGGTGAAGCTTCGTACTTAACTATAACTGTTAACGTTACTATTTACTTAATAAGATTAGCTTGCCTCACTGGAAAACATCCCTCCAGTAGAATAATACAAAAATAAGATATAGCTATCCCTAAACTTAATCTAATTCATAATTTTACTCACTCAAGACTTATTTGTTTGGTGTAGAAGTCTTGGTTTGTAGTTCTCTCACTCACTAAGAGTACTATTGTCTGTTACTGAGAGTATAGAAGCCATATCTGAATATTATTTTAATTTTTAGTTCATCGAAGACCAACATAAAATGCAATATTTTAATTTTTAGAATCTAAGCACGTGTTAAATATCCTATGGCAACCATACCAACTAAGAGGCATTCGGCATGAATTAAGATTTATCTTGGAAATGGTGCTTTTTGACCTTTAAAACACAGCGCCTGATAGATAGTTCCTTTCCGCAATTTATCATGTTTTGAATGAATTTAAGAATTAAAATTGGGATTTTCACTTATCCTAAAAATCACTTTTCGTTTGATACCTCATTCAGGAAAACTTATTATTCGGGGAGTGGTAAAAGGAATCCGCACTACATAACAAATTTCACCATTAATTTCATCAAATAAATTCTTGTTGTTTTACCTTTCTTGTTGAACTCATGACTTTAAGGACCTGCTCTTTGGAAATTAGTATTTGATTAGTTGCTGGGGGTACTCAAAGAGGTGTAGTTCCATGCCACGGCTTATGTCGATGACATGGCCGTAGTATTGGCATCCAGCAGCAGAGCCGGCTTGAAAGGAGAAGCAGAAAGGTACACCAATCTTGTCGGAGAATGGTGCGAGAGGAAATGGCTGGCACCAAAACCCAAGCTATACTTATAAAGAGTAAAACGGCTAGACTTCTCCCTATTGTCATGAATTACAAGGGATAAGGATAAGTCCGAGTAAGGAAGTTACCTTTGGAAATAAAGTATATAGATTTTTTTTTTGTATATAGCTTGTTTAACTAATATTTTCTTTTTTTGTTATTGTTTTATATTGACCAGAAGTAGTCTTTTAATGTTGTACTATTTTGTTATTCTAAAAGGAGTTTGTCCCAGAATAAAGTTATTTTCTATTTCTATTTCTAACCTATCTTGGAATCAGATTCGGTAGATAATTCAATGTTACTCCTCACTTGGATTACCTGAGAAATAGGATGACCCTAACCCTTAATGGAATATGTCCTATTGGTGGCATCTTCTGGGGTCTTAGGTATCCAGCAACGATGACTATCTGTAATGGAGTAGTACTGGGTATCTTAAGGTACACCTCCTCAGCTTGGAATCGTAACCTCTCGCAGCTACAGAAGAAGAGATTGGCGACAATCCAGTGAACGGCTCTGCTGCGAGTAACAAAATCCTGCAGGACTGTTGCTCATGAAGCGGTGCAGGTTTTAGCAGGAGGGATACCTCTCGACCTTCTCCTGCAAGAAGACATGCTTAATTATATTCTTAAGAAAGAAGGCTCTGCAAGTCTTCCGTAAAATCTCCAAGAAAGAATTGCTGCAGATCCATCTAAATGGCAAAGAATAATACGGGTGTACACCATTGAGCAGCCGAATCAACGGTGGGTAACTACTCATAAAGGCTTGAGGAAATACTTTCCTATCTATTCAAGGTTGGAAGCGAAATGGGTCCTCTCTGATTATTGTGTGTCGCAATTCCTGACAGGGCATGGGTGTTTTCGCATCAAGCTTCATGGCTTTAGAAAAGAAACTGATCCCCTATGTCCCTGTTGTGGTGTTCCGGAAACTGCTGAACATATCATCACGACTTGCACCGCTTTTGAAGCAATAAGGGCCAAACTACTGAGGGAAACCGGACTCTGCATCATAACGGAGGACGATTTCCCTCAGCTAGTAAGTAAGGATAACTACCCGTGCTATGAAGTATTTGTGTACGGGTGGAAGGAATTGGTAGGGGATGATCACTTCAACCTCTGCTAACGAAGATCGAAGAACCAGAAGATAAGTGGTAGAAGTATCAACTACTTCTACCAAAAATCTGTATTGCTGAGAGGCAAGGAAAGATGAAAATAAAATAACTGTTGATTTTAGAGATTTTAATCAACATTTTTTCTTCAATTTATTAGAGTTACTTTTATGTATATAAATTTCATTAGTAAATTGATGACTATTCTAGAACTGCTATTTTTATTTTTAAAATTTAATTTATTATAGCTTGAAAGGCTTCAGGCTGAAAATGCTGCTGAATGGGGTAAAAGGGAAAGATTAGAAACTGAAAAACTTACCCTTGAACGTGAAAACAAACGTCTCAGAGCAGAAGTAAGAGATATGCAAGAACGGCTAGAGCGTCGAAGTCGACCACAAACTGCTGCTGATACTGATTTGAGACATCTCCAGCAAGAACTGAATGACAAATCCAAAGTAAATATCTTTTTATTTCTGATTTTTGCTAAATAATTCATACTAGTAGTTGGCCTGTGTGGATAGTTAGTAAAATAAATTGTTTAGTGAAGAAACTAAGAATTTAGTAAACCTTCAAATAATCATGGGTCTAATCAAGAAAAAAAATGTGTACGTTTTATGTTTTACTCAAATAAAGTTTCTTTTCATTCATATTTTTTTTCTGAAATTTGGAGTGGATGTTACTATGATTCACCACTGCTCCGTTTGATACCCTTTTGTTTGATACCTTATTCATCAAAACCCATCCTTCTAGAGAGCCGGAAAAGGCATCGTTACTTCAAAAAACTATCTTCAATATATAAAGATAGATTTTATAAATTAGATTTTAAAAAAGTATAAAATTTAATTATTCCAAAAAAGTCTAACTTTTTCTTATTCTAACTTTCTAATTATTGCAAAGCATTTGGTCTGTTGTCTTATTTGGTATCATAGCTAATGTCATATTGATCAATAAACTGATATAGGTGACAACAAAAATTTGTCTGTGTTTCTGTTATAAAAATGAGATTAAAAAAAATGGTAACCAGACTGTAATATTTTGCAAAGTAAAATTATATAATGATTCCCAATAAAGGAAGTGAGGTCATTCATTAACTGATTTTTTTACCTGCCCCTTCTCCGCCATTAAAATTTTTTTCAAAATAAATAACATTAATATTTATAATGAACACTGCACGTAGATGCTTGCTACTCAACATGTTTTATATTGAGAACGGTTAATAAAAATAAAAATAATAAGACCAAACTTGTAGCAGAATTAATTTTCAACTAGTTTTTATAAACTCTTAACAAAATAAGATGCACCCGAAACAAGATATTACAAAAAAAAAGTCCCCTTTTTTTTACATTTGACCTTTAATAACTTGAGGCACCAACACAAGATTATATCAGACTTATAGTCAACATTTAGAATGTTGAAATAAATGTTTATGCAGAATTTTAGCTTTACATATTTTATTCTAAGGTTCTGCTCTTATTTGACTGGTCTCAATCTTACTGACGTCTATTGTTATTCATGTATCATTTCATTTTCATGATTTAAAGGGTTATTTGTATTCTTCTTTTTCAATGTAGGAATTGTCTGACTTGAAACATAGCCAAAATAAACTGAAGAAGACCCTAGCTGATAAAACAACAGAATTAGCCCATACAACACGCCGAGCAGAACAATATGAAAATGAGGTTAAACGACTTAGAGGGAGGGTAGAAGAATTAAAAAGAGAGTTAGCTGTGGCTGAAGATGAAGTGGATTCCGCTACCAATAATATAAGGTATTTTAAAAAATATTAATATGGCTTTAGTTTTGGATTTTAAGGATTATTTTTATGAAATTTGAATTCCTGGCTTTACGACACATTATTATGAACTATCATACATTATTTAATGTGATACCTTGTCCATAATTCAATCTATGAATAATCATCCAATTATTCACTCTATTGATACTGTATAACTTCTTAAGTTGAAAAATGTAATAGTAAATTCATACTGATTAATATGATTGAAATATTAATTATGTGGATATTTTTAAAAACAGAAAACTCCAGAGAACTAATGATGAACTTCAAGAACAAGTTGAAGGCCTTCAGGTGCAATTACAGCATTTACAAACAAGGTACTTATTTTTTCAGTTTAATTTACTACCTGATAAATGCCTGAAATAATGTTTATTTTTTTATGCTTCAAATAATAATTTCATTTCCATAAAAGCTATCATTGTAATAAAGTCTCTTCAGGATTTAAAAGAAAGTGTTTTTAGTTAAATATAAGTTTTCAATTAATTCACATTGGTCACAAATAAATAAAAAATTCTAGTGATTTGTAACAATTAAGGTATTCATGGTGGATTGTATGATAAACAAGGAGATGTTCAGAAAAACATTTAATAATTTTTAACTGTTTGTTTTATTTTATTATTTCCTTTTTATTTGTTGGCCCAAGACTTCCATTGAAGTCCTATACTGCCCCTATTGTTATATTATCAAAGAATATAGGTATGGATGTAAATTATTTTTTTTAAAACATTTACTTTAAATTCTTCTATAAATCTGCACAATGGCTGAATGATATTCCTATCTAGATCTGCCAGCCCTTGGAGGAAAACACTATTGTTTTGGATAAGGGATATTTATTCCAGTATTTATCATATTTGCTGCATTTTTGTATAATGTGTAAAAGTTCCTCGATGAAGTTGTATTTCGAGCATTTATTATATTAAGTATTGGCTGAGCAACGTTCTTTCTTATACCTGACATTCTTACCTTTTGTTGACATCTTTCTTTTTTAGTGGACAAAGAATGAGAAGCTCGCTGCTGCTGCAATGCAGTTACCTCTTTGAGTAGGCTGACGTTGCTTTGGATGTTACGGGAGTGCAGGGAAGTCTTGTAGTTCCATTGGAGGAACGATAAGATGAGTGGGCACAGGCCTGAGATGGGCTTGAATTCGTGCTCCTCTTAGTGTTCCTAGCTCCTTCAAGATCCGGCTTCCCCTATAGCTTTCCGGATAGTCTCTTTGGCAGTTTGCATACTTAGCAGGTGTATCCCATGATTTCTGACATGAGAAACTTTCATGTTTTTCCTCCACTTAACACGCCTGAGTGTATGGTTTCATGTGTAGGTATTAGTATGGCCTAACTGTTGACACCTACACCTACTTCTTCCACAGTTCTTCAATAGTTACTCGAGTGTAATCTGAAAAATGTTTTCACTGTATGTTAGTTTTGTAATATTTATGAGGTAATGGCTCTTTATATCATTATATTGCATTGATGTTGTTTACTGCTTTGTAATCATAATCTTTTATTCCCTCAACAATGACTGGTTTGGGAATTAAATAATTTATTTATTTTTATAACTTCCCATGGACATCTGTTCTTGGGCAGCTGAATGTATGAAAGTCAGCACCTTGTATTCCAAGATAAAAGAGACAAATGTTTTTTGCAGTTGACTTTAATTTTAATGGTGGACCACAGACAGTTTGCAGGAACTCAACTGATGCTAAGTAATTTTCAATACCATTAACATAAATGGGCAGTGGATTGTTATTAATTACCTTTTGGCTAGCCTTTATGGTCGAGTCTTTTTCTTGTTGCTCAATACTTCAAACCTATTATGGGTTGAAGTTAAGAAACTGAAGGTCTCTTTTGTTTCCTTCAGTGAAATAGGGACTTCAGAATGGGGATTGCTACCATTTAAAATATCTCAGATCTCTTGTTCATTTTGAGAATGTGTTTCTTCAGTAGAGTTCGTAATCTGCATTACAAAAGTTTTGGCAGCGTCTGAGGATGTCTCCCACTTAAATTTCCCACTAATATTTATTCACTTCTTATAGTTCTAAATGTAAATAGGTCCTTTTCTAATCGCAATACACTAATCAACCATAATTTTAAATCATAATAATGCATAATAAAGCATATTATAAAATAACTAACATTTTCACGATGTATCTCTTAAACCAGCAATATTTAATTACATTAATTCAGCTGTTTATAAGAAATTTCATAGTTTGTGATATTACATCAAACTGAGCACAAAAAGATTAATTGTAATAGCCAAAAATTGTCATTGGTTCTAAGTCTCAAAAACTAAAATAACAAAGATGTTGAAACTAAAGAAGTTTAAAAAAAAAAAATCTTAACAATATTGTTTTGTACTGACATGCTCTGCCAAAAAGATGGAAAAAAGTTATTAATAAGCTTGAAAGTCTTGTTTTAAAGAGATGAGTGCAGGTATATCTTTTGACAAAATATGAAACATAAATCTTTGCTGTATTCATCTGGATAAATTCTCTCTTATTATGTGTTTGTCCTGTTAGGTTTATTTTAAAAAGATTTTTTAGAGACTTTGTTTTATCAAGATCTACATTTCATCAGAATAAATTATGTGATCTGAAATTTCCCAGTTTAAGAGAGTAAACTGCCTCTGAAATAATAATGAAGATTGGATTTTAGTATAATTGATAAAAAATGTTAGTGTATAGAAATTTAAAATATCTGAAATCCATATTAGTTTAAATGGTATCCATGTGCTCCATTTTATTAATTGATTTATCTCTTTTAAACTACATTTTTTCTCACCTATTTCTTGAATGTCTTTTGATTCAATTAATAGTTTTCTTTCTTAATGTTTTGCTTACATATGGGATGAAATGGTAATGTATAGTAGTTGTATAATAATACCTGAAGTAATAACTACTGTTGAAGAAGATCTTAGACAAGTTGAAGACATACTTGTGGATCATTTATAATATAATTTAGTTTTGAATGGCTTATATATTTTTATAATTAAATTACTGAACTGTTTATTCAGTATTATATAGAACTAGTGATATAAAGACTGCTATTAGAGACTTATTAGTAATTGAATGGTCAGTTGGTTGTTATGATTTATAAGTGCTGTTTATCAGTCACGAAATCTTAATTATTTACTCCTTCTGTCATGGAGTATGTCTTCATTTGTTCCGTTTAAACTCCATTGTATTATAATATTTATTATAATTAGTGTGAATTGACTTTAACTCAAATATATTAAGAAATATATAGTAATATACATTCAGCCTTTAGTGCTGACATTTGGGTTTTGATATAAATATTTTGATAATAAAATTACTTCAAATATTTTTGTAATTATGTTATGAACTACGCCATATTAAAATTTTTTTGAAAATAATTTATGGCACCTGTCATGTTTCCTATATTTGTTGAATTCTTTCTTTGATGAAGTAGTTTAATCCAGTCTTATTATTGGAATTACTATTGAGCTCTTCATTGACTACTGGAGCTCTAAACCTTTGTAAATGATTATGTGTAGTCTATATAAACACTGAGTATTAAGATGGTTATTATTCAAAGTTATGATCTCATGTTTATCTTTGTCAACTGTGCAAATCCAGAGTTTGTTTGCCATTGAACAATAACTCTTGACTAAAACATCTTGAATTTAAGTACTGTTGGTGAATACATTTTTTTAAAAATCTTACATCAATTTTTTAAATTAAATTGGGTCACTTATTTGTCACCAAATTGATAGTTAGCTGCAATGATGAAAATACCTTACTTGAAGTTCTGTTGCATAATGATATGTTGTGTAGATTCTAATTTGTTTGAACTTATTGTTTCATTTCAAAAGTAATCCTAAAATTATTTTATTTAAATAGAATGAGAAGTTCAGTTGGTTCTCACCGAAGTCCTAGTATTCAGGAAGATGATCAGAGTGATGAAGATACATACTGATAAGTAGTATTTATTTTCAAACGTTATACCAAAGATTTTATATATTTGTTAAAATTGTATTTTATTTGATTGTAATTTTATTATTGCAAAGATATTTGCTCAAACTTTTATCTTAAATTACACTATGTGTCGTTATTTTAATCAGGATAAAAACATTTATAGAACCATGAACTATTCCTATGTTTAGGAATAGTTTAAGTACTATGTTTTTTTTTCTTTTATTAATGTATTTCCATGTTTCAGGTTCTGTTTCTTCTTAATATTTGTATTATAAAAAGGTGCACATACTATAGTTATGAAACTAACAAAACCCTTAAAAAGCTAAAGCTTTGTTTTTAAATAAAATAAAAATTAAGTTTTATAATTTATTGAACTAAAAGCCTTCACTAAAATAATTAATGTAGTCTCTGTTTCATTTGAAAAAACATTTTCATGAAGTTTTTTATGTTTTTAAATTCCTAATGATTTCACATTAAAATAATTTAATCTTTTATAAATTTCAAAGCCTGCACAAAATATATTAATATTATTTTGTACCCTAACTGGTCCACTGTTTAACTCATTAATAATTATCATGTAATTAAAATTATTTTCATTTATATCAAGACATTTCTATTCCATAATAGGGAGTCTCATAAATGATGGAATATATTTAAAGAAATAATAAGCAACCAACAACAAAAATATCAATATGTACGATGTCCGTTTTCATACAAAAAAAGCAGGAAATTTAAGTTTGTGGTTTTTATCAAAGTAAATAATTTTTTTGCTAAATGAGAAGTGATAATTAAAACAATTATTAAGTTGTGTATTTACCAATTGCAGAGCATCATAAACTAGACAAAATTTTCTTCTTTTTTTAAAAAAAGTAAAACATTTTCTTTATTCGTTCTTAAAATTTTGGATTATTTCTGATTTTATTTCCTCATATTAGACTATTAGAATCCCTACTTTAAAAAAAAAAAAAAAAAAACCTTGTATGGATAATTTGCTTAGGCATATTTATAAATTAAAAAGATATAAAATTATATTTTAATGTGAATTTCCTGACATATTGTCTGCATTACCGTTGTATAGTACCATGTCACAGCACTCATAATTATTGTGCACGGTAGCTAACTGGATCCTTAGAATCTGTCTAGACAAGAATTTACTAATTCTAATAATGTAAGAATCAACTCCTATAATTGAAATCTGTGTAAAGTGACTATAATTTGAAAACATTTATTTAAAAAAACAATAACTAAGGCAGCACTTTAGATCAATGTATCAGTAATAGACACTTTAAGAAAAGTTTTTAACATTAATGTGAACTAAAGTTTTAGTTCTGATGGTAGATCTTTCCAAATGGATTTAATTGAAAGCAAATTTAGTCTTTTATCGAAATACGTGTGCTATATAAGACAGTGTGTATCAGTTTTCATAAAGAAATTGGAAAATTCTGACATGATTTTGAACCAGTGATAGACACTTAGAATTTTCAAAGATCCATTAATAGACACTCTTTTGTACCAGTTATAGATAGGTTATTTTCTATAGGAAAAAATTATAACAATAAACAAAAAATAAAATTATAATATTTAAAAAATATATATCTTTTTAATAACAGGCAAATGCATTAATAGGATAATAAATTATAAATTTGTCTACACATTTTCAAGGGGTTTATTAACCTCAAAATGGTCATTTTTGTAAATAAACGCATCGACGTTAATAGGAATGCAAAAAGAATGCATTAAACCATTTCCAGCCAGTACAGTCATTTGCGAACAAACTATCTCTTTTTAATTCTTTGATAAGTTATAAACTATCTAAAACGTTTCCTTTGATTGGGGAATCCAGTATTTCCAACTGAAATAATCCAATCTAATAAAATTCAATCTTCATTACCACTCAATGTTGAAGAATGTTTCTTTTTCGGTTTATTGGTGATTTTTCCTTAGCTTTTTACATTAAAGTTAATCGTGGCATGCCATGTTTTTTAGCTAAAATGACGATTGGTATGCCATGATGGACATCACAAATCGCATGTAGCATATTTTCTTCTGGATATTTCCATATTTTTTGTGATTGCGTGGTGCTTACCTGTAAGCATTAACATAAAATGAATTACATTAATTTAACCAAAGCATTACAATTACAGAAGGATTTATCCGTGAATCAGACAGCCTGGGATGTCAAAAATTATTATTATTGCTAGTTTCTGTGATCAGAATTATATAAAACTTCCAGGCATACTATTTTTTAATATCTACTAACCAATCAGTGAACTAGTTAAAAACGAAATTAAAATACTGAAATGATCCAGTTTTAGACATGGGTCTCTACCTCTATTAATCTTACTACCTCTGTTGGTTAAATCCGGTAATGGACACCCAAGTTTAGCGGATAATAGGTTATTTTACAAAATTTAAAACAATGAAAACAAATTCTGTACTGCTTTTAAATGAAGAAATGGAAAAGTATCGCCTAATAAATAGAAGTTATCCCAAATTATCCATACAATTTTGAACTTACCTCCTCAAAAATGATAAGGCAGTCTCTGTATGACAAACACCTAGTCTTGTTTTATTAAGAAATTAACTGCCAAGCGGCCATTAGAGCATGAATTAATCTCTAGTTCAGAAATCACCTTTCTGAATGTGCCAGCTAAAAACTTAGTTGAACTTAAAATCTCTAAAGGGCGTAAAAATGTTCATTAATATCATTATGTTCATTGTTCATTATGAATTCAAAAGTATCTATTACTGGTTCATTTGCCTGACTGGTACTTTATGAAAGGTCAATTTTTTTAATAAATAAAATGAAAGATACTTTAGAGAAAATTTTTTTGAAAATTCGGCACTTATGGCCAATAATAAATAAGCATTTATCGTCAAACCATTTCATTGGGGGTAATATCTGTCTGATATTGAAGACCACATGATTTTACATTGATGTAACGAGTTTGACCACAATCATTGCCGTGGTTTTGGGGACAATTGTGAAAATCTGGTGATACAAAGTTTCACATCTAGTTAGTCGATTTTTGGGTTAAAAGTTGCTATAACTTCCCAGGCCTTTAATACATAATTTCAGTTTCATTTGATTTTTTGTTTTTTACTCCTCCCCTTCCTCGCCTTATTCACAAATATACCTACACGTTTGCAAACTTGGATATTTTTACTTTAGGAACCCCGCAATATTCCCTCATACTACATATTTCATATGTAGGTAAGTGAAAGTAAAAAAGTATCATTAAGATTATTTAATTAATTAATGACTAATATTTTCTCAAAAATCATATTAGTAACTAGGAAAAAGAAACAATCAAATTACTTAAACATGAAAAATAATAAAATCGATGTATGTGTATATATATATATATACTGAAACCTATAAAAACAATGTTTAAATTTTTAATATAAACAAAAAAAGAAAATGTGGTTATTTTCTTAATAAAGAAAAAAATATCGGATAAAAAGATTGATATATTTTACAAATTTGTCAATATTTTGATGTTTTTCCAACATCCCTTCAAGTGACCCAACTCTAAGTGCTAAATAAATATATAGTCATTCCTAATTTAATTTTCACATTGCTGTGGTCATGTGTTATAATAGACCGAGAAAAACCTATACTAGCCTTTTAACATCATATTAATTTATCACGAAAAATTATGAAATGATGGGAATTAATTTTTAGTTGCAGCTTCATTTTTTATTAAATCAAAAAAGAACAAAAAAAATTAAACAACCATGTGCTGTACAATTTGGAATTATTTGTTGTTTAATTACTAAGTGCGTTTTTAAAACTTCTCATATTTCATGTTATATATTGTTATTATTATAGTAGCTTATTATAATTTTATTAATGTACAAATAATCGAATTATTTGTAGGACATTTTCAAGTTAAAGTATTGCACCACTAACTTTTATGACATTGATGCTCTTCTTTTTCCTTTTTGTCAGCTAAATTAGTTCTTATTTGTTGAAGTTTAAAGTTTACAAAACCTTGAAATATATATTTATATATATATAAATTGAAATGTAATAAATTAATTTTAATAAAAAGGGTTTAAATTATTCCTTGTTAAAGTAAAGTAGCTTTATGATGTTTATGGTAGATCAAAATATTTAAATACTTCAGAGATGGGTAAGTAGTTGGCTGTTGAAATTATAAGGATGAAAAAAAATTGTCGGGATTTGCAGTCAAAAAATTCTTTAATGTGGTAGCCGATGTTTTTATGCAAACATGTGGGTCATCATCAGGGCTAAGCATTAAAAAATATAAAATAACATCTGAAATACAATAAATATAAAATTATAAGAATAAAGAATAACAGTAATAAGATAATTTTGTGGTTTTCAAACCAATGGTAATTGATAAGAAACTATTTATATTTACTAAACTCTATTTCTATATGTTTTTTTTTGTCATGTTTGTTCATTTTTATTATTTATATACAAACTTTTTTTGTACTTCATATTTATTGAATTGTTTTATTTACTCTAATTATTTTGTTTATTAATCTTTTACATTTTACATATTTATCTTTTTCTTTTATTTATAACACAAAAACCTTTTCTTATCATATTTCAATGTTTTTATTATTTTTATGTCTATACAACCGTTATTTCATTTATATGTTTCACTTTTTTCTTTTCTTATACTTGTATATTTATTATTTTTCTTATGTTATTTATTTACTCTTAATCTCATTATTATCTTATTACTGTTATTCTTTACTCTTGTTCTTTTATATTTATTCTTTTTCTAAATATAATAATATAGCCCCGATGATAACCCACATGTTTGCGTCGAAACGTCAGCTAACTAAAGAAACTTTTTTACTGCAAATCCTGACAATTTTTTTCATCCTTAAATTAGATTTTTAAAAAACACATTTATTACAATTATAAATCTTTCAAAGCAATTATTAAATTATTTCTATTTTATTTTAAAACATAATAAATAGAATTACATGTTTTGTAATAGTAATTACTATATGTTTAATGTGCCTTGAAAAGACGACCAACATTCTTGAATTAAGTAAAAAAAGATGAAATTTTTTATTATTTATATATATGCAGTTAAAAGTTGTATGTATTTATTTATATTTGTGATAATTCAGCATCACTTTTTTTCTGATAAAAAAATTCTCTAGGTTTATTTTATGAATTTTAAATGCCTTATTTATATATATAAACTTATTTGTTACTCTATGTTTACCTTTTCTTTAATTCTGATTTTTATGTTTGATTTGATTTTTCAGCAATTTAATTCTGTTTAGTAATATTAAATCTTCATTAAGATATATTCCTTGTCTATAATTATTACTACAGTACTAGTCTATTTGATATTTAATTGTGGCTGTTAATATATCTTAAAATCATTCTTTAAATTATTATTTCCATCTTAAATGTCAGTATTATTATATATCCATATTTTTTATTATTTTTTTTATAAAATATTGTCATCTCAAACCATTAGTATTTATAATCAAATTATAATATATTTAAAAGTTTGGAACTCAGTTATAGATACCTTATAAAATTAATTTACTTTGTAGTTCATGATGGACATAATTTAAATAACCTCACCTTATAAAATTAAATTACTTTCTAGTTCATGATGGACAAAATTTAAATAACCTGAATCTTTGTATTGTGTTTTTTTTTTTTTTTGTGATAGTGAAGCTTATTAACTTATAAAACGATAAACCAGTATATTGTTTCTGTTGTAACTCATGGATGATTCTCAGATCTATCCATCCTTAAGAGAGGGATAACAACATTTTAGTGTCGTACTTGAAATGTATATATACATCAATTCCAGTAATGCAATATGTTCTATGCCTGATGTTATAAATTTTTCTAGTTCTTTGTTTCGCTTTAAGAACCTCTTTAGAATAAAAGGAGCAGTAGCTGTCAGTGTACCAAAATGCGAATATTGAGATTTCAGGATCTCCTAGACCTCTTATTTCATAAATTTTTCTCCTTGTATTATTTGTTAGCTTTGCTTTTATCTTGCCAGTGAAATGAAAAATATAAAATTTCAATGCTTTATTTTGCTTAATTACACCCTTTTTCTCATCCCTCTCAGCTACAGGTACAAAAAAATTCTCTAAATTCACAATTATTTTAAATATAAGTGGATATTTCATGGATTTTAAGTGTGCCTTGGCAAGTTGAGAAATAGTTCTGTAAGATAAATTCAAGTAAAATGCAATAATATCAATATTTTAAGTTTTACACCTAAAAATTCAAAGAAATTTCCTTAACCATGTCAGCTACTGGTGCATTTACAGTAAGCAGAAACAAATTATTCTATATTATAATTTTTTAATATCTGTTCTAATGAATGAATATCAAAGATAAATTAATTTTACGTTTCATTTTTAATTTTTATATAGTTTTAAGTTTATTAAGATTATTTAGTAATTCAACACTTATTATTTTGAATTAATTTATATTTAGTTGAAGATGCTATTGAATCCTCTATCCTTAGAATGATTTAAAATGCATTATTTATTTGTACCTTCAATGTTTTTATTTATTATTAAATTTAATTATTTTGCTATTTAAATTAATGAGGATACTCAACTGTTCATCTTATTTCTTGTTGACTTGGTTCAATTTATCATTTTTTTATAATGTTGTAAATAATGTTATGTTAGTATAATGTTAATATATGTAACGTTAATTAGTGATTATTTTATATTAATATGTATTTAATGACCTAAATGTTTTCTATGAACCTACGTTACCTGTGTTATTTTCATTCCATCCCAATTTGATTATGTATATATGTATATATATTGTTATGTATAGTAATACCTTTTAAATGATTATTTATTAAGATTAAAGGTGATTATTTTCCTTCTGAATTGTTTTAATGTTAATTTTCATATAAAATTGTATCATGCGAACTAATTTGTAATTGTGGGTAAACATTAAATAAATTAAAATTATTAGTAAATAATTTTCAGCATTGGTAATTTAAAAATAAAATAGACCCACAGCTAAGAATGGCTTTTGGGCAGAAACTAGTTGTAAATGAATTTATAATCTACTCCATTCCAATACTGCAATTTAAATAAGTGTGGTCTGCACTGACTTATGCCATGTATTCATGAGTTTAATGGTCCTATTTAAAACTTATGTCCTCAACACTCTTTTTATTTATTTTTTCAACCTATATCCATTTCTGGCTTTTTTAGCAGCAGTGGGGTAGTGTGCGTTTCATCACCATGGATAAAAACTTTTTTTTCCATTGTTCTTTATTAGTATAAAAAAGAAAAAATGAAAATTAATATTTAACATATAAAATGGCCAGGAAAAAGTATTATTTATTATAATAATAAAATGCTTAGTAAATCTAATAAAGGTTCAATGCTGATACCACCAGTCTGTCTACACAGCTTCCAACGGCTGCTGTCCAAACCCAATACTGCCTGCCAGGTCAGTTTTTAACATAACCTTTCCACCTTTGGTTCGGTCTACCCCTCGGCGCAGTGTATATAAATCTTTTAGGAATTATTTCGTTACTAAGCCCTAGCATGCCCACTTTACTTTCTGCAATTCACCTCATATTATTTAATATTAAAAAAAATATTTGTGACTGTCTACTCTTTGTTTTATTTTCATTAATTTTTAGTATGATGGCTTCACCACCATCAGCTTTCAGTAGTTCAAACATATCAATAAGGTATTGTTAATTCCATGCTGTTAAGCTAATATTTCCATTAATGTTCATTTTCGTTATTACTCTGAAGCATAAAATTAAATACTGCAGCAAACCTAATATATCAACTTTTTATAAAGGAAGTTTAAACTTCGAAAACCTTTCCCTATAAATTACTGAGGTGAGAGCTATGTTGTTAGGTAGTTTGTTTCAATAAAATCTACATATCAACATAAAAATAGCATACAATCTACATTGATTCTTGATTAAGCAAATTTCAGTTTATTGCAGACATGGGTACTGTAAAGGCACAACTAATTATTATTTGGAAATCAAAAGTTTAATAAAAACATGAAAAATAAATATGTACTTTTGACTGTGTTTTCGACACATTTGTTATATTACATTTATAAATTAAGTATGTGTCAGTAATGAATATCAGCATTATGTACTGCTTTGAAGTTTTCAATTCCCAAAAGTTTTAAATTAATAAGAATTCGCTGTTTCATTCATTATAAAAATCCTTTTTAATTTTGAGGAAGGAGATGGTCCGGGATGACGGTCATAAAAAAAACTAAAAATAGTGAAAAAATAACTTTATTTTATCATCGCTTTTAATTTTATTTACATTATTTACAATTACAAAAATAACTTAGTATTTACATATATTATACATCTTCAACTGCTCCTATAAAAGCTTCAATATTTTTTACCTGTCCTGAGAGTTCTGAAAATTGTGTTTGGTGAATCCTGGGTAGAATCTCCAATCAACTATAAGGAAGTAAAACAAATCATTATTCACAATGAATTATATTATCTACCTACAAATAGCATAAACAAAAAGAAAATTCATTAATAAACTTTTATGACTACTCAATATGCCCAAACTTAAATCATATTTTATTTTCTTAAAAAATGTCTACTGCTAGCAAGGGAAAGCTAGTCAGTGGGCCAACTATTTCAAACATATTTTTTTCAGTGATACAAGATCAAAAAAAGACACTTATCCCGGTGTTCTTTCCAATAGGCTCTAGGAACTCAGAAAAACATATTTAATACAATTTCAAACAAAATTTAGGTTGGAAAGCTGAATTACTGTTCTTCTAACCTACATAAATAACTTTTTATTATATCTTTGCTTCTAATTCATTTATGGATGCCAGTTTTGTATCATTTAGAGGCCTTAATTCCTAATAAGTTTTGTGTGGATAGGTGGAGTTTTTCTTAAGTTATCACAATTTTTGTGGTTGTCAACAAACTTTTCATTTTTTGATTGCTATAAAAATTTGTTTTTTGATATTCGTTTTTCGTACCTCAAAAAACGAATATCAACTTTGTTTCTCTCTAAATAAATATTTACTCTATATACCAGACTGGTTTTGAATAAATATTATATTTGGCAAAAGCTACAATAGAGACAGAATTTGGACCAATCGACGTAGCAATGTGGAAGTAAATATTTTTTGAGGTTTTTCGTATCTCAAATAATCCTTAAATACGACAACCACCAAAAATTATTAGGAATTAATGTCTAAATGCTACACGAATTGGTACAAAAGCAACGTCAGGAAACAAATTAGAAGCAAAAATAAATAATAAAAATTATTGATGTTTTTCTTAATTTCTAGTTTAAAAAGGAAAAAATCCTTTTCCTCACCCCTAAAAGTGATCGATATAGGTTAGAAGAGCAGTATTAACCTTTCCATACAATGGCTTTTTAGAAGTTATAAATGCTTTAGTTATCGGCCACAAATATTTTTAATAAGAAAATCAAGTATTAAATTTTCCAAATTTTTTATTTCTCTAAAAATTCATATTTGGGAGTTTCAAAGGACACTACTAACTTGCCCGACCATAACAAAAATACTTGGCCTACTTTACTGGAGGCGCGCCTTTAGGTTTTAGAAATTTGTGACCGAATGGGCTAAAGCGTGTGCACTGCACCACCATTGTCCGGCAACCTGACATATAAATCAAAGATAAAAATAGTCAGGAGTTCGCATCCCGATGGCAGGGGAGTCTTTTGAAATCCCTGCCCACACCCCCTGGCCCGGGAAAATCCCGTATAGCCTTAACAGCGAGGAAGAAAGGACCAAAAAAAAAAAAATAAAATAAATAACATACATTTTGTTTGAAATTATATGAAATATTTTTTTTCCAGCTTCTATGGCCAATTGAAACAGACGCCGGGATATGTGTCCAATATTTTCCGATATAATAACACTGAAAAAAATTTGATTGAAATTGGTAATCCTCTGACTGTAGCCTCACCTTGTACGGTGAGAATACGTAGATGTCTACCAATTATTTGCTTCCATTTAACTGGTAACAATCATCTCCACAATCCGTTACAAAATATATAGAGGATATATGAAACAAATTGGGAATATAATTATAACTAAAAAGAAAGATTAGAATGAATGAATCCTTCCTGCATTTATTGTGGCTTACATTAGACGAGGCATTGTCTTATTAAAGTTTGATTAAATTCTTGGGGATCTTGTCATAATCATCTATTAGAAAAACTATTAATTTAATGGAATATTGTATTAACGAAATATACAATATAACTTTTGGTGAAACGATACATTTTATTCACCTTAACAACTCATTAGATAAGATGCATTATGAAGTAAAAAATCTGGTGTGCACAACACACAACTTTCACTTATTGCTCAACTTTGAATAGAAATTATTTTCTGGCCATGTTGGCTATTATAAAATTCTTTTTGGCTATTATAAAACTATTTAATTGCATTTTTAACAGAGCTAAAGCTAAAAAATTACACCTAACAAATCATAAATACCATTAAAATAACAAAAGTCCTATTTATTATATCACCGGTTGATTATGGATTGTAAGACTATTAGTTATTATACTGTTATTTTCCATTGCAAAGTTTACTAAAACGGAATTAAGAGATTTGCATTGTCTGTCATAGACAGGTCAAAAGTTGTCACACTAATTGTAAGTGGAGAGATTGTTGGAATATCACAAAAGAAAATGTCTTCAAACTAATTTAAATAGTTGTTTCAGCTTAATCAAATCTTAATTTTAATTTTAAATATCACTTGCATCAACAGTTTTACAAATTTAGTTTTATGTAACCTTCAGTTTTGTTCTCATATACTATACTATTGTCTTAAGTTATTTTAAAACAAAATTCATCTTGTTATTCGAGGTTCATCTTTTAGAAATTGTATTTATATTGACATTTAAAAAAAAAACTTTAGTTTTTAAATGTTTGTTGTCGCCTTACAATTCAACTGATTATTTCATAGAGTTCAAATAGAGTATTTACAAAAATAGCACAAATTGTTTCATTCACCAGTCTGGATAGGAAACAAGTAATAAATATTAAAGTCTAAAAGCACTAAAAACATATCACATAAAGCATACAGTATCAGGAGGTTCACCAAGATCCTCTTCGGAAGTTTTTTTATATAAAACCCTTCGAGCAGATTGGCCTCTGGAAATAGAAGCTGAATCAGATTTACCCATGGAGGTAGAAGCTGAATCAGATTTACCTAAATCAGAAAAAGAAAAGTGTAAGTGAAGTTTGATAAATATACCAATTTATACTTAACTAGTAAATGACTTGTATATATAATCTACAGAGTATATTGATTTGTGACCAAATTGTAATATATTATGAAAATAAGTAAAAGCAATAAATTTTGAAGGAGAGGAATTATTTTTTTTCTCCATCTATTACAATAATTCATTATAGAAAATAAACGTAAATATGAGTAAAAATAAAATTAGGCTGCAGTATTGCTAATAATGGGCCGATTTAGGTTTTTTCTTTAAGTAAAGGATTAAGATATCTTTCAAACCACATAAATTTTATAATTTATGAGTTTTGGGCAAATTAAGTTTTATTTTATTCATAAATTATTGTATTGCTTTCTTTCTGAAGGATGTACAAAAGGGAGCAAAAAAAAAAAAAAAAACGGAATATCGTCATAGCATTTTATTTCTTAATATGTTTACACCAAATTTTAATTGTCTTCAAAGTATTCTCCCTTGACCACAATACACCTCTCTAAACGATCCTTCCATTGTTCAAAACATTTTATAAATTAACTTATTGGGATGTTTCTTTAGGCCTTCCAGCGATTTTTGTTTTACCTCATCCACAGTAGAAAAACGTTTTCTCTTGTGTATCTTTTGAGTCTGGGGAACAAAAAGAAATCATAAGGGGTTAGATCCAGTGTGTAGGGGTAAGGAGGAGGTGGAGAATCGATGTCGGTGAAAATCAGGAAATAGCCAATTTGATGAATTCGCCCATTTTACAAAACATCAAAATATATTATTTGAAAATAGTTAGCAACCACAGCAATAATCTTAAAACATAATAGAAACAAATACAATGATATTTAGATAACAATTGCATATCATGCAAAGTAAAAGCTATTAAAACAAGAAAAAAAAAAAAAATCATTATCTCAAAAACTCACCATCAAAATAATATGAACTTTCTAGATCTTTAGCCTGCCTTCTTTTCTTCCTAAAACAAGAGTTATAGAAAATAATCAAATGGAACCTGATAAAAACAGAAATTTTACTTTATTGCCTCATTAATATAAGGATAAAAGCAAAAGAATCCTCCCACAAAGACTTGAAAATGATTCACATGAGAGAAGTTACAAAACAAAACAGATATTTATGAAAATAGAAACTGTATATTACGGCTTATCGAAAAATAAAACTTACAAAAATTCTAATTATAACAACAATTTAAGATGTTTTCAAACAAATTATTTTAGAAACACAATAGTTTTTTAAAAAATGTTTTGAATTAAAAAAAAGATTTGACTTTAATGACAGAAAAAAATCAAATAAAACTGCAGAATCTTTTCACTACTTGGAAATCTGAATTCTTCACATAAGACAATCATATTAGAACTTACAGAAGTAAGAGTAACATGGTTAATGTAGACTGCGGTGTTAGAGCTTAATTGCATAGTAAACCTAACAAACTACTGTTTCAAGGTTTATATTTGAAAAGAAGGAAAGGAAACATCAATCTAGTTTTTAAAAAAATCTCTAGTTTAAGAATTTGATTCAGGCTTAATTAGTAATTTTACTCCTAATTCTGGATGGATAATGCCCTAAAAATAATAATTCTTTTTTTTTCCAGAATTAAAAATTAAAATAATTTCTGATTAACAATAATATAATATATGAGTTTATAAAATAATATGTGTGGAGAAAAATTCAATTATTTATGTAAATGAAATAAACCAAAAAAAATAAGTAAATAACTGCAAGTTATTAATTGTTGTATCATTTTACTGAGATCCACATTTTCTTAAGCATAAATACAACATTACCTATTTACAATATATTTTAAACAAATCTATGAAGGACATTCCAGCAATTTTGTGGAGTATTTATTCATGTGTGATGATATGATATAAATGACCAATCCTTGAATTTTTTAATTAAAAATGATGGAAAGCAGCAATATAAAATACTATAATTTAAGAAAATTCTACTTACTTTTTAGAAGTGCAAATTTTTCTGCGTACTGGTATTAAAAATGATGGATCATCACTATCATTAAATGAATTACGATATCCTGCACTCCTACTTCTCTGCAAATAAGCAATCATAAGTTAAAAAATCCTTTAATAAAAAATTAATTAGGTGTTTGTTTTATGAAATAATTCTAAATAACTGTACAGTGTGGGACGTAAAGATAGTCTATTCTAATATTTTAAATCAACTCGCCACCCTTCTTTTTTTCTGAAACTGATTTTTCAAGTAGAATCAATCTAATCTAGAGGAGAAGGGTGACTGAGCGGCTGACGTGTGTGCAAAACATGCATTGTCTGGCACCCAGATGATTTATAAACTGAAGTTAATAATATATAAAATAATTACAAGTTTGCATCCTAGTGCTGAGAGCGAGGGGTGGGGGGGAGGGCTTTCAACTCTAGTATTAATTACTGCCCTCTTCTCTGACCCTAGAAAATGCCTGTATATTTTAGAAGGCGAGGTAGGGATGAAGAAGAAGAAATATCACTCTGATATTTTGGGAAATCAAAAGCTTGAAAAATTGTTAAAGAAAGGCATTACCTAAAGTATTAAGGAAATATTAATACAATGTGGAGCAAAAAAGGATAACAAATTAAATGGTGTTGAGTAATTTAATTCCTTAAACATATTGAAAAAAAAAAGTAGCCTAAATGAAAATTTTGATCAGCATTGGACAGAGCAGCTTAAATACCTAAGCCTATCCACCAATACACATGATTATTATATCTAATAGTTGTTTGAACAAAAATTCATCCAACGAAAACATGATTAATTACAAACAACAGTACTGTAATCATCTTCTCAATATAGAGAAAATCTTTTGTATCAGGCGTTCATTTTCTTCATGACAGTTCTGTGCCACCTCTTCCAATTATAAAGCCACAATAAAAATGAGGTATGCACAGAAAAAAGCTACTATGTTCACTATTTATTTATTTTGATTGGCCTAAGAATTTCATTAAAGTCTTATCCTGTCCATATTGTTATACTATCAAAATAGCTATCGAAGGTATTGATGTAAATTTTTTAGATGTCTATTTATTCTCCATTGTTCTATGAAACCGAAAAAATATTGATAACATGTATTCTTAAGACTGACTGACAGTAAACACCCAAGATGGTTACTGAAAACAGTCTATAGATCATTTTGAATCTTTTGATGAATACTTCATATAATACCCATTTTATTAAAATTAATGAGTTTTTCCATCACAAAGGAGATATTGAGAGGACTAAAAATGTCAGAAAATAGGGTAGGGCACCATGATATCTGGAGAGGCCTCTAAAAGTTCTTCTTATAGAATAAATCAGAGTAAAATTATAATTATAGTAATTATATTATGCTGATGGAAACACACCTGAAAAGATAAATAAATAAAATAATAAAACTTACTCTAATATAAGGTGTTCGCCGATTATCATCATCAGAAAATGAATTATCCTGCAAATTAAGATCAGAAATATGAAATAAGAAAAAAAAAAATTAATAATGAATTTTAAAGACTGCCAAACTTATCTTCTATATTGTTTATAACAAGCATTGAGATAATAGACAAATACTCAAATAATTGAAAAACCTTTGCCTCCATATTTATTTATTGCATGAGCAGTTTGTCAAAGTCAAAGGTACAGGATAACTAAATGAAAATGAGCACTCAAAAATCGATTATAATACATATAGAGTATGTATGTCATGTTGTCCTTTTCAGTCCTGATGATGCCTGAATTGGCAAGAAGTTGACTGGTCACTGATTTACTATTTTTATTTTATTTATTTTTTATTTTTAATATATTTAAGGCTTTATTTTTGGAATCTTTCAATCACACCCTAAATCTACACAGTCTTTATTCGCAACCGAATATTTGGGGTGGCAAACTGTAATTTTAAGATTTAAAAGAGTAAAACACAGACTTTTCGTAGTAGAATTTTTAAATGCTTTTATACCTGAATTCTGATAATGGGGGCATTTGTTTCTTTAACTCGCCTAGATTCTCTGTACGGTTGTCCCTCTAATTTCTTCTTCAATAAGTTGATTTCATCTTCATAACTCCTGGATTGTGTCTAAATACAAACAATAATATTTGTTTTACATAAAGCTTAATGCAAGCATTAATTTTAAAAAAAGTCTTGATGCAAATAAATGTATGGGTAATTGATAAGCACTACGATTTTCTCACTTAAAGAGTGCTTTATTTCAATGAAAACACACAGTATTCACTATAACAATATATCATAAAAGAAAGGGAACTCTGCCATAGCCGGTCCCAAGCCCAGTTGAGAAAGGAGGGAGATCTCTATGCAGCCTGAAATGAACAAAAGACGTCTGAGTCAAGAGAGGATATGAGTTAGAAACAGACCATATGCTGCTAACATTGGATATGCTTTTAGAGGACTCAAACACAAAGAATGAAAAATCAAGATGTAGCAAAGCCACAAAAATAAATAATTACAAGCAGCGAATATCAATGGAATGCTGACGAGAGAGATCAATCAAACAAATATTGCTGAGAGCAGCAGAGGAGGCTTGTAGAAAAACCAATGTTGGCCAACGATTAAAAAGAACAGCCTGGTGGAATGAAGGGGTGAAAAGTGAAATCAGACAAAAGAAGGAATTATAGAAACAGTATCATCAGACAAAAAACATGGAATACAATGAAAGATACAAGGAACAGCGAAAAAGAGCAAAGAAAAAAGTCATACAGCCGAAGAGAAAAGCTTGGCAAGATTTCGGATTGGGAACATTAACTGGGCCCCTGATAAATGACAGTGGAGAAGGTTTGGGAACAGGCTCCAGGGAAACATTAAGAATTAGAGGACTATGGTCAGAGGAAAGTTCATTTAGAAGTGTTATGGAACAATTGAGGGGACCTAAGCCGTAGTGGATAAAGATATCAAGGATATCAGGATTAGAATCTGTGGGCCAGCAGGTAGGAAGGTTGGGGGAAAGGAGGTGAATTGAGTGCAGATAGCAGGGTTCGGCCACGAGAATTCGTGGTTCTGGAACCCTATTGTTGGTGCTTGGCATTTAAGTTAGCACTCAAGATGAGTGATGTCGAGGAGAGAACTGAATTGGGCATTGGATATGGATCTGGATGGAGGGCAGCACGCTGATGTAAGGGCAAACGGAAAGGAGGATGGATATAGGTTTATTGGAAGTCATTTAAGGATTTTTCAAGGGAAGGATAAAATGTGATTCAAGATTGGTGAGAAGGGATATCAAAGGTGTAACAAGAGATCTGAATTCAGACGAATGTGAGTAATTTGGTATAGATTAGGTGAAGTTTGAGTAGGATGTTGAGGATGGGATTGAGAATTTTGAGGTATATATTGTTGTTGTGGCAGGGTCTCACAATAAGTAATATCAGAAGGAGTTGGTCAGGGGATTCAGTCAAATAAACCGACCAACTCCTTCTCATATTATATCATGATCAACCATCTCTACATCAATAAGTAATATCGTTCTTACCTCCTAATAGGTGTACAAAAGACACTGTTGGGTCAATTATTTTTGAAGGTCCTCTTCTTGATACTTCTGCTTCTTCTTGGGTCTGGAATTTTTTATATCTTAACTTGATATTCTTGTAAATCTGATAGCCTTTGTAGTTAGCTGGATGTCCTTCAAGGCACAAAGCACAAACTGCAGGATCTCGTTTCAGTTTTGTGCTGCTCTCCACATTTCACACAACACGGCAGATGATGGCAGTAAGTCTTGGTGTGGCCATATGCCCAGCAATTATGGTACTACAATTTCTGTTTTAGAATATGGCTTCTCTACAATAGTAGTAGAGTGTTATAACACTTGATAGTACATTCTTCTTATTTCGGATATTTTTTCGATCCCTTGAGGTGGCTCCAAATTTACGAAAAATAAGAGCAGAGGAACTTTTACTCTTGGCTGTTCTTTGCTCTCTTTCAGAACATTTGTAATCTGGCGCACTATGAAACCTAAATTTTTCAGTTCTTCTATTGCTTCAGTTGGTGTTCAGGGGTGTAGATTTCTTAAAACTACAGTTAAAGCTTGCTCTTGCCGTAATTGATACGTACGAAAATCCTCTTTGGTTTCTGTTAAATAATTCACAATTTTTCTATAGGTTTCAGCTGTATCTGGTGATATTTTCGTGTTCTTTGTTCAGCTTAGACATGAATAGCTTCCAGAGCCTGTTATATTGTTCAGTTGAGAGCATAGTAACTGAATTTTTTTTTATATTTTTAACGAATGTTGGTGAAGGTCGGGGGGTCTCATGTATCGGAGCGGACTCCATCACTTCTTTATCATTCTGAAGCACCTGATAGCGGTTGGGGGTGAAAAATGGAGATTGTTCGGTTATCTCTAGTGAAGAAGTACCTGGTTGATGCCAGAGATTCTTCAATTGTTTCTTTTGATACCTGGCTGGGTTTCATTTTCTACGGAGCTAACAGGGGTTACTTAGTGGAGGTGTTTGAAGAGATTGACGAGGCTTTTGTTTGACAGGGGAAGAACGAGGTGTCGAATCTAATGGCTGAATTCTCTTGATAAATCCTCTACTAGGCAGGGCCTGATGGTTATATCGCATAAAAGAAATAAAAGGAAAAAAAAACAAACTATAATTTATAACTGCAAACAGTAAATATCAATTGTTCTTATGTACCCTTGACATGTTTTGAATGAATAATCTCAAAGATTACACCGGAAAATAAGCAAATTCTGAGACACGAGGTGGAAACACAAACTTTCACATTAGCTGATCCACTGACTCCTTTTATCATTGAAAAATGAAATAAACATATCACCATAAAATTAAAATTACATATTATTATTATATTAAGTAAACCAGTTTATGGAAAGAATTATATTATATATCAGCATAGCTTAAAGACTATTAAAATTGAAAATTTACCACAAGTTTGTCGTTCAATTCTTTTATTTCATCTTCCTTATTACGAAGACTGTCTTCTAAGGCCTAAATAATAAACATTTTATTAGATAAAAATAATAAATAAATATATTCAAGCAGAAAACCACTGCACTGACGTTAAACTTATCTAAAAAACAATTTAAATGATCAGTTTCACTTATAAACAATTAAACATATAATCAGTTTAATTTATAAGGTTGAAAAAATTAAATGAAATATTTTAATAGTAGGGTATACTTTCCATAAAAACCATACAATCCAAATTAAAACTAGTTACTCTACAATGGGTCAACAGAGGAGCTAATGCTGATTCTAACCATTTTATTAGTGTGGCAAAAATCAAAGCCAGAATCCCAACTACAAAAATATCAAGGACAGAGAACTATATGTTATTTGTCATCGAAGTTGCCTTTGAAGTATTTTGTGTAGGTCAAGAAGCTATGTTGAAAATTAAGAATTTAATTCCTTTAAACTATTTAAATGAGGTTATTAATACCAACCTGATATTAAAGGCCATTTAAGTCTATATTGATATAATGGATTTAATCAAAATCTTAATAGCTATTTTTGAGAAAACACACCCACCATTTTTTTTTAAAATGGTTAATTGAACTCAGAATACCTCTAAACATGTTTGTTTTAATCATTTGAAAATGCCAATTTTAATATTTTCAAAATTCCAATACTTTTCCTTATTATATATTCATACATTAATAAGTAAAATTAAAAGTAAAAAATGTTGAAATTTGATTTTTTTTCAGCGACATGAGTGCACTGCGGCCATGTAGACCTATTATACACCTTTATTAAAGTCACTCCTGTTTAGAGCGTAATTCCTGCAGTCTCAATGAAATTGGATTTCTTCATTCTATCAACTGAAAGGCTCTTGTATGGCTATAGATATTTGAAAGAACATTAGTATATTTAACCTAAAAATGATTATAGATCAAACGACTATTAGTTACTAAACTGATATTTTTCATTGTAAAGTTTACTAAAATGAAATTACGAGACTTTCATCTCCTGCCATAGATAGTTCAATAGTTGTCACAGTAATTGTAACTGGATAACGTTGGGATTTCACAAACGGAAAATTCATCAAATTATTCGCTAATTTAATTTTCGAAAAGGTTACACGATGATTTTTCGGAAAAAACGGATGAGAGATACCTAATTATTTAAATATATCAGATCTGTAATTATTAAGTTACAGTTAATGTATTTAAGGTTATCGCCCTAAAACTCATACCCTACCCTGTATTTAAGGTTATAAACATATCCATGAAATATTTTACTTTTTCTTTCACCCATGTACAGTTAAATAGTATTTTAAACAATGACATTGGCATGATTCGGTGGATTTTAAATAATTTTTTTTCAAACTTAGAAACAAATTTAAAAGTTTAAATTTAGTAAGAAAATTTCATTTAAAACGAAAATTTTTTAATGGTTAGCCATTTTAAGAAAAAAGTTTCTGTGACATCTAAGGCATTTACCTATCTTAAATACGTCATATCAGTTTCGTACGACTTTTCGATTTTGAGCTAGATTGTTCACATACACACACAGACCAATTTCCGGGACTTGGTTATTAGGACTCAGGAGACCTCAAAACATGTATTTCCGTTGAAAACTCAGATTCGAAAATTTTTATAATCGCAATACGTACCCTTACGATATATTTCATACATAGGTAAGTGAAAGTAAAAAAATTGTGCTTCACAAAAGAGTTCTCAAATAAATATTTACAATTTAATTAAAAACAAAAAATATGTAAAATTGTGTAATTAACACCTAAAAACGTCCAAAAATAATCAATTTTGTTTAATTTATTATATTGATACATCTAAATCTAGTTAAACCTTTTGCCGAGCTCCTTAATTAAAATAATATGTAAGAAGGAAAAAAAATTTAATTTAAAATTAAAATGCTACATTGATAATGACTTCCTTTTTAACCTTAAATTCAAAGTGTTGCTAGCCACATTTAATTATTTACCTTCTTCATATTTTTATTTCTTGAATTATAAATTTAATATAGTACTGATATTGGTACTGGAGAGGGAAACTAGTCCAGGCATATGGTCCGTTTTGCTAACCTCTAACGGCTTCCTAGAAATGAAAATTAACTGATCCATGTGGGAATTGAACACACAATGTTCAGAACCGGTTACTCTGGGACTAACACCCCAATATGCTCAGCCATTGGGTTGCCAAATTTAATATGGACAAGATAGTAAAATGTAATTATAAATATTTAAACAAACAGATATAGTTATAAATCATCTTATCCAGCTTAAAAAGAACAAACATTTGGTACAACAAAAATCAAAATCGAGCAATTTAGGCTAAGAATATCTAACTGCGCAGTATAAAATTTCAATATGTTATTCTACAGATCATGAAATGGATAGATAGTTGAGTTTGAAGTTTTTAGACACAAGCGAATAAAATGTGTAATAACATGGAAATCCGGTCTCTAGTGATGAATCTCATTTAGATTTTTTTTGATCTGATAGTAATGATTAAGTTTGGAGATGAAAAGAATTTGTAATTTTTTTTTTAATTAATAAATTAATTTTTAATGAAATATTTTACTGCCTGTCACTAAATGTACATTTTCTCTAATTTAAAAACAATTGAAAGGTTTTCAATGAATAATAGTATTAGTAATAATAGTATTTGTTTTTATTTTACAAGGGACTAAAATAAGTTGAATCCTATTGTTTTGTTGGTGTAGAACATCAAACATTATTCTGCCAATCTCTGACTATTACTTCCCATAAGGAGCATAATGGAAGCTTCATTGAATGTTATTCAGCCACAATCCAAATCTCACAACTTTTAACATATACAGTTAAACACCTGAACTCTTTAATTAATTATCGTAAACACAAATTAAACTAAATTTTATTTCATATTAGAAAGTTTTCCAATATTAAATCTGAACTTAAGAAATGATTCCAGACAAGATTTCATAGAAAAAAATTTACTATATCTTATCTGATAAAAAAGGAATGACTATTTTTCAATATGTTAGTTGAGGAACACTACCTAAATAATAATAAACAGGATATAATTTTATTTATTCATTTACTTACTTTGACAAGTTTATCATATACATCTCTTTCTTCAGCATTATCTTGAAGATTATCTTCAAGTTGTTCAACTTCCAGCTCTAAAACACTAATTCTTTCGTCCTGAAAAAAGAGTTTAGAAATTAACACAAAATTTATTTTGAAAAATCAATTATATCTTGGATTTGATTTCGTTAGATTAATTCTTTAACATATTGATTGGCAACAATTTTATAGAATAGAAAAATAACCATAGGAATAACAGCAATGTACAAAAAATGTCTGCCAAGTAAGGTCAGTATAGTCCTCACTGTTTTCATTGCTTAAAAAATATCTATATTACAAGATCTAACGTTTTTTTAATAAAAATAAAATCTTTGGGAGAAGCAGTTTTCGAAAATTCAGTAATCCCTCAACATATACAGGTTTGATATTCACGAGTTTTGTACATTGAATACTAAAATGTGAAAGAATTCTGCTTTAAAAGATTCCATATTTGATGATTGTGATTAAAAAAAAATTTCATTGAATAATGAACATTAATATTACCACTGTTGGTGCTAAAGACCATATGTAAAAATTGAATGTTTACAGGAGAGAAAAAGAACTAATTGTTTCTTTATGATTTATTAGTATAATTTCATTTTTTATTGTTATCTGCTATTTTTCAATGTAGCAGACTACAAAATGTCACCTTTAGCATAAATGGAATGAAAGTTGAAAATATTTACATTTACATCTTTCGCACTAACAGTAGTGATATTTACTTAATAGGAAAAGCCAACTTTTTGTTTGTTTGGAATTAACTCTGATATAAAAATATGTGCGAGGTTCACACATCTTTGATATTTACGGATGATATGGAGAGCACGACCAGCTAGTTAACTTCCATAGAAATAAACATAATCACAAATAATTTTTTTTTATACAGAGTAAAAATTAATTCAAATTTACTGTAAGTAACGGCAATAAGTGTCATGCAAGTAACGTTTGGAATCGACCAGACAGTACATTATAAATTAATTTTTTGAATAAAACCTAAAATTTTGTAACCCCATAAAAATATTGTGTTAATCTAACTCCCACTCCAGATGATCAATGCCTTCCACATTTCACAACAATTATATTGATAACAATTATTTATATAAATTTTAATTATTAAATTGAATTGAATAAAATTGATACCATTTAATTTCTATACTACTCTCCAAATTTCCCCCAAGTTTGGGTCAAATCGAACGTGCAGTTTTCAAACTATAGGCATGTCAAATAATAAATTTCGTGATCCGAAAGCAGAAGTGTTATTTTTTGGAGTAGTGGACGGAATTTGATCAAATTCATACATACTTGATTATCTGTTTACTAATCCTTTACCTTCCTCCAAATTTGAGCCAAATCGAACAGGTGGTTTTAGAGATATAGACATATCAAGGAAAACACGTTTGCGCATATATAAGAAAAGTGGTGGACAGAATTCAATAAAATTGACACTAATTATTTTTTCACCAATATCTACCTTTTATCCAACTTTGAGCCAAATCGAACCAGCCCTTTCTGAAAAATTGGCATATCTAAAAAAATACGATTGAGCGTGCGTAAGCGGAAGTGCTGGCACCAAACTGCATAATCCCTGTAAATTTCATGAAGATCGAATGAACGGTACTAGGTGATATGCCCGTCATACTGATTTGACTACAGACAGATGCCGAACCAAATTTGATCCTTGATGTCTGAAACGTAAAATGAGAGTGGCAATTTTCGATTCTGAGCACATTTTTTTTTAACCTCACGCACAAACACAATGCTTCCCAACCTTCAGTAGTGAGGAAGCAAAAATAAAGATTACTTCAGATTAAAAGATTCTTATACTTTTAACTTATCTTTAGACTGATAAGTTTTTATTTTATGAGCTTTCATTTAACGGTTTTTACAGCAATAATCTTGCTAATGAAGAGTTAACAGTTTTCCATCTACTTGGGATATATAAGGCAATGCTGAACATAATAAATTCTGAACCACCAAACCAAGAACTGAAAACAAGTTGCATTGAACTAAGTGTAGTAAAATTTATTTCAGCATGATTGCAGATAAATCTAAAATACAGGGGACTAAAAATAATTTAAAAAATAAATAAACACTATTGTATATCATAAGTGATGAACTATGGTCCAAGAAAGCTAGAAATGTGTCAACCCAGAACAGATATTTACATTGCAAGCACTATCAATGCAATTTTCAGGGTTTTTTTTTATACAAGATTTTATTTTATTATCTAATAGTAGAATAATTCTGATGACAATTTTTTTTTTTATAAATATAAGCTAAATTAAATGTTAACTAACTTTGAGGACTAAATCTTCGTCCTTTGCTATTATTGCTTCGTTTAGTTCCTTATTTTCTTTTTGTAGTTCTTCTACTTCTTCTTTAGCATCATCCAACATATCTTCTAACTCCTATAAAAAAAAATAATTCACATAATGGAAAAGATGTTAATTTACAAAATATATTACTTGAGTTACTATTTTATAATTAAAAAAAAAGACTATTTATCATAACACCAAAAGGAATTATTTAGTTTCCTTAAAAAAAAATACTTACCTCACAAGTTGATTCTAATCCTTCATGTTTAGCTTTGAGCTGTTCATAATCATCTCTCAATAAACGGAGTTTTTTCTGCAAGCTAGAAATATTCAACATAATCAGAACCAACAATTATAAAAAAATAAATAAATAAATAAATAAAGTAGCATTACAACCCATGAAGAGTCTTGGGTTCAGTCAGTGCTTTTATAAGAAAGTACTGGTTCAATTCAAGGTCAATGGTTGTTTAGAGAGGAGATCAGGGCAGGATCATGCTCAACCGCCAGGTTTTCACTCTCATTATTAACAGTACCCAATTTGCACAGGCTGGGTGTGCCCCAGGTGGGTTTCCCGACCCCAAGGTCAATCCCCCACTGATGGAACAGAATAAATAAATTTGCCATCAGCCAGATCCAAACCGAGGACCTTGAGCTTAGGAAGTCAGTTACTTTTAACCACTGAGCTATCCCACTTCCCCTAATCATTAATAAATAGATAGTATGAAATATATGCATGGTAAATGCTTATGAAACTAGGACATTGAGCTTAAGAATTCAGTGCCTTACTCACCCCCAAAATTACATAAATTTCTACATTAATACTTTTAGGCCACCCCACACAAATGATTTGAGACCAAATTGAAATTTTAATTAATGATCATAAGCTTCTCACCCAGCCTAAAATAGATTGCTCACATATAAGATAATCCATCCTTAACTGCCCTAGTTAGAGTACACAAGGGCCTTCACACTTATGTACACAACACATAATGACCAAGCCGTTAGAGTGAATATTTCTCTGTGGATCAAATTTTTTTTTTTTTCTTTTAAAAGTTGTAATATATTGTTTAAAAAAGTGTCATGCATTGTTTTAAGTTTTAAAAATAATTTAATAAAAAAAAAAAAAAACTGAGCAGCTATTGTCCAGAGGGATATTAATTTTTTTTTTTTTTTTAAGCGAGTCATGTTTTTTGTTGAATAGGAAGCGATAACTTAAAAAATATTAGTTTTATGTAATAAGACATTGCTCCATAGTAAACTAAACAAAATTTAATAAAAAGAAATTAGGTTTTGTCATTGATAAAATCATTTAAAGAGGACTGTTGAGCAGACAAACTCAGCTAAGTTCCGTTTAAAAAAAAAAATCAGAAATTATCTGTGATTTTTTGTTATCACCCATCGACTGTATCCCACTTTTAGAAAAACTTCCTCATTCAATTAGCTTTAAGTACATATTAATTAAGTTGAGGTTTATTTGGAAAAATTTTCAGTTCACTTTAAGTAGTGTAAAGCAATGATGTGATTTTCCTATCCACCCACCTTAAAGTGCTCATATTTTTTGCAAATATGACAATTAACATTTACAAAGCTTTCATTTCTTGTTTTTCCGTATTATGGGATGTATTGTAATAAACATAATTGCCTAAATTGTTATTATAATAATACAAATATAATAACAAATTATATTTGTTTTATTTGTCCAATTATGTAAACTACAGGTGAAGAACTCCTTGGAGGTTAATTTCTCTTATATGCAAAACAATAATTAATTTTTATAATAAATATTTGTCTCATCGTTTCATTAAAAATCAATTACCTACTGTATAATAAACTTAATAAAATCAAAAAAGAAAAATTCAATACTTGCCTTAAAAAATCAGCTCTTGAATTCATATACTTTTCATAAAGTATTTCATGTTGCTTTTTCAATGATGCTAATTCCTAAAAATAAATAAATCTGTCAAATTTGTTATTCATTAATAGAAAATTAATTTGATGTATAACAACAAAGGGTTCGGCAGTGTCAGTATTTTAATCTAAGAAATACAAAGAATACAGTAAACTATTCAATTATTTGATGATTAATTATAAGTTCCTAAGACTAATTATCATAAAAATATTTCACTGAAGTTTCATCCAATGAAAAATAATAACAAATAATCATGAAAAATAAAAAAGCCAAGAAAAGTATTTGTTTCAGTGATAGTGAATGACATAGTGAGTCATGTCATGTATATAATTTTTAAAGTGGTCCAAAATTATTAAATAACCCAGAGTGAATGTGGTTGAGTATGTAGAAATCGTGAACTGGTTTTTCTTCTGATTCTTGTCTGGGACATCCTGCAGAATATAAAACTGTATGTTGCCACCTAAGAATGTGGTGGTTTTAGACTTGAGGAGGTGAGGAGACATCTCAGAATAACGGTCTTGGTCTAATGCTATTTACTCGACCATAAAGCATTGCAGACTCTAATTCGGTCAAAAAAATTTTTGCTATTCATTTTTTTTTTTTTAATATTAAATAAGCAAAGTGTGCAAATCGGGTATGGAGTTTTACAGGGTGCAATTCAAAATATGCATCCACACTTATTTTATAAGATAGAGCGAAATCATTAAATAAACCTTGCCTTCATTTTTAAAATCAAACATGTTCTCATTGATACAAGAAACGCCAGTGATATTTTAGATGTCCACAGTTGTAGAGGAGCTAATTGCGACTTAGACCGTTATCTAGTCAATATTTTATGTAAAGAAATGGTGGCACAAAGAGAAAAAGGAAATGTAAGAAGCACTGCCACTTGTAATGTTAACGATTGTTGCATCAATGTTGAATTGTTTGCCTCTTGTAGCTTATTGTTGTGACTTTCACTAGATTTATTAATAGAGTAAAAGAGAAAGAAAATTTGTGAATGGATGTTTTTTATACCATAAAAAAACTAAAAGATTTTTTTTTTTAAATCTCCAGCAGTGGATTGTTGCTAACTTCTTCTATTGTAGCAAACAATTTTAGGCCATAAGTTAATTAATAAAACATGTTATTCATATGTATCACTAACTCAACATATCTTTGTCATGGTGCAGTATTCAGAATATTTGTCTAGACCTACATCCCTGATATCATGATAACAAGCAATAAAAAACATTTGTTTTGTTTAAGAATAGTCTTTAATTATTAAGAAATGATTTTATAGATATCAACTTAGTTGTCCATAACTTCACCACTGAAAGACATGAAGAGGAAGTTAAACAAAATGAAGAATAAGGATGAGAATCAAGAAAATTTGCTGAAACATGAAATGCTTCAATGGGACCTAATTTAGTAAAACAACTATGGATTTCAAAAGTATTCGCTGCAAAAGTAATGAATGATGCCCTATACTGATGTCAAATTGACTGAAAAATATTTTTGTGGAATATTAATAATTATTTGTAATTGGTAATTGGTTGACTGTCGTGGATAATGAAGAGAAGAATAGTTGGGGTGGTCAGTCAAAAAGGAAGGCAAAAATAAATGACAATATTTATTTTTACATATGCCGATGTTTCGACCTGAAGTTCAGGCCTTCATCAGGGCTGTCTCCTTAAGTTTTGCAGGGAGAATGCGACACTTAAGGAGATAGCCCTGATGAAGGCCTGAACTTCAGGTCGAAACGTCAGCATATGTAAAAATAAATATTATCATTTATTTTTGCCTTCCTTTTTGACTGACCACCCTAACTATTCTTCTCTTCATTAATAATTATTTGATTGGCAGAAAAAAAAAAATAAAGAATAAAATTATATACTTGTTCATGTTGTTGAACTTTAGATGCTTCTAATTCTTTATCTCTCACTGATTCTGTATCCCGTTGATCACTCAAGTATTTATGTTCTCCAATTAGACTCTCAATTTCTACTCTGTTAAGTTAAAAAACAAATAAATAAAACAGAAAGATAATAATTAAAAAATAATCAAGTAAAAAAAAAAACTTATATTATCCTTAGAAATAAAGTATTACAAAGTTCATGTAATAATTACTGAGTTGTTTATAAATAATCTGGTGCAGACATCACACAACTTTCACTTACTATACTTTAAGCAGAAATTAATTTCTGCTCATAGGATTAGTTAATATTTAAATTTATTGTCAAGCCCTGAGTAATTAAAAGTTATAAGCATATGGTTTTTCCAACCGAAAATACTATTTGAAATATTTTTAGCAGCATGCACTTTTTCATGCCTTCTTTCACAATAGTATAATAAAATAGTTTTTAAACAAAAAAATTGCAGTGATACAATTCGGTGAATCATATATTCTTGATTTGTCTAACAAAATAAATTTTAAAATTTTGTATTTAGTACCCATTAAATATAAAAGCAATAGTTTTTATATCGTACTTAGTTTTTTCCACTCTCAACAATTTCTATAAATTTTTTTCTAAAATTTTTAGCTTTCCAACAGTATATTGTACATATATATATACAACTGTTATTTTTGAAAACTTGTTTTTTTATCCTGAAAAATAGTTTTCTTTTTTTTCTCCTATAGTTATAATTTTCAAATTCTTTCATAGCACATATTCATCTACTTTGTATAACAACTGACAGGACTTTTAATTATTTCTAATAATCAAAATTAAGGAAACTTTTGATCAGTTTGTTGGACGAACTCACTGTGGTTGAGAAACTTAACTGTGTACAAAAGTTTCATTAGGTAGCAGGACCAAATTGATCGAACATATTGAAAATGTTTGAGCAAACTATTGCAGTGCCTCTCATGTTCGTGAAACAAGTACGTGCTGCTGGAAACGAATAGATGATATATCCCACTATTTTTTATTATAGTGTTTATAGTGTTATTGTTAGTGTGTCTTTGCATTCCATTTCATTTTTATTCTATTTTTACAGTAAAAATATAAGAAAGGATCCATAACTTAATTGTACATTAGCATAACCAGTTTAATGAAAATCATTAGAGCCATTTTTGAGAAAATCATAAAAATGTTTTAATAGATGATACAAAGTGCCACTCCCAGTTAGCTTATTTTGACAAAAAAGTTACTGTAGAATCCCAGGCATATACAACCTTAAATACGTAATTTCAGTTTTGTACAACTTTTCGTTTTTGAGACTATTCATATAACACAAACACACAGAGCATTTAGTAAGACTTGGTTATTTGGACTCCAGGGCACCTTTTAGCATGTATTTCTGTTAAAAACTGAGATTTGAAATTTTTCAGGATCACAATATTTTCCCTTACTATATATTTCACATATCGGTAAGTGAAAGTAAAAATAATTATTAATGATGAGGAAAATTGATTTACCTGTGCGCTTTCTCCAACTCAATTAATTTTGTTTCTGCTTCTTGTCGCTGTTTTTTTTCTTTCTCTAATGTTTTTAATAGTTCTAAATTACCATCCTATTAAAAAAAATACAGATAGTAAAGAATTCCTTTAATTTCATACAAATTATTTATACTTTAAATTTACGTATTTATGATTGTTTTAAATATTTTTCAAAAAAAGATAATATTAATAAAACACTTTATTAACTCTTTCCTTTCATTGTTTGAACTACTACTAATTTAATTGTTATAAATATAAATAAGAATGATTCCTTTTTAAGGAACGTCAGGCCAGAATCTATTAGTCAAGTCAACAAACCATTATAGGGTAAATAGAAGAAACACAATTTTTGACTTAAGGACTTTCTTCGGAACAGTTAGGAGGTATACTACTAAAAGTTTCCACTCCTTGGAGGTAAGCAAGATGTGTGGAGGGAGAGAAGAGCACCCTGAAAGTCACTTTTTTGGTTATTCTGTTTACATCAGTAAACTGTGCATCCTAACAATAAGGATATTTTATATAAAATTGAAGTTGAAAAAATTTGCAACAAGATTTCGTAATATAATATTTTTTTTCTATCTCATATGGTTTCCGAGAAATCTACGCTTATAATCTGCTAATTTGGGGGAAAAAAATTCCTCATGTTTTTATCTAAACCACCACCATGTACATGGGAGTGGATATGGAGAGAATTTGTTCATGGGGAGGAGGCATGCGTGAGCTACAGCATTTTTATATTATTATTTATTGAACACCTCCACTGTACTTTATGTATTAGGTTAAAAAGAGAGAGGAGAGAGTGAGAGGAGTGGAAACATGTATAGGGGAAGAGAAGGAAGAGAAAGAGTACAGAATGATAATAAATGAATGAAAGAAATAGTAAAAATTAAAAAAATAAATAAAAAGGAAAAAATAAATAAAAATAATAATATATATATGTATAAAATATTGTATACTATGCTCATACATATTGTTAATCCTATATAATTGTATAATAATTTTAAATATTGTCTGTAGTGATTTATAAGTATGCTGTGTTGTTAGCAACCCAATGTAATTGGGCAGCACCATTTTATTTTATGATAATAAAGTGATTCTCTCTCTTGACTTGGTTAACTCTTTATTTTTTCATTCTATGAATAACTAATGGGGAAGAAAGTTGTTCAGCATTAAATTTCCTTTATACATATTATATATATATATATATATATATATATATATATATATATATATATATATATATATATATATATATATATTTGTAGTTATATATATATATGTATGTATTTTATGAAAGTAATAGATTAAATTCGATAAAATTGATATCTACTAACGAAAATATATTTGCATATACCAATGTAAGAAGAAAATGAGGATGGAATTTGATATTATTGATACATCATAATGTGTTCACTACTCTGCAACTTTGAGCCTAATTTAACAAGCCATATTTGAAATAAAAATGGTTAAAGTAAATAAATTTTTGTGAATAAAGAATAGTAGTGGATGGAATTTGATATTAAACTATCTATACACCATCCCACATATACATGACAATTTCATGGGAATCAGATTAACAATAGTAGATGGTATCTCCATCACATTTATTAGACCATAGTCAGACATGGAAGCAAATTTACTCCTCGATGTCTAAAAAGTATAATGCGAATGGAAATTTTCAATTCAGAAAACATGAAAAATTGTAACCTCCCACTTGAATATAGGACTTTCCTAACTATGGTAGTGAGAAAGAAAATATAAATAGTAGTAAATTGGTGTGTGTTCCCATACAAACCTTTGTGAGTAAAACAAATAATTGTTAAAATAGAAAACTTAAACTTTCTTAAGATTAATTTTACAGATAACCAGTTTTAAAATACATCAATACATAAAAATAACAAAAGCAAAGCAACATACCTGCATAGGAAGAGATGATGGAATAATATTTCTGTTGCAGGATACAATTTCTGCAAACAAGTATAAATAATACATTTAACAAGCAAAGCTTAAAAAAATCTGTAAACACTTATCTTTTTCTTCAATTCAGTTATAAATTTTTATTAATAGCACAGAATATCAATATAATATAGTAGCCAAAATAGGTAAGTTAGAAAGATTAGTATCACTTTAATTTAATAAAACATATTCAAAAAATTTTGAAATTCTCTTAGCCGCAATGACAATTATGTCAATAATTTGAATAAAATAATAGGTTGTATAAACAGAAAAAATGACTGTTTTTCAACTATTTTTATTGGGTACTTCTTCAATAGCAGACCGGGACTGACTGCTATCTGCCAATGTTTATAACCTGAACACTGATAATTCCGATAAGGCAGTGATAAGCCATCTCGTAATTCCTATCTTCGAATTATTAAAAGTGTTAACAGAAACAAAAGCAAATGTAATAAAAAAAAAAACTTTTATTTTACGACACATATATTAATGAAATAATAAAATAACACTTAAAGAACATATGTACATATAAAAGATGAAAATGAAATAATAAAAAAACACTTAAAGAACATATGTACATATAAAAGAAAAAATATCAAAACTATAAATTTATTTTCACTTCATGTTATTTTGAGAGGCAAAATAGTTTTATGCTATTTAAAATAGCGAGGAAGGGGTCCTCTTCTTTGTGAACCCGCCGCCACAAAAATTCGCATAAATATGAATCGAGGTGTTGTCTGGCAGTTCCTCTATGTATTTTATTTCTTCACTTAGCTGAGCCCCATAATCGTTCTATGTGTTGAGTATGAACCCCAGTTATGGATGGATCCACAAAATTATACCAGTGATTCACTTGGAAATGGTCATAGTTTGCTTCGTTCAGTTGTTGGGTATTGTATCATTTGTTCTTCTGAAGACGGTAAATCCCAGAATGTAACAAGATTCATAATTTGACGAAAATAAAATTTAAAAAAAAAATAAAAATAAACACATAAGGGCCAAAAATAAAGAATTTAATAAGGGAATAACTGAAAAATAAACAATGTAATAACTGAAAGGTTTGGCGGGATAAGAAGAGGGAGGTTATGTGACGTGACATTAGATAACATAGATAAGAAGTGAGGTTTTGACCCGGTCTGCTAGTGAAGTAGTACCTTTTATTGATATTTCTTTGATATAAAATAAAATACAATTAATACTCAAAGTATAGTCCCTTGTTATCTACTGTCAGTAGCCATCTGCTAGCCAATTGCTCGATCCCATGCTGATAAGATTCTTTGGGATGGCTGTCAAAGAACTCTTCGACCGCTATTTCAACTTCGGCAAAATTATCACATTTTTTCTCTTGAAGAAAATGGGGCATGGATCTAAATAAGTAGTAATCCAATGGTGCTAGGTCTGGACTATATGGTGGATGAGGCAGGAGTTTTTCAATAAATTTTCACAAATTTCTAAACTCTTAGCTGATTGCTGAGGAGTACAAGGGTGGTCTGAAAAGTTTCTGACCGCAACATGAAGATGACAACACTCGTAATTAAAAGCAAGTGAATTTCGTTGTTCATCTGTTGACAGTTACCCAAAAAAGTTCCAGCCATTTAGGAGATGCAGTTTTTATGTAACAGTCGTTTGAGTGAGTTGATGTGAGTGTTTTTGTGAAAATAGACAAAATCGAGTACCGGGCTGTCATTAAATATTTGTTTTTTAAAGGCAATACGCCTACACAAATCAAAAATGAGTTGGATTCTGTGTATGGAGACTCTGCACCATCATTTACCACAGTGAAATTTTGGGCATCTGAATTTAAACGTGGCCGTAAGAGCTTGGGAGACGATGAACGTTCGGGACGTCTAAAAACTGTAACAACCGACGAAAAATGCCAGAGTTCACCAAACGGTGCTAGACAACCGTCGAATTAAAGTGACAGAGATAGCAGAGGTTATGAACATGTCAAAAGAACTTGTTTGTTATATATTAAATCAACATTTAGATACGACAAATCAGTCAACACGTTGGGTGCTGTGTTGCCAAAAATGTGTTCGAATGAACACTTCCAACGCACTGTTAATCAATAAATCTAATCCGTGTTTTGGTGCCGATTAATTATTGTAGATAAAACTTGAATACACCATTATACGCCTGAAACAAAAATACAGTCCAAATTGTGGACTGCAAAGGGGGGACCGGCTCCAAAAAAGTAAAAACTGTTTTTCGGCTGGGAAAGTGATGGCGACTGTTTTTTGGGATAGTCATGGAGTTAGAGTTATTTTAATTGACTATCTTCAAAAAGGAAAAACCAGTACAGGAGCATACTATGCATCATTACGTGACAAGCATAAGGCAGAACTTGCGGAAAAACGCCCACATTTGCAGAAAAAGAACATCCTGTTATGATAAAGAGACAATCACCTTTGTGAACAATTATTTTGCAGTGAAAAACGGCGAGTACTTTTTGGATGGGTTACAGATACTGAATATTTAAACAATATTGAAAAAAAAAGTTCAGAAAAAATGTCTTGTATTTTTGTTAGGTCAGAACTGTTCAAACCACTCTCGTAAATTCGGTAGGGACCGATCTGGTCTACTGCTCTTTTTCACCTTTCCCATGGAGAGTAGATGGCGACTAACAGTATCTTTCGACACACCACATTCCTTGGCTAGTTTGTGAGTACTTGTGGACGGATGTGACTCAACAGCTTCCTGCAGAACCTCATCAATATCTATTAATGGTCACCTGGAGGTCTTCTTCCTTTCCAAAATCGTATCTCCACTGCTAAATTTTTCAAAACAACACAACCCAGTGTGCTGGTCAAGGACGTCTTCCCTCCATATTTAATAATTTCATGAGTTGTTTCAGCGAATGTGAAATTTTTTTTCAAGTAATGCCTTAAAATTATGAGAATTTCATAGGGCACTATCATTTTTCTTCTTTGAAACAAATAACTAAATTGAGACTTCTTTTAAAGAAGTTGAATGGAATTAAACAAGCTTAGATAATGCTCTAAAGAAATTTTTAAGTGTTGGTAAGTATTAAATAGGATTAAAATATTTACAGTCCTTTGAAATCTTGAATTTGATACAACAGTCTTTTTTTTTTTATACACCATATTATTTATTTTATTCTACTTCATTGGAAAAAGCTTGAAGTAGGCATGAGTGTATATCATTTAACTATATCTTATAATTGTTTTATAATAATAAAATTTCATTACTGAGAGTTTAAATTAAATTTGCTTCATTGCAGAACAATTTTTTGAACAATAAATTATTAATTTTACGGGTGATAAATATTCAGGAAACAGTCTTTTTTAAAATTTTTTTACTTTTGCCAACGTTTCAACCCAAACATGTGGGTCATCTTCAGGGCTGAAAATGTTTTTTTAAAATTACAATCAGAGATATAATAGTATACGACCGCTAATAATAAATAATAAACTATAGTGATTGATGGCACATGAATCTTAACTAATATTGTAATACACATATTAAAATAGTTATACAAACCTTTTTACTTACCTACCGAACATGTGTCAGTACATGAACAACCTCAGTGCTCAAACCACGGTTAGTAAAAGAAAATATTACAAATTTATATAAATGGATTATATACATTATTTTTTATTTTTAGTTTGTATAACTATTTTAATATGTGTATTACAATATAAGTTAAGATTCATGTGCCATCAATCACTATAGTTTATTATTTATAATTAGCGGTCGTATACTATTATATCTCTGATTGTAATTTTAAAAAAACATTTTCAGCCCTGAAGATGACCCACATGTTTGGGTTGAAACGTTGGCAAAAATAAAAAAAAATTTAAAAAAGACTGCTTTCTGAATATTTATCACCCATGATATGTAGAACAGTCGACTAACTTCCTTCAAGTATTAATTTTACATTTTATTTTTAGGTATAAATTGGAAAAACAGTCCTTAACGAAATGAATCATTCATCATGATATTCAAAGAGTGGAAAATGAGAAAAACTAAACATAAACCTACTAAACTAAACATACACTAGAACACACAGATTCGAGATGTATAAAGTTGTGGAATGAATTTTAAACAATAAAAAAATAATTGTTTGGACACCTATTTATTTAAATTTTATCTTCATTTAATTATTAGTAACTTTTTAATTTTTGTAGCCATAAAATTTTAGAATATTCTCTGACTTTCAGATGAGTTTGACAAAAATCTCTGACTTTTCCAGAATAATATAAATTCCTTGAATCTTCCTGGTTTTTCCTGTCTGTCAAAAACCTTGCTTATAGTTATTGCCAATAGAAAGAATATTTTTTTCAGTAATTTATCATGACAGGTTTAACTTTTTCTCAGGATTTCATCATTATAGATAATATAATACAACTTGCTCATAAGAAACTTAGTATTAGTAAATAAAGTAAATAATAAACTTTTTCTCAGGATTTCATCATTATAAATGATACAATACAACTTGCTCAAAAGAAACTTAGTAATAAAGAACATCAGGAATAAGAACGTAGGATTAAGAGAAAAGGCTGATCACCCTATTATCAACAGGTTTTTTCAGCTTTTATTGACAATAGGGAAAGTAAGACCAGATAATATTGGAAAATGGAAATAACTTGCTCTATTTTTTTATTCACCTCTTCTTCTCACACTTTCTCATTCAAATTAAAATTTTTTGCAGTTATTTAAATTCTGCCATTGCTTTTGCATACATTATAGCAAAAAAAAAAAACCTACTAAAGGCAACTCCTGATTATACAGAAAGTTCAAGAAGCCTTTATGCTTCAAGAACATAAAGATATATCGGTAAAATACAAAGCTAACAAGAATGCCTGAATGTCATAGCAGGTAATGGAATGACTTTGGAAAAATTTTAGATTGTTCATATTTTATTATATACAAACTAAAAATTAAATACTATGTATTTACTAAACCAAGACGAGGGGAAAGAGAGAGGGAATCTATAAAATAAAATATAAAATAACAAACCATTCCAGTTGACACCACGTCCTGGGTTCAGATGAGAAAAAGCAGATGAAAACCTCATTTTCTTTTTTTTCTTGACAGGTGTTTCAATCATAGCTTTGATTTCTGTAGCTATCGCTGAAGATTTTAAGCTTGTTTCTGTTTCATCCATCAAGTTCTGAGACTGAGCTACTGTTACAATCATAACAAGATTTGTGTCTCGAGTTGTGAAAGACGTGCCCATTAACTGGGTAAGCTTTGATTCACGATACGGAACAACTTGTTTAAAATCACGTAATTGATTCTCACTGAAACATTATAAACCTAGACTATTCATACAAATAATAATAAATAATTTTGTAATAAACTAACACATATAGAAACAAGTTATATTAGTTCTTAAAATATAAATTGAAAAAATCAAAAGTATAAATTAATGAGGTTAATGTTATCATTTACACAAGTTCCTACAGAATAGACACAATAGAGAAAAGATTTAAATCTTTATTTACCATACTGACTAACTACTACAAGAAATGGAAAATAAAAATAAACGAACCCAAAACAGCAGCAATAATGTTCACCAAACGAAAGCCTACCATAGCTAATCATATTACCCTCAACAAAACTAGAATCCCCTTCCCCTGGGCTCTATCTGTTATCTATCTTGCACTGCAATTAGATAAAAAATTAAAAAAACTTTCACATCTCACATCAACAACAAACGCGGTAAAGCTAAAAAACTTATCAGCACAATGGCTCCCTACTTTCGTTGAAAATCTTCTCTTTCAATAAAAAACCAAATTATTTTATATAAATCGGTTATATGTCCTTTAATAACATATGCTTGTCCAGTATGGAGTTATACATGTAAATTAATTAAATAAACTTATTATTGTTATATTATTAGTTGATGAGTATATAAAAATAAACAATCCAAGTTGAAATGTATTTTGATAATATCATGGCTTTCTCTGTAGGCCATTGTCCATTCTAGAAACTGACTATTCGGGATAGCGCCTTATGGTTGGTCGTCTACAGAATAGGCCACATTTTCTTTAATGACCCATGATTTTAAAAAAAAATTGAATCTACTGTTTTATAAGGTTTATTTATAATCATTAGTAAAAATTAGTCCAAAAGAAGTATGCATAAAAAAAATGCATATTAGAAATCATCCTTTCAACCTAGGCAAGTATTTTTTAATTAATTAATAATATGAATAAAATTTTGTTGTAATAAATGTTGGATAAAAAAGTAGACATTATTTATAACAACCAAATATAATATATCTTATGGATTGTGTGTGAAAATGCAAAACATGAGAAACTATTAATTTATAATGTTAATTGCATATTTGATATTAGTTAATAATTTGATATTAGTGAAAAATTGATATGTCTGCAAACAACTTAACTCATGCTTATTATAACACCTAGATATGTATAGTCAGTCATCTGTTTACAGTTACAGTGACTGGACATTCCATATTATATTGATTGGCTGAGGCTTCCTTCACAGATGTAATTCTTTCCTTTTATTTGTATTGGCAGTGAGCCCTTTTCTTCATAATTCCTCTTGCCATTCAAGCATAGCTTGCTGCAATTTCTGCTGAGAGTCAGCCGCAAGGACCATTTCATTCGCGTATAACAAAGCTTGAACTTGAACATGTCTCAGATTCTATAATCCCATTATGCTTATGGCCATTCTCCTTTTGCGGATTTTATGTATTTCGTCCATGAAATTTATGAACAGCAAAGGATTTAAGCTGTCTCCCTGCTTCACTCCTTGTTCCATAGCAAAAGATCTGGATTCCATTCCATGTATTCTAACTAGATTTTGATATGCTGATTTAATGCATATATGAAATCTATGGGAATATTCTTAGCTTCTAGTGCTCTTCATAGTTCATATCTCGGGACAGAGTCAAATGCAGCTTTCATATCTAGAAATGCCATAAACTGGCCTATAATTTCTGACGTCTGCTAAATCTTTATTTGGTTTGGATATCGGGATGACTTTTTCTGTGTTCCAGACAGTAGGGAAGTGTCAAAAGCAGAATATGGTATAGAACATTTTTGTTAGATGCTATAATACTTTTTTGCTAAGATTTTTAATGACTATTGGAGGTATATTATCATCACCTGGGGCATTTTTTGTTTTCAGAAATTCAATAATATTGCTTGCTTCTTTTGGTGAAACAGGAGGGAAGTTGAGGGAAATTGGAATCCGAATAAACATTTTTACTGTTTTATTTACTTTGTTGTTATGAATGTGTGGTCTGAAATCATGGGTAATTCGAGATGTTGAACTAAAAAATTTTGCTAATAGTTCTGCTTTTTCGTTATCAGAATACGCAAATTCGTCTGCTAACTTAATAGGTGGAATACATTGCGATCTCATAATGAAAATGCGTTAAAATTTCCATAAAGATTTTACATCTGGTTTATTTTTATTGAGAGTTTGTGACCATTCATGATTTTTCTAATCTTTTAATTTATTTCTAACCAATGAATTTAACTTATTAATTAATGTTTTCTCTGATAGGCTGGGGGAAAACTGATACATTTTTCTAACTTTATAAGTAATTTTAAGTATGCAGGTAGGTCTTCATGAAATTATTTGGTTGTTTTTGGAATGGCTGTTGTCATTGCAGATTTAATTATTTTATTAAATGATGCTACATTCTGTCTGTTGGGGATGTGATTGTGGGGTTTATTTGGGGATGTGTCTAGTTGTTTATCAATTGTTTGCCAAAAAATAGGGCAGTTTGCATTTTTAAAATCAAATTTTGGAGTGATTTTATTTTTGTCAATTTTCATTTTGACTAGAAAAATCACAGGGTAGTGATCAGAGTTTAGACAGGGTAGTGAGACGATTCGTGAAATATTCGGGATATTTTTGGTGAGAACCAGTTCTATTATACTTGGTTTAAATTGGCTTTGCGTTGTGATATATGATGGTTCTGTGTAATATCTTAAAACAAGATTTAAGAGCATTTTCCCGTTTTTATTGGTATTATGACAATTCCACTGTATGTTTTTGGCATTTAGATCTCCAAAGATAATCAAATTACGACTGAGTTTTTTATTTAATTAAATCTGATGTATGTAATTTGTTAGGTGAAATGTAAGTGGCTACAGCTGTTGTTTTATTATCTAGACTGAACTGGATGGCTATCGCTTCGGCTTGAAGGTCGTTTACCGGACACAATATGTGTGAATTAGGTCTGCGCGAGTCAAGATCATGACGGCCCTGCCTTGTCTGTTTCTGTCCTTCCGGTATTGAAAATCTATCTCAGCCAGCCGGGTCTCACAAACTGATACTATATGAGGTTTGTTGTCGAGAAGAAATTCTTTAAATTCCAATCCGTTCCCTTTAATTGTATGTGCATTCCACATCATAACATTTAAATTAAAACTATTAAGAATCATTTGGTGAGCTGTGAAATATTTTCTGATGAAATCTTTTCTGTTAATACTGTAAATATACTTGAAAAACTGTGAGTAGAAAAACAAAGTGTGAGTATTGCGATTGATATTTGATGTACCGAATTTCGGTAAAACTTCCACAACATTTAAAGTTTTAAAAGTTTTAGGCATACAAATTAAATAAGAGTTAGTGATTATTGATATAAATTTTGATGTGTATGATTCTTTAACGAATACAGAAAAAGAAATTGACAATTTATTAAATACAAATATTTTATTTGTTTTATTATTCACCATGTAAAGATAGAATATCACGAGATTCTGGTGTGAATATAGTTTGGGTAAAAGAAAACCAATGGGCCGTGCCAGCTGGAAGGTCCAGGCTGTAAGTAAATGTTTTGCGATATCAATTGTTAGAATATATAAAGCATGCTGACTGGTTGAGTTGTAGTTAGGAAACCTACAATGTAGCTTTAGGTTTAATGAGTTAATATAATATAATAATAAAAACACAGACTTAGTTACTTTGTTAAAACACTAATATTAAAAATTGACAGAACATTGCAGCTTAAGAAGTTAAAAAATCTCTTATTAATTAAATCCACTAAAAAATTTATGGCAGTTTGTATGAAGAGACTAGTAAGAGATAAAATTACTACCAATGGCAAGTCACTGTCTGTGAGTCACCAATTTCTATCACATTTCTTTTGATGATTCTACATCGAAAAATATTAGACAAATGTTCTGATGTTTGTTGCAATGGGAATTAGGGGCCAAGAAAAAAATACTTTAGATAACTAAATAAAAAAGAATATTGTTATTTCTGCCTTTCCATTTCCGTTCACAGATTTCTAGGTTATTATGTACCGATCAATTTCTTGTTTTGTGAAAAATATATTTTAATAAATATAGTATAAATGCTTCCAGTAAAGTAGGCAAAGAAAATTTTTGTTACAAAAAGTTATGATTCGTTTTTAATGTCATTTCTTCAAACTTTTAAATAGGAATTTGCATAGAAATCAACAAACATAAATCTTAGTACATGATTTGCTTAGAGGATTTGTTTCAGGCCATTATTTAAAGCATCCATAGCTCATCCGGATTTCCTCAAAATTCAAAGTTCATAAAATTGGAAAAGCTGAATTGCTGCTTTTCTAACCAAAACCAATAACTTTCAGATTTTATTGTTTTATCAGCAAGAAACAGAGAAAAGCTCAGAGATTTTTATTTTATTTCTTTTATTCTAATTTGTTTACAGAGGTTGGGTTTTCTTTTTTTTCTCCTAAAAAATCTTTACCACCACATCGGTTGATTCAATTTTTGTAAATACTGTAATCATAATGCTATCTGTCAAATATATTTTTCTAAACCCGTCCAATATCCAAAGTAAAGGTTTTTAAGGAGAAACAAACTTGATATTCATTTTTCAGACCGACAGATCGATTGATATATAATTTCACAGGAATCCGGGAAATGGAAAGGCAAAAAAAATATTATATACAATCATTTAAAAATTATCTAACAATATTTTTTTTTAAGAAACATTGAAACAAAACCAAGACAAATGTCTGATATTTTTTATGTAGAATCACCAAAAATATTAATTTGAAATAGAGAACCACTTTTTTATATATCACACTAGTGGGCTTATTCTAATATATTCTTATCATTTTCCAAACCTAAATGGTTACAACAGCCTCCTAAATAGTCATAGAACTTAAGGTTATCGCATTACAACAGTTCTCTAAATGCTCAAATTCCTAACAATGCTAACTCAAAATTAGTCATATTTTCAAATTTCATAATAATCAAATTGGTTTGTAATATTTCAAAAATAAATATGTAAAAACTAAAATAACATTGCTATGAAATACATACCGTATAATTTTTAAGCATCTATTCAAAACTAAAAAAGAAGAATTAATACTCTGAGATTCCTTCATACGAGATCCATGGTTTCGGGTTTTACTAAATCGCTCAGTACCAGCTAAATCACAAACTGAAAAACTAAACTCACAATAAGTATATAAAACTCATAATGAGTCTTTATTTAAAACTTATTATTCGTGTGTATTCCATTTACAGGGTCATTTTAGTTACCTTGAAGTAATGAAGCAATTATCATTACTATCCTTCTGTCGGCCAAGAATTTTTACCGTAAATATAGAGTGTGATCGAGAAGATCTCTCATTTAAGGAAGTAAAACTAACACTGCGATTGTAACAACCATAGTAGTATAGAAAGTAGGCTTCTTCCAATGTTGTGACATGTATATGTTGTAGTCCTATGAAAAGAAAATTTCAATTATCAAATTTGTATCTAAATATCTAAGACATGGTTGACATAGCACAAAAAAATAAATAAAATTAAAATAAAGGTAAAGTTGCATCTAGAAAAAAGCAAACAGGCAATGGCTCAAACAAAATTGAATAAATCAGTCAGGAAGAAGTATGGATATTAAATGTAATGGAAATTAAAATCCCAAGTGATATTAAATGTATAGATGTACATAGTAAATGTATATAGATAATAGATTTTCAAAAACCTCATCAATGAAGCCACAAAGAGATGGGATAGGACAATAAAAGTTTGACTGAATGAGTATGGAGAAGCAGTGTTCTTAAAAGTTCTGGAACCGAAAAGGTTTAGATATAAAGGGACAGAAATATGTGCCATTGGACTCTCTCTTATTTGGGATTTACTCAAATACTAGAGATGAGTCAAACTCACCGTATGAAGAAACAAGTAAATCAAAACCAATTCAAAGGCATATATAGTTTTCAAAATAAATTCTGTATATAAAGGGTATCCCATAGGTAATTAAAATTTTTTAAACAAGTGAAAGTAGAAAAAAATCTGGTGCAGCCTTTAAGGAAAAAGTTTCTGTAACATCTAAGGCATATACCTTCTTAAATATCTTAAATACGTAACATCAAGTTTCGTACGACTTTTCGTTTTTTTAGCTAGATTGTTCACATACACACACAAACCATTTTTCGGGACTTGATTATTAGGACTCAGGAGACCTCAACAAAATATATTTCCATTGAAAACTCAGATTCAAAAATTTTCATGATCGCAATACATTTCTTTTTACTATATATTACATATATAGGTAAGTGAAATTAAAAACAGGAAACTTCGTAGACTAAATTTCCTTCAAAAGCAAGTAGAATTTATCATCACTAAAACCATATCAAGTAGCTAAACTACACTAAGTTCAGTTATGAATAAAACCGTGGATTATCCACAATTTTTTTTAACTGCTTCCTACAGAATTATAAATACCACGCTCATAGAAAAACTTCCTTGTTTAATAAGCTTCAGGTTTATATTAACCAAGTTAAGATCTGTCACTTAATAAGCTGAGATTCACTGCCAGTTTTCCGAAACGTTTTGTAATATGAAATTCTGTTTTCTTGAAATACCATGTATTCAGCAAACATAATTTCAATTAACCATTACAAATCTTTTATTTATTATTATTTTATTTTTTGTGTGTGACATCAGATGCTTTGTACTAAATTAATTACTAAAATACAGTTTTGATTAATACAAAATGTGAAAAAAAATTATCATCAAATGCAGGGGCTTCAATCAATGGCCCACAGAAAGTTTCTTCAAGTGATAAAAATTCAAAAATTATTTAAAAAATTAAATTTAGTATATCACTTAAACACAAGGTTGCTTAAAATTTATTGCATGAGTCGTTTCTGTTAGAGAGCTTATTTTATAACTAAATTGTCATTTATATAACAAGCTTTTTTTTTCACAAAAAAATCACTAGCCATGGTCCATAGGAAATGGTGGTCTTAATATGGCCTGTGGGCCAAAATTTTTGAGGACCCTTGACTTAAGGTGATAGAATACCATAAATCCTAATTATGAGAATTTACTAAGGGGCCAACTAGAAATTCCTATCCCCTAATCTCAATGTTTTCATAAAAATAATTGAAGCAATTATATTCTAAAGAGATAATTCCTCAAGAAATACATTGTAATTCCCTATAAAGTCAAAATTTAATTGTGTGGCGGCAATAAAAACAAACACAAAGGACATGTTTAGATTATTCTATAATCAAAATAATTCTAACAAATCTCAAAATATATTAGTTTGAACCTTATGTGTCAATCGCCACCTTTTCATACAGGAACTCATTTTTAGGAAACAATGGAGTGTTTACAATTAATTACATGTTAAACTAAAAAAAAAAAAATAAAACTGTGCAGGGAATATCTTGGTAATGAGAATTGAAATTTTTCAGTCAATTTTAATGTTGATAATTTAGTGAAAACTAAATTTTTGTTATAGTCAGAAAGGGAATTGATAATGAATGAAAGACTGATGGAAAATTTAAACTTTGACTAAGGAATGATGATAAGATTGTGGAATAGGAATAAAATAAGTCAAGGATAATATGTGTATTGCATTAGAGGACATTCTTTTCTTTGCCTTAAAAAAATACTTGAAAACTAGTGCAAAAACACCATTTAAAATCTAATCTAAATACGTCATTATCCTTATACAGGCTGATTTTTTTTTTTCCTTTTCCCGTCAAGATTTTAAACAAAATCTACTTTGATTAAACAGGCTGTTGAAAGTAAAATATTGCATTCTCAGACAGCCTAAAGGAACAAGGATAGAATGGTTTATGATAAATTAAAGTAATTATGTTTAGTGATTTTAATATTAATAAAGTAATAACCTATGTTATATACTTACAGTGGTAAGAATATTTTTACTGTTAACTTTAGAGAACACTAATCACTAATTAAAAGTTTTAATTTTTAAAAACAGATTGATGAAATGAAATCAACCCATCAGAAATAATAAAAGAGAAAGGCAGAGCTATATTTCTCATAAATGGCAACCAGCTGAAAAGTTTAATCATTTTTAAAGATGGTCTATCTAGGAGGAAAATTTTAAGTCAACTTCAATGATTCTATTAATTTCACTCCTAGAAGGATTAAAGCAATCATCGTTTAAGCCTTAACAAAGACTGGTTATCTTTATTATATGCGAGCACCCCTCATTCCAAGGATTAGTCATGTTATTATTTTAAAAATAAATATGAGGCTGTGGATTTGGAGAAGCTTTGACATCCAGACCAAATCTACAGTACAACCATTTTTAATACACCTTTAGGCTACTACCACCTTTGGAGTTCCATATATCTGGTGTCAATGGCGGACAGGGAGTGAAAAGCTACTTATTTGTTAAGTGAATTTGAAAAAGGCAGCTTTTCAAGCTGTCAGTTTTAAGTTGTAATTTTGGTTTCACCTTTACAACTTCAAATTCTGATTTTGAGATGAGATTCACTTAAAAAATGTATGCAATAATTATAAAATAAATTTATTGAGTTTTAGTTTTAAGATAAGAAGACAAATTTATTCTTTTTTGAACTTTTATATTACTTATGGTAGTAAGAACTTACCTTTTATAAAAACACATTTGTCCAAATCAGTTGAAAGTTGTAAAGGGTTCCTCACATCTTTGTGCATATCAAACAAATCATAAATTTTTTCATTGTAAATTTCAGCAAATGAAAACCATATAGAAAAAACACAGTCATCTTTATCAACAACCAATTTTTTTGATTTTTTGTATAACAATTCTATTTCTTCAAAAGCTAGAACAAACAATGGGCATTAAACAAAGGTTAAGAAATAAAATTCCAATACAGGTGTCTATGAATATTTAAATAATGTTAGGATGAAATCATTAAACTCCAGAAATTTATGAGGAAGAAAACAATAAAACTTATATTGCAAATCACGCCAAATTAAAAAAAAAAAACTTTTAACAATTCCAAAGTAATAAAAAGTTTTTTTTTATAAGATTAAGAATGAAATCGAATGTTTCTTAGAATTAATTTTTAGTAAACTTTGAAAAAAACAAAATCTACAATTCATGAATTTTCTATTGTTATGTTTATTGTCCATTTAGAAAAGTTTGATTTTTTTTTTTTTTTATATAACACTAGAACTTTCAGATCCATCTATCAATACTTACAAAGAATATCATCATTTTTCTGTAAGTGCTGCTGTACCTATAAATGAAAGAAACAAAATTAGAACTTTTCAGAACAAGAAATGTTAATTTATAACTAAAAACAAACTAATAGCAAGATACAAAACAATTTTCAATATTGGTTTAGTGGTTTTGAATTTAAATACCAACCTTAATCACTCAACCCTTACCCATGTCATGTCATGTCACCATGACCACATTTATGCAATGACTCTACTTACTTACTATTTAGCTCTACAGCCTGGGGTGGGCCTCGGCTTCCCTGATTATAGCATGCAAATCATTTCTATTCTTTGCCCTATCCTTCCAGTTTCTCACACCCGGTGTGCATCAGCCCTAACCCCTTTCCTAGTTTCACTAGTTCAGGGAAAAGAAAAAGTTTCCCCAGAATGGAAAATCCCAAAGAGGAGAGGGAGCGGACAAAGGATTGTTTTGGCAAGCCGTTAGTGTTTGGGGCAGGAGTGAAGAGAGGATGGAAGAAGGGATTCTGGCCCCAGTGGGTAAAACCCAGTAATAGTATTACCATCTTGGAAGTTGTTGTTTGATAGAGTCACTAGTTGTTTGGAATTATAAGAGAGAGGATCTCCCAGAGAGCTTGAATTGAGAAGAAGGAAAGTATCACCATTTTGGAAGATATGTTTGGCAGAACATAGGAAAATGTTAGAAGACAAATGAATTTAGTGGAAGAAACAGTATATATAGAAAAAAAGTTAGCTAGCCAATCCATACTTGACTTTATTCTAAAATGAGTGTTTAATTTTAGTATAAATAATAATAGTTTGTCTAATAATTATAAATTTCAATTCAGTATATTAATACTCTTATAATTATGTTTATTATTTAAGATAATGTAGCAATTAAGAAGAAGAGCTAGAAAAAGCTTTCTTTCAACAATATGTATTTATAAGAATACATTTTTGAAATACCCAAAGAATACTACACCAGCCAAGAAAACCTAAAAGCAAAGATAAAAAACTTGAGAAAAAATCACTAGGTAGGGTTACTTTGACATAAAAACGTCATATTTACAAACATTCCTAGAAAGAAAACGCTTTTCTAATTTTGGATTAAATTCTTCTTTTTTACTTTCACTTACCTATATATGCAATATATAGTAAGGGTAAGTATTGCGATTGAGAAACTTTTTCTTTGTTACTAGGAAGGTGATGTTACTATAGATGTGTAATTGTTTGGAAACAATAAATCATAAAAAAATAATTGGTAAAATTTTTTATTTTTATAATGCAAAATTAGTTTAAATATAAAAATTATATGGTTAAATGGTATATTTTATTCAATTGTTTTTAAGTTGAATGGTAAAAAAAAAGTTATATACTTATTGGTTTAAATTGAAAGGTATGTAACGAAAATTGTTATATATTATTATATATAAAATATATATTTATTAATTTGTTGAAGATGAAACTACATACATGTTAACATTTTTCTCTATTTCAAAACAAATGTAATAATTATTAAATTACTGCATTTTACTACATTAATATTATTTTAAAATTTTACCAGTTTTTTAGCCCAAGTTAAGCATTTTTCCTTCAAAAGAAATTTTTCAAACATTTCATTTTCAGTTAGTTCAACAACTGATACTGATCGTTCTGGACAATAACGATAAGACTCATCAATAGCATTTTCAAGGGAAGCAAATATGGTAGCAATAATTCTAGGGATAAGGCCAGGGTTGTTTTTAGTTCCTGAAATGTTTTCACAAGTGATTACATAATATATATATATATATATATTACAAAACTAAATTTAACTTTAATAAATGTAATGAAATTTACCTTGAATAGTAAATGTCTTTCCAGAACTAGATGTACCATATGTGAAAATAAAAGCATTTTTTCCATTCAGGAAATCTTGAAGATTATCCTCGGTACTTTTTAAAAAAACTTCTTCCTGTGAAGCACTCGGTTTGAAAATGTATGAAAATGAAAATCTAAAACGGAAAAATATATACACCTACTAATAGACCTAAGTAAGAAATAACTACATAAAATATTATTTAAATAACTACATAACACATTAAAAAATAAATAAATTAAGATCTAGGCAATAAACTCAATACTATTTAGTGTTTATTGACATTAATGAACTAAATATGAAAGATAGTGGGGAGAAAAAAAAAAGTTGTGTATAATCCTATTTTTCTTTTTCTTCTTCCCTGGAGAGTATAAATATGAAAACAACAGCCTCAATACATAGTTCTATACTCATTGACTGAAAATCAAAATCCTTAGAAAAAAAAATATATATATAAAAGGGGGCTGGGGTAGCCATGCGGGCTAAGGCGATTGCAGTAGGCAATCAAAGTTAAGCAATGCCAAGCATGGTAAGTACTTAGATGGGTGACCGCCTACACCAAGGAAAGCCACGCCACCAAAGATTCTCCCTCCCGCGGTATGTGAGACCTGTCAGCCTACTGGAGGCAACTCACACCGACCAGGCTTAGTAGTGATGACCCTACTTCGTACTTTAAATCGGGAATCGGGGTGTGGCCTAGGAGACCACATCCTGCGGTCAAAGATCTTCATGGTCTGTAGCGCAAAAAAAAATATATATGTATACGTGTGTATATATATATACATCAAGTATAAATGATATCAACTGTATATTTATTTACAATATAAAAAAAATATATAAGTACTAAAAAAATTCTCTGACTTCTCTCTGTTTTAAAAATTCATAGACTTTTCCCAGTAGGTCGCCATCCTGTTAAAGCTTATTAAATGAAGAAGTTTTTTTAAAAGTAGAGTATTTGTAGTATAGTTGGATAAAGATAAAAAATCGAGAATAATTAATGATTTTCTTAAAAACAGAACTTAGCTTAGTTTAGCCACTCAAAAGCCCTCTGTAAATGATTTTAACAATGATAAACTCTAGTTTAATTAGATGTAAATTTTGTGTAGTTTACATTGAGGCAATTGTTAATTAATTAAATTAAATATTTCTTTAGTTTAGTCACTTCCTATTCAACAAAAACATGAATAACTTTAAAAAACATAAAATTTGGATTTCCTACTCTTCTGCAGAAAATTGGCCTTGTTTAAATGAACTTTTTTGCAGCTCTTGAGATCTGCTACCACTCCTACAAAAATTTCCCTCTACTTACGGGACACCCTGTATATTATATAGATCACACAATTTTAGATATCTAATCATAAAAATAATAATGAACACTTTATTTTTTAATTCAGATGAAATTTCAAATGTTATACATTCCAATTATTTTTATTAAAATTTTAAAGAAACTTTAGGAATACACTGCAATAATATTTGAGATTTCCAAGTGTTCAAATATTAATGTTAAAGCTGTTTTTCTAAATTACTAAAAAATTTTTTGGGGGAATTATGTTCTTTCTAAAAAAACAAAAGCATTCTATTCTTTGGTAAGAACAATTTTTTCTTACCTGTAAAATATCTTTTCTTATCTTCAATAAGTCAGTGATTTCCTACCACAACTCTTTGATTTTTCATAAGGCTTATAAAACTTTCTTATCAAATTCCAACTCGGGGTATTTTTATATCCAGATTTTAATTTTTGATGAGACTGGATTTTACTTTCAGCATATTTTTTTTTTTTTTTTTTTGTGATGATAAAATTACAATTCAATTCAAAGCCGAAAGGGATACTGAAGGACTGAATGAATGAGTGATTATTACAGTGGAAACAATAACAATAAATGACTTACTAATGAATCAGCTTATTCTAAGAAAGTAGCTTTTTATTATCAAATACTTTAGGCAAGTTCTATTCCAAGAATATTTCTAACTCTGTTTACTTCTTCATTTTGCAATGTTAAATAGTGATTTTTGTTTGTCTCAGAATTATTAACCTTCTTTAAATTTTTCTATATATGATAATAAATAACGAATTTATTTAAACAGTATAGTAAACTAAAAAGGTAAATATTAACACACACATATACATTTGTATTTATAAGTCATCAAATTGATCACAGAAGTGTTAAAAAGGTCAATATAAAGCAACATAAATCAAAATAGTGCAATTAAGACAAAAATAGTAAAATGTAAAAATCATTAAGCCAGTAATTTATTACTTATCAATAACTTACTTTGAAACTGAGGATTTCTTTTTGAGAAGTAGAGAATTTTTTTCCTCTTCAGAAAGTGATAAAAAGCCATCCTAAAAAATAAAAATGTATAGCTTTCACAAATTTAAATAAACCCAAGATAATTGAACTACAAATAATTAAACTAACTTTGGAGAATTCAGTGTCGGGTTTCAGACGAAGATAAACCTGAATTGCATCATCCAGTTTCTCATCAGTTGAAAAACTGAATCTTTTCGGAATTCTATCACCTCTTTCATGAACATCTTTTCCAAAACGGGAAATAGGCTCTGCAGGCTTTACATAGGAAAGATCTTCCATGGCAATATCACTTTTAACACACAGAATAGTAATTGCACAGGAAAACTTCTTAATACCAATCTAATCTTTCAGTAACAAACCGTGATCCGTTGATCTGGAATTATCATTCAAAGTTCAAAATAGTTTATCTTAAAATGGCGCGAACTCTCATCGAGAATGTATCAGCTAGAGGTGTACGATAGTCGATACTTGATTACTATCGATAGTGGATACAAAGAAATAAAAGAATAAAGTTCCTAAATCCAGGGTAGAAGAAAGGTCGACTAGCTAGTCCAGGGTCTAGTAGCGAAGTCAATAAAACTACCAGGTTCGCTCACTCAGAAATGCGTGGTGAGAGAACATGAAACGTGAAGTAAGGACTAGACCGCCAGGCCTACCTATTACTCTTTCAAGTCTATCAATGAAGGTTTATTTCAACATTATTGAGCTTTTTTTTTCTTTTTTAATTTATTGAAAAGAATACTTTTCTGTTTTTTTGACGTTTTATTGAAGATAATTTTAAGTAGATAAATAAATAAATACGACTAGCGTCCTAGAATAAAACGTTATTCAAATTATAGACTAGACCTGAAACGAAATCGATATTAAGATTATTTTTATATTATTTATTTCAAAATCATATACTGTAAAAAATCTCCGAATATATTACATAAACACAAAAAATGAAGATCTATACTTATTTAGAGAAACTAAACAACATTGTAGCACAATTTTTGTTTGTAGAAATCTCGATTATTTCTTTTAATGGTATAACGATGAAAATAATTGTCAGAATTTGCAGTCAAAATTTCTTTAAATAAATATGTTAAAAAAAATTTAAATAATTTAAAAAATTACAATTTTTTACTGCAAATCCTGACATTTTTTTTTCAATTCTATAATTTTATATTAGATATTGCAAATATTTTATATTACACCAATTAAGAAAACCTAAAGTGACCCTTACTCGGTCAATATTGAGTTTCGTCAATATATTGACCGTGTAAGTGCTATATTGAGCAATTGGACCATATATACGGATCTTAAAAAGCACTGGACGATACCAAATTTCTGGTGCTCCTCTTGGCAATATGTTTGAATAGGGATATGATACTTTGTTTTAGTATATATTTTTTTGAAGGGGGGTTAATCCCCATCTCCCGACTTTTTTTTAAAAGGTAAAATGGCCATATGTTTGGGTAGGTGGGTAATACTTTGTTTTACTTTTTTCTTTTTTTTAGGGGGGCATGGTTAACCTCCCTCCGAATTATTTTTAAAGATAAAATGGCAATATGTTTGAGTAGGTGGGTGATACTTTGTTTTATCATTTTTCTTTTTGAAGGGTGATCACTCCCCTCCGATTTATTAAGTAAAATAAAGTGGTAATATGTTTGGGTAGGTGGGTGATACTTAAAATTTTTTTATGAGTGGGAGGGAGGTTTAACCCCTCCCACTCCGTATATTTTTAAAGATAAAATGACAATTTAGTTTGGGTAGATGGGTGACACTTTATTTAACTTTTATTTTTATTTTTTTAAAGGAGGGGTTAATATTAGGATTACTTATGGCATAAAAATTCAAATTTACAAACATTCGTTATAATACTTTTTTTAAAAAATAGTTCTATCATTTCACATTATGTTTTATATTTATTTCAAATATTTAAAAAAATTGTGGTATTTTACATTTCTGAAAAACAACACATCAACTTCTAAAATTACATATTATTTGTTTGTTTTAAAATAAACAAAATAGGAAATGATCCTTTCTCTAATTTTTTTAATTTATTAATATTAATAAATTACTAGTATATTATACTTTAAAGTATTGATTTCATGTAGAAAGATAAATAATAATCTTAAAACGTCCAGAAACAAGGGCCGGAGGGGTATTATCGGTCTAGTGGTTACGTCAGAGCTCGATTCCTCCCCACTATTTTCCCTCTGAGCACGGGCGGATCTACGGGGGGGCTTTCAGGCTGAAGCCCCCCCCCCCCAAAATGGCAAAATATAACCATGTTTTATGGAAAAAATTATCTCTTAAAGTCTTATTGTTCGTGTAATTACATATAAAAGGACTTAAGAAATCACTTAAACGCCATTTCATATAGGTAGTTAGTTTCTTTCTTTTTTTCCAAAGTAATTATCGTCATTTTTATGAAAAAAAAAGCTTTCGGACTGAAGCCCCCCCTCCCCCCCAAAATCAAATCCTGGATCCGCTAGTGCCTCTGAGTGAGCGAACCTGGTAGTTTTATTGACCTTGGTCTAGTAGTATGTATGTAACGATTTTATTGATATCTAAATATTCCTAGCCTGTTCTTGCAAGTATTTTACAGCCTGTAGGACTTCACTAATTAAGGAGCTTATGGTCTAACTTCCGCGGGAACCAGCCTAAATATACTTTTATTTAAATTGTCATTTATATTCAATGTTAAAAATAAACAGGGTTTCCTGCAAGTAGAGAATATTTAAGCAGGTAATAATAGACCTCTAGAGTAGACCTGGACAGAATTTATTTGCAAAATATTCCCGGAATAAATCCTTAGATAAACCTTGATAGTTGTTTCCGAAATAATTTATTTCATGAAATAACCTGACCATTATTTCCGAAATGATTATTTCTGGAATAAATTATTTCAGGAATAATGATATAATTATTTCTGAAATGATTATTTCAGGAATAATGTGAAATAATCATTCTGATCGACTTTTCAGATATAATCAATATCCGGGTTGACTAGTATGTTTTCGGGGGCGCTTATTATAAAAATAATGTCAAATTTGACATTGCACCCCACCCTCTCACATAAACTTTTTGTAACTTTTCTGATATAATCGATATCAGGGTCGACTATTATGTTTTCGGGGTAGCTTATTATGAAAATACGGTCGAATTTGAGATTGCGCCCCCCTCCCCTCCAGCATCGACTTTTTGTAACTTTTCGGATTTAATCGATATCAGGGTCGACTATTGTTTTAGGGGGTGCTAATTATAAAAATAATGTCAAATTTAAGATTGCGCCCCCCCCCCACCCACCAGCATCGACTTTTTGTAACTTTTCGGATTTGATCGATGTCAGGGCCGACTATTGTGTTTTCGGAAGAACTTTTTATGACAACACGGTCGAATTTGAAATTGTGGCCCCCTCCTTCCACTTTTTGTAACTTTTCGGATTTAATCGATATCCAGGTCGACTGTTATGTTTTTGGGGACACTTTTTATAAAAATAATGTCAGATCTGGGATTGCGGGATTATAGTCGACCCTGATATCAATTAAATCCGAAAGGTTATTAAAAGTCGATTGGTGAGGGAGGGAGGAATTGGCGCAATCTCAAATTCGACAGTATTTTCATAATAAGCTGCCCCGAAAACATAATAATCAACCCTGATATCGATTAAACCCGAAAGGTTACTAACAGTCGATTGGTGGAGGAGGGAGGGGAGCAATCTCAAATTCGAAAAAGAATGTTCAAATTTTGAAATAATTATATCAGAAATAAATTCAGCAGTTATTCCATCGAGATTGTTTCATTGACAGTTTGAAATATTATTTCAGAAATAACCATATGATTTATTTCAGAAATAAATTATTTCAAGAGTGCCCAGGTCTACTCTAGAGCTATCATAAACTTCATATAAACAATAGTCCGATTTTCGGCATAGTAGTAGCAAATTTAAGTTTCCTGTTTTTCAACTAAGTTATGGTTTTTGGTGAATAGGAAATTATAACTAACATTAGTTACCATAATTAATTAACAATTGCTTCACTGTAAATTAGACAAATTTTGCTTTAAACGAAAGTAGAGTTTGTTATTATTAAAACCATTCAAAGAGGACTTTTGAGTGAATAACTAAGCTATGTGGTGATATAAAAAAAATCATGAATTATTCGCAATTTTATTTATCACCATCCAACTAGATAAATATATTTATAAGTGACCAATTTAACGTTTCCAATCCAATAATATCTACATGTAAAGTAAAGAAAATTGTTGATGGTTTGAATTATTTTCATGAACGTATTTAAAGAAAAGAGAAACATAGGGAAAATTTATCCTCTTAGGCGATTTTCCTAATGTAATAGAAAAAAAAATATCGTTACCAGTACTAGCGAATTCTGCCAGCGGACGCGCCCTTCCTTGGATGGTAAAAAAACACCAATTTAAAGAAAAGAGAAATATAGGGAAAATTCATCCTCATAGACGAATTTTCTAATGTACTATTAAAAAATATTATTATCACGACCATTTTTGTTAATTTTACGGTTTGATATAATACGTCACCTCCACCAGGCTGTGGCGCACGGCGAGATTTTGTTAAACCAAGAATAGAATGTAAGAGCAAAAGTTGGCTCGTAGGTTGAAGTGATGTAGTTTTAGGGCCATCTTGAATTGCGAAGGCTTGTGCTCCAGTCGTAGTTCGTTCCAACTCATTCCGAATTGAGTCTCGCAGGTGGAATACATGATGGAGGAAAATTAACTAATAAAAAACAACTTCATTTATCCTTTCGAACAAGCTTTTATTCGAGCCCAAGAAAATAGAGTTTATCTCCCGGACCCAGTTTTTATCCAGTTTCAATAGATCTGGAAACATTGCAACCGTCAGCAACTATTGCCTCCTTGAAAAATCCATGGGGTTCATTAAACTGGTCACGATAATAATTTCTCATGTATATTTCTCATTAGGAAGTGTTGTTCTTTTCTTAAAATAGCTGCTGTTAGAAAAGTTTTCTTGACGGAAGGTATTGATTATTTGGTCTCCGATTTTATAGGAATCTGATTATGATCTGAATCGGAAATTATTCTGAGTTTTCTATTTTAGAGAACTCAATTCTAAGCTGCAGGGTGATTTACTGTCATCAAATTCATCAAAATCTGTCTCAGATTTTGACAATGATGATAAAAATTAGCGTTCATTGACCGTAGCTATCGACCATATTACTTAATCAAATAAGGCCATCAACTCATAATACAGTTACAGAGCCACATCACTATGGCGAGCATTGGTGATTACTATGAGCACTATGGTGATTACTTTGTCTACATAAATCTGGTCATGACACTGGGCAGCTTTAGGAAAATTATTGAATTCTTCACGAAATAACTGTAGAGTGGCTCTCTGCCCAATAAAGGGAGAACATTTCAACCCAAATGGCAAGGCAACCAACTCATACTCCTGGATAGGCTTTGAAGATTCACTTCTCCAAAAAGAAATAATAAGTTTTGACAATGCGGATACACTTAAACATCATTTTTATATCGCCTGTTAAGGCCACAGAGAAGCATCTAAAATGACTGAAAGAATCTATAATGACTCCATGATGGGTCATGAGGTATAAAGGAGGGTTCTTGGCGCGGCGGATCCAGTCTAACATATTGGTCCATCTGTGCAGCAGTGGCGGATCCAGAAATTTTCTCAGAGGAGGGCGCACCTCTGTACCACGTGCTTCCGCCACCCCTACCCGTTCCCCCACCATTACCCATTCTCCCCACTCCTTAGCTGAATTTAGACGCTCAAAAATCCTCTTTAAATGGTTTTTATAAATGCAAATTCTATTTTTATTTAGTGAAAATTTTGACTAGTTTTCAGTGAAGCTATCATTAATTACTTAAATTATTTTTTTTATATCACCTCCTTACATAAAAAATCACAAAACTTTAATTCCCTACTTTCCTGCTAAAAATCGAACCATTGTTTATATAAACTTTTTTGTATTTGAGTTTTGCTCCTTTAAATATTTCCCTCTACTTACGGGAAATCCTGTATATGGTTTTAGACATGTAAAAAACTAAATTGCTAACATGGGTACCCAAGAGAAAGCGTTTTACCGAAATTTTCAGATTTATCTGATCTTTTTTACTTTCCTACCTGTACTAGGCAAGGAAAGTATTGCAATCGGGTCAAATTTCCGATATACGGTCTTCGATGGATCTATACGTTTTAAAGCCACCTGAGTCCGAAAAACATATTTTTAGCCATTGTTCTGTCTGTCTGTGCCAAGATTTTCTCGGGAACTACTGAACCGATTTTGTTTCTTCTTTTTTTATTTGGTAGGGTTTTGACTACTGATGCCTATAACAGAAATTCTGTGCTCCATGCTCAATAGCTTGCGTGGAATAAATGAAAAACAACTTTTTCTATAGACTGTAGCGCGAAAACGGCTCTAACGATTTTGATGAAACTTTCCTATAATGTTCTAATAATTGTCCTTTCAATTTTCGTATATAGACTAAATTCCCTAAAAAAATTCAGGAAACAAAGTTTGCCTGTTTAGCCTGTTTTTGAAGTCAATGAAATTCCATACAGAACTATATAAAAATCGTCCATTTTGGACAACTATTAACGAAGTTACAGCTATTCAATTTCCAATGTAAGATTACGGGTTCATATCCTGGTGTAAGAAAGGGGTGAATGAGAGAAAAAAGATGACTAAGTGAAAGTAAGAAAATCTGTTGCCCGCATCACACAATCCTCACTATTTCCTCTACTTTTAACAGAAATTATTGTTTGACAATACTCAGCTATCGCAAAAAGTTTTTGATCAACAATATTAGTGAGTATTGAAATTTTTACACTGTTCTACCTTAAGCCCGTTTACATTGCTTTAGTTTATCAAATAGATCGTACTCAAATCTTTTCTTTCATCAATTTTCAGGAAAATAAATCTTGTTCAATTTTTTTTTTTTTTTTTTTGTTTCTTCATGAACATATGTAAATATATAAAAACTTTTCTGAAGTAGGTAGGAAATTCGTGTGAGTGGACACACCAGATGTTTTTTTTATGTATTACTACTAAGCAGTGCATCAAAGTGAAAAACGTATTCTTAAAGAAATTAAAAAACGTCAAATTGTGTGTTGAACGAGTACTTAAACTTAATAATTTTATTAAGTGATATGGTCGATAACCACGGTCAATGAACGCTATGACATTTTTAACGATATTGTCAAAATCTGAGAAAGATTACGATAAATGGCCCTGTAGCTTGGAAATAAGTTCTCTAAGAAAAAAAAAACTCAGAATAATATCCGATTTCGATTATAATCAGATTCCGATCAAATCGGCGACCAAATAATTAATACATTTCTTCACGAAAACGTTCCCAACAGCAGCTATTTTAATAAAAGAATAACACTTTCTAATGAGAAATATACAAATTATTATGGTGACCAGTTTTATGATTCGCATGGATTCTTCAAGGAGATTATAGTTGCTGAAGGTTGCAATGCGGTCAGATCTATTAAAACTGCGTAAAAACTAGGTCCGAAAGAAAACCCGTATTTTCTTGTCCTCGAAAAAAAAGAGGTTCGAAAGAATAAATGAATAACAATTTTCTATTTTTAATAAATTTTCCTCCGTCATATATTTTACCTGCGAGGCTCAGTTCCGATTCAATAGGAACAATGTTTTTCTGGATCTTTTTTTTTCGGAATTATTTTTCTAATATCCAGAGGGGGACGCGCCCCTGGAAGAAATCACTAGTGCTGGTTATGATAGATACATTAAAAAATTCATCTATGAGGATAATTTTCCCTATATTTCTCATTTCTTTTAATAGGTGTAATTTGGATTTTTTTTTTTCAGCATTCAAGGCAGATTTTGCTAGAGCTGGTCACGATAGTATTTTTTTTTTATATTACATTAGGAAATTCGTGTATCAGGATAAATTTTTCCTACATTTCTCTTTTCTTTAAAATGGGATTTTTGTCACTTTTTTCGATATTTTTTTTCACCATCCAAGAAGGGCGCGCCCCCTGGCAGAATTCGCTATTGCTGGTCACGATATATTTTTTTTATATTACATTAGGAAATTCGTGTATGGAGATGAGTTTTCCCTACATTTATCTTTTCTTTAAAAAGCTGTTTTTTGGAATTTTTGTCCAGCTACGTAAAATGGGGGAAGGGGCGTACCTCGGCTGGATCCGCTAGTGCTATGCAGCATTGGCAGACTTAAAAAAAATCTATTTTCCATATTTCTAAATCTGCGTAGAGCTATCTCTCTAGTGGAATCAAGGCTAATCGGCTGGTCAGAACAGAACTGAAGCGAAACAAGGGTTTTAGCTTAGGCTGGATTGTAGGGCTTTGGCTTTCCGAGAGGGTGTTCCCAAATAGTACCCATCCTAATGAGGTATGAATAGCTTTCGGTTGACCCTTTAGAAATAAAACAGGGTCATTTGAAACCTCATCGCACATCTCAGTACCCAGAATAACACCAACTTTCCCCGGCTATGAAATTGAGGGTCGCAAGTTCAATCGAAGCAAATCTATTCCGTACTTCTTGGGATACAGCAAATGATATAATATAAAATTATACAGAAATGGCAAAATAGGACAGCGCCATCATTGCTCTAAACATAGAAGAAAAAAAAATAGAATATTAAAAAATATAACCAATAAATTTCTGAAAATCTGACTGGCACCGTTTTATTAATGAAACAAATTAATAGTAAAATAAGGACATCTTACTTCTTGATCTCTTTAGAGTGCCATGATCTGGAAAGTCTGTTCCTGAAGATGTGAATGAATGAAATAACATCACAGAGTGTAGAATTGCATCAGAATATAAAATTAATGGTGTTTATCTTATAGATAGCTTGAAGATGGCTTACCAGCCGAAACGTAGGTATGTAAATTGAAATAATTATAATGAAGAAATAAAACACAGCCTTATTTTATATGAATGAAATAAATTTTCTGAAGTGATTTTAAATGGCTTAACTCTGTTAATCAAGATAATTGTTTCACAATGATTAATGATTTTGCAAAAATCATTTGGTTAATTAAAGGTCCCTTCAACAAACAGATATTGCTTCTGCCATAAATCTCAGAATAAAGTAATTACATACAACTTTTGGATGCGATATCTAAAGGAAAAAGAATGGATTTTTTTGGAAAAATAAGAAATATGGAAAAAACTATGAAAAATGATGTACTATGACTGAATGTGCAAAATACTCAATTTGGATTTTGCCCTCATAAAATTAATAGTGGCTAACAAGAACAAAACATAGTGGCTGGGATAGCCCATCTGTACAATAGTTTTATTTTTATTTTTAGTCCACAATTGAGAAGCAGGAGAGGAGGACCACCATAAATTAAATGATTACCAATTTTTATTTAATAATTTATTAAAATTTTCATTTTTAGATTGTTTTGTAATGTTTTTATTGTTTTGGTTAATTTTATTATTTTATATTACCTAGCCTGATAAATGTCTGATAAAGGCCAAAACCTGTTGCACAAAGGAATACAGGAGGACAACTTCTTTTATATTGAATTTAGATTTTAATCTTGCGACATCAAGCTTCAATTCAATATTTTTGCAATTGTTTCCACAAGTTACTATTGATCATTTTTAAATTGAAATCTATTTTTTGTTAGTTTGTAAAAAGTATATAATATTGTTATGTATGATTTAGCTGGAAAAAAGTATAAATCAAATTCTCTATCGGCATGAAATAAATGTAATTTACTAATCAATGTCAATGTTGTAATAAAATTATTCTTTGATTTATGCAGGCCTATTTGTTAGCGATACATAAATGAGTTGTTATGAATAAAAAACATATTTAAAATACATATTTATTGTCTCTAAAGTTTTATTTGACTCCTAATGTATAGGGGAGAAAAATAATGCAACCATTTCATATATCAGTGTTAAAAGAACAATATATATGTTTTTTTTTTAAATTTACATAATTACAAATAAATACAAAAATACTTTTAAATAAAGCTTCTTTTATGTTGTTTTCAACACGCATAAACAATCAAGTCAGCACCTTGAATTAACATTCCTCTAATAGATTCTAATTATCCTCATAGTTATTTCTAGTCATTAAGTTAGGTTACATTTTTTTACAATCATTACAATATTTACAATCACAGAATTGAATATATATCTTGCTTATAATATTTACTCTGAACAAAGCCTAATAGTATCCCTAAATGATATAACATTGTTCATTATCATCATTGCCAAGCACTACCTTCTACTGTGCAGTGACAGGTTCCGTTTTATGGAGCGGGTATAAGAAAGTTAACACTTTATTTACAGACAAATAAGCATACTTTCTTTTACTATAACCCATCTTTTATCAATATATACATCATTATAAATATAAATGAAAAATGATTTTATACACCAATGTGTATAAAATGATGCAAAATAAATCACAATATATATAAATATTAATATAAAATTTCAAATATATCAGATTGATGGGATCTACCATAAATCTAGTGTTGCTGTATATTATAGTCTATCAAACACATTTTAAAGTTGTATTTAATTTTTATTTCAAAATTACCAGATTACAGACTAGCAGACTATTATTAAATATTAAAATTCATGACATTAAATTTTTTCAGGTAGTTACCTATTTATATTGATTGGGATAATTTTTAGTTTAGAGCAAATAATTACTTATGTTCTAATACTTGCACATTGAAGCTGTTCATCTTAAGATGTTGACACAATTTTATCATTGCCTAAGGTGATTGTAGCAATTTTGAATTCACTAAACTACAAATTGAATAAATTAATAGAAGACATTTCACTCCTCCATCATACAAAAAATTATTAGTTTTCTTTTTTTTTTTTATTTTTTTCTATAATTTAGTATATCATAATCAAATTAAAAAAGAAAGTAGTGTATAAAAGTTTTTGAGCTTAAATGTCCCAGCTTATAATTTACTTATCTGTATTAATTATTCACTCTTATTATTGTTAGAGTTTAATTTTTTTATATTACACAAAAAACAAATCATGATATTTGACTGGTATGACTATCATGAGGAATACAATTCTTTTACAAGGAAGGTGAATGAACCCCACTTTATAGTAGATTTTGAAATTTAAATATTTAGTCTAAATATCGGTGTTCCTCTTTCCTAACTTTAATGTGTTGCTTATGGAAAGCATGGAGTTCCATCAGGACGCACTTGTGGTTTTGGACGACATATTTTTGTTCGGCCATTTGAACCGGACACTGCTGTACATGTAAATGCAAAATATCCACAGCTTGATGATTTTGTATAATAAGTGTGAGCATATTTTTTGCTTGGATCATTCTTCACCTAAGAAAAAAAAATTTTTTGAAATACATATTTATAAACTGCTTAAAATATGTATATTACATTATATTTCTGATTTGTTTCTATTTTTTTATATTTATCTGAAACATTGAATCAATTTTAAAAGTTAAGTTGATAAATCACCCAAAGCATTTCATTCCACAAAAATATCCAACATCATTCAAAAATTACCCTCCCGCAAAGCTCCTGAACTTGACCTAATTACATCCCAGATGTTAAAACCTCTTCCTCGAAAAGCCATCCTATTCCTTACTTACATATATAATACTGTACTCCGTTCCACATATTTTCCTGATCCTTGGAAACGATATATTGTTAAAATGATCCACAACCCCCCCCCCCAAAAAAAAAACACCAGAATACCCTTCCTCTTACAGTCCTATCTCTCTTTTACCTATCATGGGCGAAATTGTTAAAATTTTTGAAAAACTCATCTCAAAACGCCTGTACCCCATCCTAAATTTTAACCACATAACCCCAGATCACCAATTAGGATTCCGTACTTCCCATTCCACTATACAGCAATGTCATCCTGTGGTAGATGTAGTCGGACCGCGTAAACGTATAGGCGTAGATGTAGACGTGGACCGCGCGAATAATCGCCCCGTGGCTTATAGCAAGGGTCCGTTAACGTTAGGAACAACTGTGTACAGGCAGCTGAGAACAGCGAGGAATAAAACAGCCCCTGGAAAATTTTAACCATCAGAGAGAATAATTAGTTTAGCATTTGGGAAGGAAAATATCCGTTCAGATCCCGTACGGTGCATCTTGAAGAGCTTCGTATACCCTGGTTAGTATCATATCTCGAGCCTGGCAGTGGCGCTGAGCAGGAAACTCCACGTCATTAAAATTTCTTCATTTCATCACCTCATTTGAAACAGTATTTCGTTTTAATGTATTCTGTACAATTTAGAGAACTATTTTTTTGGTTTATTATTTTCAATGTATTAATGTTCCATTGTAATCGAATAAAAAATTCAAAAACTTAACCCCCTCTCAAAATTTGAGGCTTTACGTTTCAGGGTACGTAGAATTCGAAAAACGATTAAAAAGACTGTCCGCCGTCCGCGCATTTTCTCCGAAACTATTGAACCGATTTATTTTCAAATTTGCATTTAAAATCAGAGATCATCCGAGGATCATCCTCTTTCATCGACATTACTATCCGCCTTTTCCTTTCAAAATAGCCAAATGGATTACTGTAATCTCTTAACTGCACATAAATTAAGAGATCACAAATTCAGTTCGATGGGGTAGTTTTTAATTGCTTAGTCTAACTGTTAGGATTTTCCGGCCTTATTTCATTGATTTGAAGACCACTAACATCCATCAAGTTTAAAATCATAGATTAGTTGTGAATTTTTTTTTTTCATTTGTTTTCATTATTATTGATTACAATCGTCATTTATGTCATGTAAGAATGCCATTAAATTATAAATATATTAAACTTACCTGTCCTGTTACACTGTTTGATAGAGAAACAAAATTACTCCTCACAGGGCTAACTTTGTAGCTTTCTATTCCCTTGAATTCAGCTAACCGTACTTGGCCAGATCCTGGTGAAATAACTACTGTTTGACTTTGTGCTTGACCACCTCTGGCTTCAGCTAATGTTTTCTGACCTGCAATTGATGCTACCCTTCCTCTGAACCCAGGAGGAATTTTAAATCCTCCAGTTCCAGGTACAATGGTACCAGGTTCAAGAATATCTCCAGCTTTTACTGAATTTTGTATAATTGTAGTGTCATGTTTAGAATCTGAATTAACAATGACTTGCTGTGTTTGTGATGGAGGTGTAGTCGTAATACCTGACCGAGGGGCTAGATTTGGATTATCATCTTCTTCTTCATCTTCATATTCTTCATCTTCATACTCATCATCAAGATTAGCTGGAGTCAGTGTTGACTCAGTCTTTACTTCTTCTTTTTTAAATGTAGGCTGCGTAGTAGTTGATGTAGTGGTTGTGATTGTAATTGGTTGTTCTGTTACTGGAGATGCTGATGGCATGGCTGCAGAAGAATTCACTTTTTTATGAATAAAACTAGTATTAAAGAGTGGGGATAAGGATTTGGAGACACCAGATGATGCTTGAGCTGCTCCTTTATAAGATATACCAAACCGGTAGGAACCTTCAATTTGGCTCTGACTTTGTCCTGAATATCCTTTGCTTTGTGCTGATGCCATTCCACCACCTTTAAAAGGTGTTTCTTGGTTATCCGTTTTGCCTTCATAAGGAGTAAATCCTATTTGGGCTTGGCTAGAGGTGTGACCAGAACCACTTGACTGTGCATCTGCAAGTCCTCCAGAAGTGCCAGTTTCGACTTGTGAATTAGTAGCAAAACTATGTCCAGATGTCTGGCCTTGTGACATAGTTTCCCCTGTTTCTTTAGCAACTTGCACCTGAGTTTGTGTTTGACTCTTACCAGATCTGCCCTGTGCAGTACTTTTTGCAGTTTTTTCCCCTCCTTCAATTTGACTTTGAGCACCCTTCTCAGCATCACTTGTTTGTGCTTGAGCTGAAAATGTGCCTGTACCAGAATACGTGCCAGATACTTGTGCTTGAGCTAAACCTGTTCCTAATTTACCCTGCGAAGAGGCTAGTGCTTTGGTCTCATTTCCTTCATAATATACACTACTCTGAGCTTGTGAATCCCCTACATTTTCATCACCCATTGCACCTTCCATTGACGGATCGGGAATGCAACCAGGTGGACATCCAGGTCTTTTAACTCCTCCAGATACTAATCCTGGGTAACCAGAAATGCCTGGGTACCCTGAGGATGGTGTCGGTTCCCCTGGCCTCGCAACACCGGGATACCCTGAGAGGGGCATAGGTTCTTCTGGCCTTGCTATTCCTGGATATCCTGACGGAGGCATGTATTCTCCCGGCCTAGCTGTTCCTGGGTATCCTGGGGGAGGCATCGGTTCCCCTGGCCTTGTCATTCCTGGATATCCTGGGGGAGGGATCGGTCCTCCTGGCCTTGCTATTCCTGGATACCCTGAGGGAGGCATAATTTCACCTGGTCTAGCCATACCTGGGTATCCTGAGGGAGGCAACGCTTCTCCTGGTCTTGGTATTCCTGGGTATCCTGAGGCATGTAACTGTTCTCCTGGTCTTGATATTCCTGGGTATCCTGAGGGAGGCATTGTCTCTCCTGGCCTGGTTATTCCTGGGTATCCTGGGGGAGGGATCGGTCCTCCTGGCCTTGCTATTCCTGGATAACCTGAGGGAGGCATGAGTTCTCCTGGTCTTGCTATTCCTGGGTATCCTGAGGAAGGTATCTGTTCTCCTGGCCTCGCTATACCTGGGTATCCTGAGGGAGGCATCTGTTCTCCTGGCCTAGCCATACCTGGGTATCCTGAGAGAGGCAACGCTTCTCCTGGTCTTGGTATTCCTGGGTATCCTGAGGCAGGTAACTGTTCTCCTGGTCTTGCTATTCCTGGGTATCCTGAAGGAGGCATTGGTTCTCCTGGTCTTGCTATCCCTGGGTATCCTGAGGGAGGCATTTGTTCTCCTGGACTTGATATTCCTGGATATCCGGAGGGAGGCATAAATTCTCCTGGTCTCGCTACTCCTGGGTATCCTGAGGGGGGCAACAGTTCTCCTGGTCTCGCTGTTCCTGGGTATCCTGAGGGAGGCAACGGTTCTCCTGGTCCGGTGATGCCTGGGTATCCTGGCGGAGGCATAAGTTCCCCTGGTCTTGCTATTCCTGGGTATCTTGAAGGAGGTAATGTCTCTCCCGGCCTAGCTGTTCCTGGGTATCCTGGGGGAGGCATCGGTTCCCCTGGCCTTGTCATTCCTGGATATCCTGGGGAAGGGATCGGTCCTCCTGGCCTTGCTATTCCTGGATAACCTGAGGGAGGCATAATTTCTCCTGGCCTTGTTATTCCTGGGTACCCTGAGGGAGGCATCGGTTCTCCTGGCCTCGCTATACTTGGGTATCCTGAGGGAAGCATCTGTCCTTCTGGCCTCGCTATGCCTGGGTATCCTGAGGGAGGCATCTGTTCTCCTGGCCTCGCTATACCGGGGTATCCTGAGGGTGGCATCGGTTCTCCAGGTCTTCTTCCTTCTGGATATCCTGAAGGAAGTATCTGTTCTCCTGGCCTCGCTATACCTGGGTATCCTGAGGGAGGTAACGGTTCTCCTGGTCTTGGTATTGCTGGGTATCCGGAGGGAGGCATAAGTTCTCCAGGTCTTGGTATTCCTGGGTATCCTGAGGGAGGCATTGGTTCTCCTACATGACCTGCTGGAAACGTATCTCTTGAATAAGTTGGTTGGAAGATTGATGTTATTTTGCCTTTTCCAGAAGTATGTGTTGAAACGTCAAAGGTAGTAGTTGTTATGCCTGGATATCCTACCGGTTTATGGTGAATTCCCACTCCTGGAAATTGACTCAAAATAGAATGAGGTGAATCACCTACTACTTGATGTTGTCCTTGTAATGTAGCAGGATATTCTCCAGGTCTCGCTCCTGGAGGGAATGCAGCAGGATATTCTTCTGGCCTTGGTCTTTGGGATAGTGTCCCAGGATATTCTCCTGGTCTAGCTCCAGGCAATAACGTTCCAGGATACTCTCCAGGCTTAGCAACGGGTATTGTTGCTGCTGGATACTGCCCTGGTCGAGCTTCAGGTGATAATATTCCAGGATATTCCCCAGGCTTTACTCCAGGTAATAATGTACTGGGATATTGCCCTGGTCCTGCTCCTGGTTGCGACGCATCCCAATATTGTCTTGATCCAGGTGGGTATATATCTGGATATTGTTTGGGTCTAGATCCTGGTGATAATGCACCTGGATATTCTCCTGGTCTGGCCCCTGGTTGTGATGCCCCCAAATATTCTCCAGGCCTCGATCCCGGTGGTGATCCAGCTTGATATTCTCCAGGCCTCAATCCCGGTGATGGCCCACTTGGATATTCTCCAGGCCTCGATCCCGGTGATGACCCACTTGGATATTCTCCAGGCCTCGATCCCGGTGATGCCCCCAAATATTCTCCAGGCCTCGATCCCGGCGATGCCCCCAAATATTCTCCAGGCCTCGATCCCGTTGATGACCCACTTGGATATTCTCCAGGCCTTGATCCCGGTGGTGATCCAGTTGGATATTCTCCAGGCCTCGATCCCGGTGGTGATCCAGTTGGATATTCTCCAGGCCTCGATCCCGGTGCTGATCCAGTTGGAAATTCTCCAGGCCTTGATCCCGGTGGTGATCCACTTGTATATTCTCCAGGCCTCGATCCCGGTAGTGATCCAATAGTATATTCTCCAGGCCTAGATCCCGGTGGTAGTGCAGTTGAATATTCTCCTGGCCTGGCTGCTGGTTGTGACGTCCCCGAATATTCTCCAGGTCTGGTCCCTGGTGATAATGTACCTGGATATTCTCCAGGTCTAGATCCCGGTGATAATGCACTTGGATATTCTCCTGGCCTCGCGCCTGGTTGTAATGAACTCGGATATTCTCCAGGTCTGACCCCTGGTGATAATGTATCTACATATTCTCCAGGTCTCGATCCTGGTGGCAATACTCCAGAATATTCTCCGGGTCTTGCTCCTGGTTGAAATATACCTGAATATTCGCCTGGTATAGCTCCGGGTGATAACCCACTTGGCCTTGATCCATGTTGTAATGTACTTGGGTATTCCCCGGGCCTTGTTCCTGGTGGTAATAGTCCTGGTTTTTCTCCAGGTCTAGCTCCTGGCAGCAAAACTCCTGGATATTCTCCTGGTCGTGATGTGCGAGGATATTCCTCTGGTCTCCCTCCAGTTTGAAATGTTCCTGGGTATTCTCCTGGTCTAGCTCCAGGTGGCAATGGTCCAGGATATTGTCCTGGTCTTAGTACTCCCGCATATTCATGCGGTCTTAATTCTGGTTGTTCTTTATGAGTGAAAGCTCCTTGATAGCAATCTGTATCACAATCTCCAGTGGAAGACTGACTTTGTGCTTGTCCCATTCCAGTTCCACCTAAAATGATACATAATTATTAACATTAAAGAGAAGACATGTTTTCTGCTAGATGACAAAAAAAAGTTTTATCTAAATAACTTTTTTTCAACTAATGAATAATAGCTCTTATCTCCCCTCCCTCCATGCCAAGGCTAGGAAACTACTCAAACACACACAGAGCAGTACACTATTCAGTGACACAGATACAAGATCACTCACGCTACACATCCTAGGACCACTTCTCCTAGAAGGCAACCCCTCCATCTGACTCAGAAGTTGCTGGGCTTATCTCCTAATTTATACTACACTAATTTGCAAATAAAGTGGAATATTCATAATAAAATTAAAAAAACAATTTATTCTTATTTAATGATTTTAAGTTTTAAAAGGTAATTGGTAGTTTGGTTGTTATTTTTTTTACTCTGCAGTGTCATTGGTAAAACGTTTTAATTACACTCAGTTATACAACTTGACTATTTTTAAGAATATAAGACCCTTTTTTAAACATATTTTTGCTGTCGTTCAAGTTTTTCTTTGATATTTAGTACCATATCCATATTTTTCTTACAATATTAAATCTAGGAGAGTTGAAAAAAGTGTTTGACTGTTCTTTCGACATTAGAACACTCGCAGGTTGGAGGGTCCAATCCTCTTAGTAGATAGACATGTGAGAATTCACAATGCCCAATGCTTAAACGGCAGAGGAGTGTTTATCCTTTCCTGGAGTTATCCTTTGGAACATTTGTTTTTTGCTTTTTTAACGAAAAATAAATTAAATGTTATAGTTGTTGAAATTTTTTATTGAGATATATTACAATCTGTCACATTTAAGGACAATAGTAATATTGATCCAAGAGTAGCTCATTCAAACTATGTTCAATAAACGCACATAAATAAACATCAAAGTAATAATACTAAAAGTAAATGTATTTGAACTAAAATAAACTAAAATAAACAAAAAGAAACTAAACTATTAAAAATAACTACTTAAATACACACATACTTTTATAAAATATTTACAAAATTCATTCACATAAGATCTGCGAGCCAAGCCATTTCCTTAACCCGTGGAAGGAAAGGCAGGACTAGAGGAGATTCCAGCGCCTCTCACTCAGCCGCGTTACTGGTATTAAGGATCAGTGGAGGCTGAGAAGAGGCGCTATAGCCAGGCATACATGGCTTGAGAGGAATCTGCCAGAACTCCAAAATATGCTTATAACAGGTCTCTGTGCCACTGCCGCTTCTACCTTTGAGGAGCATTGTAGGGATGGGTAGAGTCAGATAGTGACTGTGGATGTAGATTTGGATGATATGTAAGGTTTTGATGGAATTTGGGAAAATTTTAAGTGATGTTAGAAAATTTTGCTATTCTCACAGTTTTAGTCCGTAGATTCAAATATGTTTCAGTATTGCCTTGTAGACAAGTAATTTGTTGTCAATTGAAAGTTAAGATTTTCTTTTCAGTATTCTATATAGCTGTCCATATCGTAGGTTGAGTTCTTGTCTTTTAACTGTAGTGTGTGGGCTCCATGTTAGTCTTCGGTCAAAGAGAAACCTAAGATACCGGACTGTGGACTGTGAACAAAGAAGCTGGATAGAATTAAGTGCACTGGCGGATAGGAGCGTAAAGGTAATATGTTTCCATTTTGATTCATTTACTTTAATTCATTTGCACCAGTGTTAAGTCAAGAAGAGGTGCCATGGTAGATTTAAGGATGCTATTTCGGGATCTGAGTTGGATCATAGGATTGTGGTGTCATCAGCAAATGTTACGAGGAAGGTATCGAAATGTGCACGTAAAGCACTGGACCCAGTATGCTGCCCGAGGTAACACCGGCTTTAACCGAATAGATGTCGGAAAATGCTGTTCCGCAGCGTACTCGAAAGGAGCGGTCAGAGTGGTAGGATTGAAGGGCCAGGTATAAGGATTGAGGGAGAAGGATTTTAAGCTTGAAGAGCAGCCCGGGGTACCATACCCGGTCAAAAGCTTGTGCTATATCGAGAAATGCACCCTAACGATATTGCTTGTTTTCTAGGTCTGCTGATATGTGATCAATGACTCGGAGTCCTTGTTTTTGAGCGAAAACCAAACTGATGGGAAGGAAGATTTTGGGATTCAATGAGGGGTAGGATTCGTTTCAAAAGGATCTTTTATTTCAAAGATTTTTGAAAGGATTGGGAGTAGGCTAATTGGTCTATAGGATGTCAAGCTGAAGGGAAGTTTTTCCTGGTTTTGGAAAAAAGATAATAGTGGAATGTTTCCATAATAGAGGAAAGAGTGTGGTTAGGGGTAGCGCTGATGCAAGGGTAACCGTAAAGGAGAAGGTTTTTTATTACGATAGCGGTAGATTGTAGGAAATTTTGTATAGGTAATGGGAGTAAATGATGGGATAAGGGTTGGTGTACAATGACAGCAGTGCGGGCATCCGTCAGAGTGGTCAGTAGTGGTAGTCGGGTGTTGTGGTATTTTGAAGAGCTGTTTAGTGATTAGCCAAGTATCAATAATTAGTCTCACATCGATGTTCTTGTCGAGTAATAATGCAGATAATTCGTCTGTATGATTTATAACACCATTCACATTCCAAAGGAGGATGGATATAGGTTTGTTGGAAGTTATATAAGGATTTTTTGGGAGAGGGATAAAATGTGATACAAGATTGGTGAGAAGGCATATCAAAGGAGCAATAAGAGATCTGAATCAGGAGAGGAAAGTAAACAAGTGAGATATCTGGTATTTATTGGAGGTGGAATGTGAGGAATATGGTGATGATGAAATTGTTGAGGAGTAGATGAAGTTTGAGTAGTAGTGCACATTGAAAGTGCATTTGATTTTTCAAAGCGGTAGTTACATTCTAAGAGTTCTAAATTGCTGGAAGAATACCTCGCAGATGGTGGTATCTGAAGAGATTATGTGGTAGCTTCATGAGATCGTCGTCTTTTAGCTTGCCTCTTGTAAGGGAGTTCCGGAGCATCGGAACACAAAGACCAGCAGTAATCCGCAAGCATTGCTTCATTCCAATGGCCCTGATATTTTTGTTCTGTAACAGAAATGTCCTGATGGAATCTTTCTCCATTCTCATCACAAACAGCTCCACAACTAGGAGGGGAAAAGTCTAGGTGGGAGTTGAGAAAATAGATTTTAAGGGACATCTTGTATCCAAAATTATGGTCCTTTTGCTGGAGCACTGTCACCAAATGCGTGTAGTTGTCATCTCTTTTGTTCCCTAAAAATCCACGAACAACTCCCTTAAGGCTTTCCAAGCCTTCTTTTCTGTCCCTTCCTAAACTTGGTCAAATGCAGGATCATTCACACGTACTCGAATTTGTGGCCCGACAAAAATTACTTCTTTAACTTTTGCATCACTTAATATCGGAAGTTTCTCGCGTTTGTAGTTAAAGGCCCGTCATTCTTGGTTTATCTTTGACAGAATTTTTCATCAAACCCAGCTTGATATGCAGGAGTGGAAGTAGAATATCTTTTGGGTCCACGAGAGGTCTGGCAACGACATTTTTCTCGCTAGGGTTAAGATTTCTTGCAGGCCATTTATCTTTAATTTCCTATCTCGCCTGTCCCACATGTATAAGAAGCAGCAATGTTATGTGTACCCCAGTTGCATTCCTAAGAGTATGGCAATGACTTTAAGATCACCACAGATTTTCTATTTGTGTTCATAATATTTGTAATAATGGAATATTTACATCATAATGGAAGAAAGATGAATGCCATTGTGAAGTAACGCAACTTTCAAACTAAGCTTGGAGGATTCTATGAATAGCTTCCATTCAGTTGGATCATGGTTCAAATTCAAAGATTTCATCAATGATGTTGAAATGGAGTCACTAGCGGATCCAGCCGGGAATCATAGGATCGGAAGAAGGAAAATTTTTTCAAAAAAAGTTCCAAAAAGCACCAATTTAAAGAAAAGAGAAATATAGGGAAAATTCATCCTCATGGACGATGAATGTCCTAATGTAGTATAAAAAAAAATATCCTGACCAGCACTAGCGGATTCTGCCAGGAGGTATGCCCTCCCTTGGATACTGGGAAAGAAATATGAAAAAACACCTGTATTAAGAAAAGAGAAATGTTGAGAAAATTCATCCGCCTACAGGAATTTCTCAGTGTAATATAAAAAAAAATATTATCCTGACCAGCACTAGCGAACTCTGCCAGGGGGCGCGCTCTCTCTCGGATGCTGAAAAAAATTACGAAAAAAAACACCTATATAAAGAAAAGAGAAATATAGAGAAAATTCATCCTCGTACACGAATTTTCTAATGTAATATAATGAAAAAAATTATTATCCTGATCAGCACTAGCAAATTCTGTCAGGGGGCGCGCCCTCTCCCTTGGATGCTGAAAAAAAAACAACGAAAAAACATCTATAGAAAGAAAAGAGAAATGTAGAGAAAATTCATCCTCGTACACGAATTTCCTAATATAATATAAAACAAATCCTTGGTATTCCCATCTCAGCCTTGTTATCCGGCTAGATTTCACCACATACTAACCACCCCTAACCACATCCGTCTCCTTGTATAAGTTAGCAAGTTCTTGGTTGCATCTATTTCTCCATTCACCATAATTCTCCTTAACTGGGCCTAATATCCGAAAACTCCTCCGAAGGACCTTCCTTTCGAAAACTAATATTTGAAACAGCTGTTTAATGAAAAGAGAAATATAAGGAAAATTCATCCTCAGAGACGAATTTTCTAATGTAATATATAAAAACAATATATTATCCTGACCAGCACTACCGAATTCTGCAAGGGAGCTACCCCCCCTCCCCTCCTCCGGATGGTAGACAAAATATTCCGAAAAAGTTCAAAAAAGCAGCTATTTAAAGAAAAGAGTGATGTAGTTTTTTGGTCGCCGTGAGATGCAAAGGCTTGTGCTTTCCTGTAGCAGTTTGTTCCCATTGAGTCTCGCAGGTGAAATACACGATGGAGGAAAATTTATTATAAAAAAAGAAAAATGAATTTCATTTAATCTTTATTCTTTCGAACAATATAAGGAACTACGGTTTTCTTCCGGACCCAGTTTTTATTAATTTCCAATAGCATTTCAAAATCCAGCTACTATAGTTCCTTGAAAAATTCATGCGATTCATAGAAGTGGTCACGATAATAATTGATCACAATAATACTCATTTCCAAGCTGCAGGACCATTTATCTTTCTCAGATTTTGACAATGTCGGTAAAAATTAGCGTTCATTGGCCGTTGTTATCGACCATATCACTTAAACAAATTATTAAGTTTAGGTACTCGTTCGAGTACACAGTTTGCACAATTTATTTACAATCGCACGCACAATTTATTTCTTAAAGAATATGTTTTTTTCGCTTTAATTCACGCTTTAGTAGTAATACATGAAAATGAATACATGAGTTTTTTTGGATGTTAAAATTTGTCTCATGATGATCCATGTTAGCAATTTTGTTGTTTACATGTCTAAACCCATATATAGAGTGTCTTGTAAGTAGAGGGAAATATTTCATATATATTGTTCGTGTAATTACATTGAAAAGTACTTAAGGAATAACTTAAACACCATTTCATATAGGTAGTTAGTTTCTTTCTGTTTTTCCAAAGTAATTATCGTTATTTTTATGAAAAAAAAAGGTTTCGGGCTGAAGTCCCCCCAAAATTAAATCCTGGATCCGCTACTGATTGGAGTCCCAAGAATTTCTGCCTTCTCCTTTGAGAGACCATGGTCTCTAATGAGATCACTCAATTTCGCTTGACTCAATCTGTGCGGTAATCATCTTTTCCCTCAAATCAGGATCACGGGATGTGGAAGGCTTTTTTGGTTCTTCTTCTTGTTCCACACTGCTTTCATTTTCTACTTCAAACACACAAATTTTGAATGGAGTAGGAACTGGTAAACTAACTGAATACAAAATAGGTCGAATACTAGATCGAAGATTCCGGTACTGAACTGTTCTTCTTTTCTTCATAGACAATCCTGCCTTTATAGGTGGAGGCAAGCAGAAATAGCAGTCATCTGTATGGTTTGTAGGCACTCACCAAACCATAGCCACAGCGAAAGCCATAAATCTTTTCTTCTTTCTCATTCACTCTCGCAGTGTAACTGAACCTGCATTGCAACACATAGGTGAAGCCCAAGACTTATCCTGGTCCCCTACTTTCATACCGAAATAATGCTAATAGGCAGTCTTTACAAGAGGCGTCAGATTGCGTTCTTGAAAGGAAAATGTTATTTCACCAAAAATATAACAAGATTTATTTACCTTATTTACACATTTTCGTGTCATTTTTATGAATTTTACACTAAAAGAGCACTCTCAACCTGAAATTCTGCATTAATGCGGCGCAGAAATTATATGAAACTCATAGTCATAGCAACATTAACCATGTTTATAAAAAAGCTGAAGAGCATTTGTGTTTTGTTATTTGACAGGTGTACCAATTTCCTCAAATCGAAATTGCTGACCAAACAATGAAATGTCACTTTATATGCTAAGCAAGAACTAATCCGTCATTTTTGTGGTGATTTTGAATTCAACAGATGTAAATACATATGAATTACCTATTTTTGAGCACGAACCATTGTTGATCACTGTAATCAATGAAGATGCTGTTAGAAGCATTATAACTCTTTGTGCGACGAAGAAAACGAAAGAAATCCAGAGATTGCATTTAACAATTCGATTCCAGCTGGGTAGCCGGGGCTATTATCCGGGGGCGTCGAACTGGAGGGGCGCCGGCTGATCTTCAGTGGTGTTTTCATTAAAAGTGCTACTTGTTAGAAATTAAAAAAAATACAATATATATTAAAATAATTAATTTTAGCCTATCAATAAAGCAATGGTATAAGATAAATGTTGAATGAAATAAGATCAAAATAATAAACATGCTTAAAAATAAATTTTGCTTCATCACTACCGAAGGTAGGGAAGCATTGTGTTCGTGCGAGAGATTAAAACAAATTTTGTGCTCGAATCGAAGATTTCAACTCGCGTGTTACGTTTCAGACATCAAGGATCAAATTTGGTTCGGTGTCTGTCTGTCTGTCTGTAGTCAAATGGATATAATGGGCATATCACCAAATATCGTTTATCCGATTTTTACAAATTTTCAGGAATTGTGCAGGTTGGTGTCTAGATGGTCCCATATCAATTTTATTAAATTCTAACCAGCACTTCCGCTTACGCACGCGCAAACTCATTTTTGTATATTTGCCAATATTTCAGAAACGGCTTGTTAGATTTGGCTCAAAGTTGGATAAAAGGTAGATATTGGTAAAAAAAAATAATGTAGTGTCAATTTTATTGAATCCTGTCCACTACTTTCTCTTATATATGCGCTACTATAGTATAGTAACTATACTACGCGCGTTGCTATAGACTGTAGCGCCTAAACGAATGTACCGATTTCAATGGAACTTCGCTAAAGTCATCTTCTCGACGCCCTTTAAATTTATCGATATAACATATTTCAACGAAAAGAAGCTGGAAAAAAAAGTTACGAGAGATGGTAAAATTAAATGCCGAATAACTCAAAGAGTATACACTTTTTTGTTAATATTTTTAATTATGTTTTTTTAACTGTTTATGGAATTTCCTATAAAACAAAACAAAAAATTGTTAAAATCGGACAGTTAGGAGCAAAGATATGGTCTCTAGTTTTTTTTGTATGTTCTACTGCAAAGGTTATATCCTTTGTTTTGGTTATTGAATTTTGAATGTGTTACTGAAGTAAAGCTAGTTTTTTTAGCTTATTAGTAATGATTAAAAAAAAAGTTTAGTCCAATAATTCGAATCACCTTTTATTTATTTTTTATTTACAACTAGAAAGGTAATGTTACTTTTGATGTATAATTGTTTGGAAATAATATACCATTGTCAAATAATTTGCAGCGTTTTTTTTTTTTTTCAAATTATTATCATTATATGTATATGAAAAAAAATCTTTCGGACTGAAGCTCCCCCTCCCCCAAATTAAATCTGCGGAACAATATGCTGATCAGATTTTTATTTGTTGAGGTATTTTAATCGGTATGCAAAAATACTTCAATTAGTTGACTCCGAGATTACCCTAGCATTACATCGTAAATCTGACGGCTTAATCTAATTCATTCTCCACAAAAAGAGCAAAACGCGCCTAAAGATATTTTCACTTCAAAAACAAGTCTAAAAACATTATTGTGCCATGAATTTACTTTTAAATTTTATAAGTTGAATTTATGTTTTTTTTCACAGGACTGTATGTGTGAGTGTGTGTAGTGCTCTCACTGAATCTTCACTGGCTTTTAGTATCAGTAACCTGATTGAGAGAGTAGCACAGAGATCTCCTGGATTCTTGCTTGTGAATCTTGTTCAAAAGTCCCTTGACTGATTGTAAATAGTGTATATAGGTATGTATGGTTTATTTAACTTCACTTATTTAATGTTTATATATATTCTTTGATTATCATTCAGCTGTAATTTTGCTTCTATTTTATTTATTAATACACACATACACACACACACACACACACACACACACACACACACACACACACACACACACACACACACACACACATATATATATATATATATATATATATATATATATATATATATATATATATATATATATATTCTTCAAATATGGTGTAAAAGAACTCTTTTCTCACTACAACCATTGTCCATATTGTGACAGAATGTTATATTAGTCAATATTTTAATTATTTGTGATTTGGTTTAACTTACTAACTGTGGCCCTTGATGAATCTAAGGATGATACTGCCTCGGCTGTGCCAGTCCTTTCCTTCCCTGCGCTCTCTTTGAATGCTATGTACTGAGTTTGAGTTTGGCCTCTGTATCTTTTTCTGCCCCCAACTTCTCTTTTTCTAAGTTTATTCCATTTTTTCCATTCGTATATAGAAGATTCCTGAAAGAATAATTTTTTTACAAATACAAGAAACACAGTTGTCGGTTTAAATTTTATTTGTATATAAAATGTTATCAGTTATTCATAGTATAAGAATCGGGGGAATGGATGAGGAGGAGGGAGAGAGAAATTTGATTACTTATTTGAAGAATACTTTTAGCCAGACCCCTGAATAATTTCCATCGTGACTAATCAATTTTTACTTGTCTGCCAACTCGCTTTCACACAAGTACAACGAAATAGTTTTCAAACAATGTCATTGTGAAAAACATCGATTGTGATAGTGATTGGTGATAACGTATTGGTTTCCCAATGTATTGTGTTTAGTGTCCGAGACTGGAGTATATATATATATATATATATATATATATATATATATATATATATATATATATATATATCCTTTGTAAATAAGTTTTTAGTTTTATGTATGGTTAAGTCAAACCGCGAGTTCGTTATCTTCTAGTTGGTGAAGACTTTCTGGACTTTAATGGACTTTAATCGTTCCTACGAGAGCTTGAACTTAAAACAGAGCACTTGCATACAATTTTCATTGGACAATTATTGAAAGTGTTTATTACTTTCCTTACAATATAGTTGGCCCAAATTTAATTGGTATGGAAGAGCAAAGTTCCCAAAAGTATTCTAAGCGAAATGTCAAAAGAGCAAGAAAAGGTTATCTTGGATTGGAGGCAAATTAAGACGAGGCTGGAGCAAAAAGTCTACTCCAATCGGCCTTACAAATTCAGGAGAATCTCAGGGTTTATGTTTAAAGGCCAGATAATGGATTGAATATGAAGGTGCGAAATTACGTATATAGAAAAATTCTAACCTTAATGGACATAATTGAAACATTAGATGAAAAGAGTAAGAGAGCACACGCAAATAATGACGTATCTGAATTTATCCAAAATGCAGTTCATGAGTCACTTACGTTTAGTGGTATTCATGAGATGATCACCCGACTGATAATTGAAAAACGGTACCAAAAATTATTGAGGGGCTTACGACAACTCGTGTGGAATCACAACCACTAATCTCAGCTAAAGTCGGTCCTTCAAGAGAACCGCTGGCAGATATGAGAGAAGTAAACCTAACTGAACCCTCAAAGGCTTCTGAACCCTTCAAATCGTAGTCATTAAAAGAAACTGTAGGAGGGCCAAAGCAGCCGGCAAGGATTCTAATAACTTAAATAACCCGATTGAGCCGACGAGTGATGTCCCTCCTGAAGAATTGGTCCAATCGAAAAGTAAACCAAGGACAATGGCAGCTATAGTAAAATCTCTGTCATTGAAGCCGTAGAGATATGTAACTCTAAACTCACCTACGTTACAATAAGTGGGCACGGTAAAAGTCCAGTGGAAATCATTAATGGGCTGCAGTCTCCCACTTAAATAAGCGTTAATGCTTCTATAGCACGTGCTACTAAGGAAGGCTCGGTCTTAGTTCGGATGGAAGATAACTCCCAAGCGTCGAAAGCTATTGGGTGGTAGGGTCTACGAAAAGTAGGTCTAGAGGCCAAGCTTGCTCTAAAGAAAATACCGAGGCTTGAAGTTAAAGGTGTGCCCAACTGATGGACGGCGGAGGAATTAATTACACTCTTACGGGTATAGGTAACTGAAAAATTAATCCCAGCTTCGCTCGTAAATGATGGACTACGACCTATTTATTATGCTTGCGGACTCGCAAACGTGTCATGATACGCTTATAAATTATAAATGGCTCGTTGGATTAGGTTAAAATTTGAGGGATATGTTAAAAAATGATCGAATATCAATTGCATCAAATCTATTCTTCTTCTTTTACTTTATCTTACGCCATTAGGTAGTGTCGAGGAGGTTCAATACAGCGTAATCACTCTTCCCGGTTCCTCTTAGCCGCTTCATCTCATTGAGGATTTTGCCTCTTTTACTTCCAATTCTTTGGATATAATCTTAATATGTAATTCTGGGACGTCCGCTTAGTCTCCTTCCTGTGGGTCGAACCTCTAATATCTTTATAGGATTCATGTCCTCGTTCATACGGCAGACATGTCCAAACCACTGGAGTTGCCGTCTTTCTAGAGTGGTTTTAAGTTCGGTAACTCCTAGTTGCTCTCTAATGCTTTCTTTTCTAATGCGATCCCTTCTAGTTCTCCCAACAGATCTGCGAAGAAACCTCATTTCTGCTGCCGCTATGCGACTTGAGTGCCTGTCCAACATTGTCCAGCTTTCTCCGCCGTAGGTGAGTGTAGGTAGGTAAACTGACTAATATGTATGCATTTTGGTCTTCTTGTCTGCTTCGCGGTGGTCAATGATGCTATTACTAGTCTGGTAATATACTTGATTCGCCTTACATTTTCTGTTTGATATTTCAGTGTCCATCTTACCAGAGCTATTAATTACGGTCTCTAAGTAGGCATATTCACTGACTACGTCAAGTGTCTCGAAGTTAAAGATCAATTGGACGTCTTCCCGTTCTTCCCTCGCCATAACCAGCAATTTACTCTTGGAGGTGTTAATTTACAACCCTTTCCTGAGCAACTCTTCTTCACATTCTACCAGAGCTTGTTGTAGTTTGGTCTTGGTGTCGCCGATTACGACCATGTCATCCGCGTATAAAAGGCTTGGTAAGAGGACAGTTCTCATATTCCATTTCCCAATTGTTGTCCACGCAGTTCGGCGCTTGCAGATTTTGTGGATTTCGTCCATTACATTTATAAATAAAAGGGGACTTTAGCTATCTTCCTGTATAACTCCTCTTGCAATTGGAAAAGATTCCGATTCCATACCATTTATCCTTACCACTGCCATGGCTCCTTGGTAGACTGACTGTATAGCCGCCAGAAAGTCTCCATGTACACCCTTGGCTATTAGGGCATTCCAAATTTCAAGATATAGATTTTTTATCTCTGTCCCAAGCTTTTTCAGCAATATTTCTGAGAACAAAGATGTGGTCCTGCGTCTGTCGGCCTAGACGAAAACAAGCGTGTTCCGCTTCTAACTGCCCTTCCACAATCCGCCAGATTCTCCTTTCTAGAATAGAAGTATAAAGTTTATATACTACTGAAAGCAAACTAATGGTTCTATAATTTTTATCAAATCTCATTGCTCAATTATCCCATTTCTTCCTCGATGAGCAACATTTCAAAAACGGCTCATTATATTAAACCCAAGGAGGTGAAATTAGGGTAAAATGTACAATCGGGCTTTTATCAATTTCCATTTAACAATTTCAATCAATTTAATAGTTGAAAGTATAACGGCTGTGAAATGTGGTAGGCATTAAGCATGTGATAATCGGAGGTTATATAAGTTTTTTAACGTAATACGATTTATCAGACGTGTTTTTATATTCAGTTTTAAATAAAATTATAATCTTAGGGAAGTGTATTAATACAGTGCCGACCAAGTATTTCAAGTATTGAAGTATTTTCCCGGGGGCGCCCACAACTTCTTAGAATTAAAAAAAAATACGAAGCTATTAATATGAGATTAATATGAGATTAATTAATTTAGCCTATTAATATAGCAATTAGAGACATATTGAATGAGGTACAATTATAATATTATTTAACATAAAATTAAGATATTTATTAAGACATAAATTTTTGGTGGTCATTGCCGAGTGGTACAAAATGTCTAACGCCTGTTTTCTTCCATATCTAATAAAAATAGCGAAAAGGTAATACTGATTTAATTGACAGACGTTTTTAAATGCATCCAGGTATTATTATGTAATTAAAATTAGGTATTACTTAAATGAACTAATAATAATACCTGATTTATTCTTGGATTCTCAATTCCTTCTGAATAGTAATCTTGTAATTCGTTTCCGTTTTCATTTTCAACCTTGATTCCTGAAACCTCTATAGTAAAAGAAGTCCTGAAATTCTGAAACACCTAAAAAATATTAAAATTTATAATTATTTAATACATATTTTTAGTTTCATCAAATCTCTACACTGCTAAAGTGATAGAAGAAAAACAGTATGCAAGTATTTATATTGTTTGTTGAACAGATTAATACATAATTGGTATTTGAAAAATAACTCTATCCAATAAATTCATCTGATTGCCATTAATCTCTCAATAGTTTAATAAATATCCTTATCACTGCGTAGACCTTCCTCTATGTCTGTTGAGATATTCAAGCATTTTTTTCTAAAAAAATAATTAAATTTTTACCTTCAATTACCTAAATTAGAAATTTTTAGTATGGGGAAGAAATGCGTTATCATAATCCAGGCCTGAGCAATATGAGATTCCTTTTTATAAAAGTTCGTTTCTGCCTACTATCAACTTACTTCGCTTATTTCAGTCGATGCCTCATCGCTGAAAAGCCTCTTTGACTCCGTCCTTGCAAGTATTGCTGTTGGTGCTCCTCGCCCTACCACCGACTATGTTTCATTTGGCCACTTAGTTATCTGGTATTCGATTATCGTGGCGATACCATCTTAACCTACGTAATACCATCGAACCTCTGTAATATTCTTCTGAGGTCTCACATCCATTTTACTTTTCATTACCGTTTTCCTAAGCTTGCCTTTCTTATTGCTTCCTTCTTCTAACTTTCTTAGGTAGCCACCGCACTTACTCTCTTCGTCATTTCCGCATCAATGTAATAATTTTAACTAAGGTGGACTCCTAGGGACTTGGATCAGTCAGCTTGTTCCAATCTACAATTGTTAGCTATCAATCACTTCGATTTTTTTCCCAATCGGATCAATGATTTTCCTAGGCTTATGACCATTTTATTTTTTCTTATCCCCTCTTATAAGATTCGGGTATTATATTGCTCAATATCATTATTTGATAAAATTACTATGTCATCAACTAATGCAAGCTTTAACCATTAGTTGTTTCAGAAGCTCTTATTTTCTTTTATCGACTTCTTAATTGTATCTATCCATCATGCTGTTTTCTTTACTTTTATACTAATCTTATATCTCCATTTACCGTTCCTGTACCATCCAAGATTATTGTTTTCAAGGAATCCCACCGTTTTTGTAAATCTTCGCTTTCCCAGCATCTATTTTTTTTTTTTTTTCTTTTTTTTTCTTTTTTTTTTTGCATGCACTGCTTGCTATTATGAAATTACCACAAAAGTAAATTATTAAGGCAAACACGAGTAAGCTTTGAATTACTTCCGCTGGATAATTGTTCCAAAACATTATTCCAAAATGGCGACTGGTTTTAATATCTCTTGAAGCACTGGAATTGTGGTGGAATCGTGAAAGTATATGTTGATGAACGATCTTCAATAGTGCAGTAAATTAATCCCGATCTATGAGCCACAGAAAAATAATTTTTATACCTTTAAACTGTTTTTTTATTTTTTTTATTTGGGCCTCTCCAAAAGCTGGTTAGAAAAAAAAAACAAATGACAAATTCACTATCGCAGACAAAAATCCTACTCTGTAGGTCCTTTCATGGATATTTCGAGAGATCAAAATTCAACACATAAAGTACTTATGATTCAGCTTAAATAATTGAATAGATCGAATAAAGGTAAATATTTTAATGAGAGTGTTCAATATTTATAAATTTTTATATGAAAAATGCATTTGTAATAATATGACATGTAAAATTTATTACATATAGTGGTGAAATAATAAAACTTGAATATCATAGAAGATTCTTAAAGTTGAAATTTATGCAGGGGTTTTCATTCTTAGACTTCTTATATGTTGAATTAATATTGACAAAATATTAATTTTGATAATATCAACATTTAATAATATCAACATTAAATCAATTTTTAAGAAGGCATAATTTTGAAAGATAAAAACTACGGTGCGTGCTTAATAATATAATTTTTTTTGTTCTATATACAAACAGTAATAACATTTACAATATAAACAGATATAATTGTGTAAAAACCATTTTTTGTTCTATATTTAAAAAATAATATTGACAATAAATACAATTGCAATTGTGTATAAATAACTCTGGTAAATTTTGCTCTGATTGATCATAGGTTAAAAATGAAATAATAGGTTTATGATAACTAAAATAATATGATTTTAGTTATCATTTGATTGAAATCTATTTGCTAAATATCGAACAAAAAGTCCGTTAATCGTTGTTCCATATTTTCTTGTGCTTTCATTTGGATCATTCCACATATCCAAGTCCATGGTTGATTTAAAAAAATATCTATATTGACTTTTGTAAATTGGTTTGTGAATTTTCCATGTTATTTAAATTTTAAATATTTTAGTCGTTAAAACAACCATTGGCTCATTCTAATATTATTTTTTCATTTAACATTTCTGTATCTAGCAATTAGGATTAAAAAATATATCATCTTTTTGGAGAAAAATTGATCTAAAATATTACTATAGATGCTCTAAATAATAAACTTGAGCTTGGATATTCAGTTTTCTTAATATTAGTTTTATTTTTTTAATTTCTAATTATTTATTTAAACCATGCCTTAATGCTAATGCTGACGCTACAGCGGATATCTCAGAAACTAAATGAGTTGGTGAAAAAAGATATATGATAAATAATATTGAAAATTTTATCAGCTTTAATTTTGTGTAGAACGTTTTTGTCAATGCGATGGATAGTTTTCTTGATATAAGCGAAAAACCTAAATATAGCAATAAAAATGGACAATTTTATTTTTTTTTTTCAAAATAAGCCATGGTTGATGACGGATATCTCGGAAACCAAGCGAAGTTGCGAAAAAAGGTATATAATCAATCATTTTGAAAATTGTATCAGCTTTAAGATTGTATAGAACGTATTTGTTGATGCGATGGATTTTTTCCTGATGTAAGCAAAAACCCGAAAAAGTGACCTTTTAGGAGCCCCTCCCCCCCACATGTAGCTCACCAACTCGGAGTGGGGACTTTTAGTATGTTTACCTCCGTCTAGTTCAAACAATGTCCCAAAGCCAAAAACTAGGTCCCCGCCATTTCTTCTTATACCCCCTTTTCGAGCATCCATTGAATGGACTAACAGTAACATTCGTTACGTTTTTTTTATATTCACATTAAGATATTTTTCTTGTGATTGAGGTAGATTTATTTTAATGTAACTATTCCATTCTTTAGAAACAAAAAAAATTCATCCTGAAAATACATTTTTTCACATGTAAAACCCAGGGACATCAAATGGTCAAATAATATTAGAATGACCTCGTTATTATTTGGTTTTCCCTTTCCGATTCTCTAAATACAATACAGTGTCACATCTAAATACAATTTTGAATTATAGCTCATTAGAAAAAGATTGAAATGTAAAACATTTCTCTAGCTTACTGTCTGCAGCCTCAAATTTTTAATTTCTGAGATATAACGAAAATTACCATAATTTTACTTAACATTGCTCGATTAACGTAATGGATGATAATTGAAAAAAAGTAGTTTCGAGGAATTTATTTAGGGTTAAGGTTTCATATTTATCCAACATTTGGTTAAATCAGTAACAGCGATTTTGTATTAAAACGCCGAATGTTACCGTTTGTAATATTTTTAGGAAATGTTACCGTAACTAATGTTACTTTTATTTGTATAAACTTAATATTATTTATTTTTATTGTTCCTACTACCAATTGATCATATCAGAATTTAATCCGAATGCAAAAATTAGTTTACTCGAGCCGACTTTATCCGAACGATCGTGTGTAACGAACTGAGCCGAGCATAACACCTCAGTCTCATTTAATACCCACAAAAAAAGGTGCTAAGCGCCCCTAAAGTGTTCACTTCAATAAGTTACCTCTGGTATTTTATTAAATATTAGTTAGGCAATTATATTAATATGTTGGTAAGAAGAAGAAAAAAAAAATAAACTGAGATATTGTTTCTTCTTTAAGAAATCGATCTTTGTTCATTGTCATTTGATCACATTGCAAGCACTTAGACCAGAATACAAACACATTAAGTAGGTCAAACGTCATTTTATTCGACAAGAATGTTCTGATCATAATCTATATGATTATATCCATAATCGAAAGACCTAGGACAACCCAGTATTTTAGAAAATCACACATGTCTGGGATCTCTAAAAATAACTAAACTATTGATACGAAAATGCTTATCATTATAACTTTTTACTCCAAAATATCAAGAAATGAGACTATAACAAAGATAGATTTTTTTTTTTTGTGGCTCACAGATCGGAAATGGCAAGGTTTTGTTGTTGGGTCAATTTTCAAATACTATGCCTCTCTTAGTCCAGTTAAAAAATAATTGTTTTGCAGCTACACTGACCTATCAGCTTGGTACCTAGTGATAATATTTCTATTTTGTAATTTTTTCTTGGTTCCATTAAAATCAAGAAATAACGGATGGTAAGGGTACTATCAGATTAATATTTTAAAATATATCATTTGACTTCTTGAACTCGTTGGAAAACGTCGGCAATCAATGTGACAATGACCCATTTTTTTTATTCCGTATCATCTCAGTGAGAAGCAGCGTCTTCCATCACTTTAACAAATAGAGTTCCAATATAAACTGCATTAGGGTGGTCTTTTAAGTGCATAGTGAATCTTTTAAGCTTGGTGTCAAAATCTATATCTAAATGAATTTTCAAAGAACTTTAGCTCTTACAACCTAGACAGCTTGAAGAGAATTTAAATCCAGTTATTTCTATCATTGAATTTTCTCTCAGTATTTCACACTGCATTGAAATGAAAAAAAAAATACTTTGGTTATTTTTCTTATCAATCATATTAACAAATTAAGGCCTATAAATATAGGCTTTCCATTTGGATTAGGGGAGCGATGGTCCAAAACAAAAAAAGAAAAAGAAATTGCTGAAGTTTATATCATGTGTAAAATAATTAATTTATAAAATCAACATTATTATTGTGAACCTAACAAATAAAGTACTGAATATTTAAAAGTAAATTTATATTTATAATTTTAGGATTTTTTTTTTATGCG